CTGGGGTGGAGCCAGACAGTGCTGGTGAAGGAGGGCAGGGAGGCGTTTGTGGTGTTTCAGAAGACCATGTGGCGACCAGAAAGACAGACAGAGCAGCAGCAACAGCAGCAGCAGCAGCCTTAGTGCGTGGGCAGAGAAGCAGCAACAGGAGTGGAGTGTGAGTGGATTGCCAGGGAGCTGGGGTGGAGCCAAAGAGTGCTGGTGAAAGAGGGCAGGCAGGTGTTTGTGGTGTTTCAGAAGACCATGTGGCGACCAGAAAGAAAGACAGAGCAGCAGCAGGGTTTAGGTTTGGAGGTTTAGGGTGGGAGGTGTCTGTGGTGTTCCAAGAAAGGGTGCAGAGCACCTGGTTTGCAGAAAGCCATGGGGGGAGAATAAAGTGCAGCGGCAGCAGAGCAGCAGCAGCACTTGGTTTCTTTTACTGTAACTTCATTGATTAATTGTGTTGTATAGTCCATGATAAGACCATTTTCTCTACTCCTTGTAAAGCATCTATAATGTGGTTAGCTTCTAAATGGTCCCACATTCCTGTATTGCTGAAAAGGCCTGTCCAGTTGTCATCTAGAAAGCTCCTTGCTCTCGTCCTAATTATAAATTTCACCATGAGAGCAGGTGATGCAGCAACATGACACAATAACATGCAAGTGAAGGTTATTGAATGAGCGCAGCACGTGCAGAGCACCAACAAACGCATGGTTTTGAGACAAAACAGCACACTGAAGAAGAAATAAACGATGAACACTTGTGTCCAATCAAACAAGATGACGCACTATGTCGTATTGCGATCCAGAAGCTTCAGCATTGGCTTTCCTCTTGGCCTGAATGACCTCCATGGTCTTGTGGTCCCGAGGTGATGAAATACGCAGCAATGGCAGCTATTGGGCTTGAGCAGCTTCAGCATTGGCTTTCCTCTTTGCATGAATGGCCTCCATGGACTTGCGGTGTGTGCACTCCATTATAGCGTGCTCCGATGTGATGAAATACGCCGCGATGGCGGCTGCTCATGGAAACAGGGAAAGAAAAGGCCAAAGTAAAACAAACAAACAAAACAAAACAAACTGTATTTAAAGACTGCAGCTGGACGGTAGTTTGAAAGGCTATTGCCACAATTCAAAGGGAAAGGACCTATAATGAGTTATTCCTGGTGAGGGAAGTGCACTAATGATCCATCCACCTGAGCAGACTGTGAGAGCCCATGCTGTAGAATAGAATTTTAAATGGACTTCCATTGAAAACGTAATATTACACCTGAACCATCTGAGCTGATGATACCTGTAATAGCTTCACTGTGTGGTTGACTCAACTCAACTGAAATGCAGAGTCACTCCCCACCTACCTGAGCTGACGACAAGAGCCTATGGTGTGTGGTTTACTTTTCAAGTCGACTCAACTGCAAGGAACGCGCACAATCACTGTCCCCCTACCCTACCTCAGCTGACGATAAGAGCCTGTGCAATAACTGGCTTTCAAATTGACTCGACATAAAGCACAATCACTCATCACACAACTGACCCGACGATAAGAGCCTGTGCAATAACTGACTTTCAAATTGACTGACTTAACGCACAATCACTCCTCACACACCTGAGCTGACAATAAGAGCCTGTGCTGTGTGGTTGAGGTTCCTCTTGGCCCACGGCATGGTTCGGCAGATTATGAGCTGCCAAAGAACAAAGGAGGGAGAAGCGGGCTTGGCATTCTTTACAATCGAAGTCACAGCTAGGTATGACAATGATTATGAAAGGGGGTGAGAACAAGAGCGTGGGAATAACAGACAATTGGAGCTATGAGAGATGAACAAATAACATGTATCATAGCACGTGCTACACTGTATGGCAGGGTAACAATTATGTTTTCAAAGGCTGAAATTAGGGTAACAATTATGTTTTCAAAGGCTGAAATTAGTGGATTGGGGAAAAGAGGTGGCGTTTCAGGGGATGAGAAGGGAGAGGAGAGCGAATGAATGACTCGTTGAGGCAGCGTCAAAAACGTTTTTTCAAGCTCAAACACATGCTTAAAACTGACGAGGAGCCTTAACAATGAATGGGAGCCGTGTTAACTTAACTAACATGGAGTCGTAATGAGTGCGTTTATAGGTTCTAATCACCCTCAAAACATGAGGTGCCTCGTTTTGGAAAGGGCGGAATGGGAAAAGCTAAGACTTGAGAGTGAAGTAAGTTCGTTCTGAAGCTTAAAACCCGTCACTGGAGATTCGAGTAAAAAAATGACTAAGAGGTGCAAGAATTACTTATAGGGGGGTTCAGTAAGCTCGCTCTTAGGTTCAATTATGTCTCGAGAACGCAGCATCGGGAAGAAGCTGATTGGAAAAGCTTAATAATAAAAGCGTGGTGAGCACGGTCCCTATATCAAGACAAGCCTTTACAGTCTCACATCAGATAAGAAAGAGGCGTAGGCGAAAGGCTCGCATTTGGAGAGTCAGAATACAACATGTCAGTATTCTCGCGCTTTTAGAGTTAAGGAGCATTAACGCACAGTCTCACATCAGAAGCGTAGGCGAGAGGCTCGCACTTGGAGAGTCAGTAAGTGAGTGCAAGGCTACAACATGTCAGTATTCTCGCACTTTTTAAATAAAGGAGCATTAACGCACAGGCTCACATCAGATCGGGAAAAAGGAGGGGGGTGATTGCGCGCGGAAGGCTTACTGTAGGGGGCGTTGTAAGCGCGGCTGCCCACGCTGCGTTATAGAACCCCGCCCGAACGCCGGCTGCAGGTGGATGGAAACATGGGATATGGCGAATCCGCGAGGCGAGTGTTGGCAAGAAACGAAACGGCTGATGAGTATCGTGGATTTAAATAGCATAAACTTCAGGCGAGCGGTCGCTTATGCGAACAACCTACACCTCAAGAATACACTGAATCTGTTGCGTGGCGCGCAAGTGAGCAGAAATGGTAGAGAAATTGACAAAGTACGTGAAGTGAGGCCTTGTAGGATAAGTGAGGGACTGAATATAAGTCTAGGAGGGAGGGACTGAATATAAGTCTGGTTCAAACTCACCATCGACGCACTCCTACGCTTTGGCCTTCTGCTCGGCGCGCTGCTTCGCGACAGATTCCACAGGCGAAGCGACGAACAGCGAACAACCCTTTCAAAACATAAAAAACGCGTGTAATGAACCGATTTTAGTTTCGACTCACCATCAACACACTCTTGCGCTTTCGCTTTCTGCTCGGCGCTCTGCTTCGCGATGGATTCCACAGGCGATGCGACAAACAAGCGTTGGTCCCGATCGCGAGGTCTCTCCAACGCAGACGGCACGAACATTCGCGCGGTCGTCCAGAAGCTTCCGTTCGACGCCATGATTGGCGTGGCAGAAGTTATTGTTTGTCGCCGAAGGGATTAGTAACGACGGGAGGAGCCTCGAGGTGAACGGGGCAACGAGCACGCGGAGATTGGCAAGAGACGAATAAGGTTGGAGAAATGGAAAGCTAGCGGCTCGCGACTCTGTCAAGATCGATTGAGTTGGTCGTCTGGAATCTGGAAGCTCTTTTCCTCTGATTTGAAGATGGGTTGACGAAAATGGCTGGACACGAGGCTCAACGGCGAATCCAATGCAAAAGGTTGAAGGACGGGGAGTGCTGACGGATGAAAGTTAGTGTGACAGCTCGTAAACGGGAAAATCGCGAGCTGAATTGCGAGATAAGAAAGTACGACAATTATGGCGTCCTGATAAAGCATTCATGGCCACCTCGGGATTTGCTTGCGTTGGGGTCAGGTGTGGTTGTTGACGGGCTGGATTGTGCGGTTCAGTACGTTTCTTTGGAACACAGAGCGGTTACACAATATCCCTGTCGGTTTCGCTACCTGGCAGGCTTGCTGAACGTCTCGAACTTCCGCTCCGCAATAAGGGGGGAACTGACCCGCCACGCAAGAACATTGTTGGCACCCGTCGTTATTGTCACAAAAGTGCGACAGCTTGCGAGGTTGCGTGGCGTGACGAGGCTTCGCGCGAAGGATCGCCGCCGCACTTTTCTATCCAGCTCCTGCCCACTACACCCGCCAAAAAGCTACTTCAATACGACGTAACAAATCAGATTTACATAGACTATATTCTCAGGACTTTCAAATGAGCGAAATCAGCAGAATCCACCTTCTGACATAGCTTCTGGCAAGATTCATCAGGTCCTGGACCATAGCTGGTGCTCCACATACCCTTTATTCGGACACGATAAGAGCATAAGACATCAAACAACAAAGGAGATCCAACAAACCTCATTGCCTGCACATTGCACAACCATCTGCAGCAAGCAGATAAACTAGAACCAATGTTTCCTCCACTGTCAAAATCAGCGTACACAGCCCAACCAACACCCTCCAGTATCTTCACGGGAGGTGTCAGCTCCTAAGCCCAGGACCAGGGAGTGTTATGCTAACCTTTTGCAGCAAGCCACAGGTGGGGCTGCCCCGTGCCAGCTGTTATAATTGCAGCAAGAGGCGGAAACAGACAGCTGAGAACCTGGCACTCACTGCACCCGACACAATCTGGGGGGTGTCATGCTACCCTTGTCACGCAAGCTACACCTGAGGCTGTCCCGCGTCCCGTGCCAACTGTTACCATTGCGGCAAGCAACAGAGAGCGCGGGGAGAGACGCTGAGAACCCGGCACTCTTGTCACTCGAGCTACAGCAGGTGCTGTACCAGCTGTTACCATCGAGGCTGCTGCGGCTGTCCCTGCTGCTGCAGCTGTTGCTGTTGAAATGGAGGCTGCTGCTGCTGCCAATTTTGTTGTGAAAGCTGCTGTTGTTGCTGCTGCTGCCACTGTTGCTGCTGTTGTTGCTGCTGCTGCTGTTGCTGCTGTTGCTGCTGCTGCTGCTGCTGCTGTCCCTGCTGCTGCTGCTGCTGCTGCTGCGGAGGCTGCTGCTGCTGGTGCTGCCACTGCTGTTGCTGAGTAGGCTGCTGCGGCTGCCACTGCTGTTGCTGCGGAGGCTGCTGCTGTTGCTGTTGGTGAGGTGATGGCGGCGGTTGCCACACCTGCTGTTCCTGCTTATTCGAGTTTCCTTGGGATTGCCATGACTGCCACATCTTAGTCTCCTTCTTAGCCTTCTCCTCCTGCCTCCGCCGCTCCTGCTCCCAGTACCTTGCCTGAAACCGGCTCGGAAAAAGTTTCAGAACCGACTCATCTCCGGGCAGGTAAATATCATCCGACCCGGAAAACGTCAGCGCGTACAGCACGTGCTCAGGAAGGTTTGCAGCAGCTGCAGCCATGAAGGGGCTTTTCATCCCGGAAATCAATGGGACGATATCAATGGTCTCAATTCGCACTCGGTTAAACTCCTTCGTCTCGGACGTTTCTAAAACCTCCTCGAAATTGAGACAAACCGATCGGACTGAGGAGAAATCGAGCTCTTTTTCCTCGTTGTCTTCTTCCGCGTTGCTGCCATCCCAGCTGCCCGTGTTGGGCGGGTGCGACGCGAAGGACGGAACGGGTCGAGATAGCTGAGGGGTCGAGGAGAATGAATCTTGGCTTGAGCATTGCGAGGCAGCTGCGGGGAGGAAATCATGGGTAATGGGGAGAAAACGTAACAGGAAAATGAGTGTTAAGGGGCCATACGACAAGGAAAAAAACAATCAACTCAATATGCACCGATCTTCCATTTAGTCTACACTTTCGAAAATTTATTCGCTTCTGTGTATGTAAGAGTGGTGAACTCACTATCGGAGAGGGCGCACGAGCCGAAGGTTGGGAGGAGGGGGGCATCCGCGACGTTTGCGCCGCTCCACTTATTCGGGCGGAGAAGAATCAAATCGCGCGGCGACAAATTATTGCTCTGCGACGGACCACCCATCGCAGGAGGGCTCATCGCAGGGACAACGCCAACAGTCGCGCCAGGAGCGCCCATCATTTGCGCGCCCATGCCTTGCGCGCCCATGCCCTGCGCGCCCATGCCCTGCGCGCCCATGCCCTGCGCGCCCATGCAGAAGCCCATCGGCGGAGCCTGCTGGCCATGCTGCATCGTCGCACCCGCCATGCGACTCTGTTCCATCGTCGCACCCGCCATGCGATGCCCGTCGCTGCTCTGCCGCCAAAGCGCCGACGGCTGCGCCATCGCAAGCGGCCCACTTGCGCCGCCCCCCCCGTCCGCGCCCATCGATCTCGTCGCGTAGTGCCCCGCGGGGCTGGGAAACGCGCCCGAGTTACCCTGGCTGGAAGATGGCGAAACTGCGGAGAACTTTCCCGAGTTGGGCCCCGAATTCGGTTCCAGGGGAGACATAGGGAATCGCCCGCTGTCCGACGCCCCGTCGCGGAATCTGCCCGAAACGAGGGGTTTAAATCTGCCCGAGTTCATCTGCTGCTCGCGAATCTGTTGCGCGAGCGACATGCGCACGCGCGGGAGCTTCCCCGAGTTAGCGGGGGAGCTGGCGGCCGACGTGTTGGTACTACCGGGGGCGGCGGGTGCGGCGGCGGGCGCTGCGGCGGGCGTGGCGGCGGGTGCGGTGGCGGCACTGGGGGAAGGGAGAACGTTGAGCGCACCCGGGGGAGGCGGACTGGGGGAAAGCGACACGCTTGACGCGCCCGACGCGGAGGAATCGGTGAAGGTGGAGACGGAAGAGGTGGGGGTAGACGACGCCGCAGAAGGCGCGTAATAGCCTGCCGATGCGCCCTCCGCGTTAGGCGAAGTCGCCGGTTTTTCCGTTCGCGGCAGCGAATTTCCCAGCGCCGCCGCCGCAGCCGACGGATCCGCAGCAGCCGCCATGCCGTTAAAGTCGGACAGGTCTGCCGCCCCGTTGTCGGCGGTTGACGTGGCGGCGCTGGCTTCGAGTTTCCGCCAGTTGCGGACAGTTACGGGGCACACGAGGCTGCCCGAAAATTCCGGGTCGATGGCTTTAATCAGCGTCGCCTGCTGGCGGCGCCATTCCTCCTTGCTGATGGTGCGGTCGGTTCCGGGAGCAAACATGGCGTACTTGTTCATGTGCGGCGCGGTGTAGTCTTCCCAGCCTCTAGCGGCTGCTGCAGCCATGCGATGTCAGAGTCTATTATATCTAGTGTGCGTCAGGAAACGAATGCGATTCGAGAAATATCTGTAATTTTCACCAGACTGTATCAGTCTCTGCCTAGATAGATTGCTTCAAAGACCGAGTGAATGACTCAAACAGGGGAGAAAGAGAGGAATTGCAATACCTAATAAGGAGAGGAAGCACTAGTGATGGATAACAACACTGGTAAAACGAGCAAGAGCATATGTCGTCAAGCGCGAACTAGTGAGCTGTTGCGGAGAGGAACTGGGCTGAGGGAGGATTGAAGGCAAGCCAACCATGGGGTAACGTCAAGGCAAGGGTATTGTTATCGGAGCGTCGTGGAAGGAAAGTGGTACAGCCACTACCAGCTAACTACCGAATTGGGGTGTCTAGTGGCTGTTTGTGTCCAGTTTGTGTCTAATGGCGGAAAATCAATGTCAGGGTGATTTGACGGTGGGAGAGATTAGGTGGGGTAGGAATTGGGTGGATATGAGGAGATAGGAAAGATATGGCATGCACATGCGGGCAGTGACGAGGCATGAACAGCAGAGGTCGTTGGCTCGCGACTGCAACGTTTTGTTTCGCTCTTTCCTTCTTGTGGGAATCGGGCTGCCCAGGACAAAACCTAACGAAACAGCGGAAAGTATAACGCGGATTCGGCAGTGCCAGCGTGGATGAGAAGGGAAAGAAGCTGGCCGTGATTTTGACACTGCGCACCGCTCATGCCACCGCGATGTGCTGCCCAGCCCACCTCCAAAAGGTGTTCGTTTACATCGGGCAGCTAATTTGGTCCTTGAAAATGGTTCACCAATCGGCAAGCCACAGTGCCAGCTTTACCGGAAAATAATTACTGCTGCGGTCATAAAAATTTTCGTCAAAACCGGGTCAGCTTGTGGGAGTTGAGGCTCGGGGCGATTCGATACATGCTTCCACCATGTGCACGCAGTTGCAATACAGGCTGCAAACCGTCTTTACGCTGTTCACTGCCACCATGCCAACTTCGCGTGACAGCGTGTTCCAAATCCGGCCCATGTGCTTTCCGCCCATGTATATTTGGCAGACTCAATCATGATGTATATTTACCTCTTTTGAAGGACTGCAAACTGTATTTACCTAATGGAAAACAAGTCTTTCACGAGGCTGCGACAAGCTTCAACGATTAATGTGACGGTAGGCTTCTATTTTATGTTTTCTTTTTTTTTCGTCTCTGCTTTTGGGGGAACGCACGCCAGTAATTGTTGCCTTGAACGCGAAATCGCCTGACAGTAAAGAAGCCAATAGAAAAATCTCCTGCCACGCAAGCAGCCACTATGTGCTTTACAGCCGAAAAGCTTGAAGGTTGATGTCAGCGACATACCTGGAGATCACGTTGAGACGCACGCGATTGGTGGAACTTGTTGCGAGCCAGACAGGACTACGGACGGATCTTCAGAAAGGCCCATGAGGAAAAATATTCGATTTTGCTTTTGAGACGTCATTTTCCACAGGAGATCGTCGTCGTGTGCTGGGCAGCCCGATTCTCAAAGCTGTTTGTGCAAGCAAACAATGGCTGGCTTCAATTCAACACCCTCGTTTTGTACAGATATTTCAAATTGGTTTGTTGATGTGCCAACCAAACTAGGATCTTGTTGATTCCATGCTTGCATTTCCCAGCTCTCAATAATTTGGTTAACCAAGGGTTTCATTAAGGCGTGTTCCTACGGCCTCGTATCAGGCAACCTTGTATCAAATTCGCGTCGAACCGCACTGAAACGCATCCAACAGCAGTCGAACGCTCTGAAACACATTTTACCACGTGGAGCTGATATGAGGTGTTTCTGATATGAGGTGTAGGAACACGCCCTTAGTGATGTACATGGTTTGCAACTTGTTATAGAAAACAAGTTGCTTGCTTCCTTTTCAGGCACATACTGGAAGAACGTGTTTGATAGGGAAAGGGAACAAAACGAGTGGTTCCCCTCAGAGGTCTCAGCATTCAATCACAAAATCACATGGCTTTCCATTGCTTGCTAGGCTGCTTTGGGAAGAATGGAGGCAAACCCATTGAAACGACCACCCGCGTGCCTTTCTGGAAAATATTGTCAAGGATTCTGGAGAAAAGGCACCCTCAGGCAACCCTATTTGTAGTATTGACCCTGATGGTGATTCGCATGGGGTTTCACATGGTGGCAGCATCACCAGTTTAAGGAAAATCCAACTCATACCCTCCCCTCCCCGAACCCCTCCCCTCCCTTCTCGAGCCTTGTCATGGTCTGATCTCAGCTGTTGATTCCGCTGATCAACTGTTAAAATATCTCATGTCAGTGCCTTGATCCACGGGTGCTCTGGGAGGGCGAGGGGGAAGAGAGTGGGGGGAAAGAGAGGGGGGTGAGACGGGAAAGGGAAATCAGTGAAGATGGGAGAAGAGAAGGAAAATATATTTACAGGTCAAAGCAGGGAAAGGGAGGGACGGAAGGTATAGAATTACAATGAGAAAACGGAGGGACGGAGGACTTCAGATTGAATTCACGATGAAGGGCAAGGGCAGGAGGAGCATGGGAGTGGGGGAAGAAGGGCAGGAAAAGTACAGAAGGAAGAACCAAGGGAAAAACGTTAGTTGCATTCATTGACGGGTGAAGGAATATGTTACTACGTGGACGGGATGTATGACGTGGGGATGTGCAAGTATATGTGTTTACCCTCCCCAACCTTCCGTCCCTCTCCTCCCCTCTTCCCCCCCTTTTCCCCTTTTCCCCCCTCCCCCTATCCACAGCCACCTTTCCCACAACCCAAACGTTAACCCCCACAACCCCCAACTCACTCAATATTTCCGAGACCGTGATTCGTCGGTCGTATTTCCTCGTCAGCATCCTCCTGACCAGATCCTTAGCAGCAGTGCTCACAACGGGCCATGGCTCCGTTTCAAAGTCCAGCTCCTGCCACAAGATGCTCTTGAACACGTCCTCCGTGGTATCCCCCCAAAACGGGGGTAACCCGCAAAGAAGCACGTAGAGGATCACTCCCGCGCTCCACACGTCCGCCTCTGCGCCATAGTTCTTGGCTATGACTTCTGGAGCGATGTAGTTGGGCGTCCCGGCCCTCAGCTTGCAACGCTCGCCTGCAGGAAATTAAGAGCGGATCAGGGGAAAAGAGGAGAGCAGGGAGGTTGGTAAGGCGGGCAAAGAGCGGAGCTGATTGGCCTCTGCTCCGTAGTTCTTGGCGATGACTTCTGGGGCGATGTAGTTGGGCGTGCCGGCCCTCAGCTTGCAGCGCTCGCCTGCAGGAAAAACGGGTAGGACAAGGGGATGGGAAGGATGACCCTGGAGCTCCACACGTCCGCCTCTGCGCCGTAGTTCTTGGCTATGACTTCTGGGGCGATGTAGTTGGGTGTTCCGGCCCGCAACTTACAACGCTCACCTGTAACGGTAGGGGATCGAGGAGAGGGAGAAGGCAGAGGGGGAATGGGTGGGGAGGGGGAGGAGGTTCATGAAGACGGGAAGAGCGAGCCGATTGGCCTCCGCATCATAGTTAGCCGATTGGGCTCTGCACCATAGTTCCACCGTGCAGCTTGCAGCACTCTCTTATGGGGGATGGAAGGGAGGGAGTTGAACAGTGGTATTGAGAATGGGGTGAGGGGAAGGATGTATTCGGGTTGGGGGTGAGTGGGTGAACAGTGGGAGACTCAAAGGGGAATTCGGACAAGGGATGGGCTTGAGAAGGGTTGATAGAAGGGGCGGGCTCAAGAAGAAATACAGGATGGAATGGGATTGAAATTTGTAGGGGAAGAGCAGAACGCGTTTGGGCTTTAAACTGCGGCGCATTATCTCCCGCTGGTGACAGCTGGCAGTTGGAGCCGGAAGCCATGGCATCCCTGTTCCAGACCTCCGCAGACGCTTGTCACTGGGTGTCCATTTCACATGCCTAAAAAAGGCATCACTGTTTCAGACTCCTCCACAGGCGATTCTCACTGGGTGTTGCAGCTCGTTCATTCAGTTTAATTTCATCCCCTTTTCCCGCTTCCCGCTCCTGGGTTCCCAGGACCCTCACCTGGCTTGAGACAGTATGCCATGCCAAAGTCGATCACTTCGCACCGAGTGTCGTTTTCCAAGTTAGAATCGAAACACTGCTCACTAATTTTAACTTCAGCATTCTGGCTCTCATCTGGCTTGAGGCAGTAGGCAATGCCAAGGCAGTAGGCAATGCCAAGGCAGTAGGCAATGCCAAGGCAGTAGGCAATGCCAAGGCAGTAGGCAATGCCAAGGCAGTAGGCAATGCCAAGGCAGTAGGCAATGCCAAGGCAGTAGGCAATGCCAAGGCAGTAGGCAATGCCAAGGCAGTAGGCAATGCCAAGGCAGTAGGCAATGCCAAGGCAGTAGGCAATGCCAAGGCAGTAGGCAATGCCAAGGCAGTAGGCAATGCCAAGGTCAAAGTCTTTGCACTTGGCTTCGTCTTTTGAGTAGCCTCAAATCACAGCTCACTAATTCCAAGTTCAGCATTCTCTCTCTCACCTGGCTTAAGGAAGAGCGCCATGCCAAAGTCAACCATTTTGCACTTGGGGTCGCATTTTTTAGTAGACTCAAATGACAGTTCAGCATTCTCAATTCGGCATTTTCTTGCTCACCTGGATCGAGGCAGTAGGCCATGCCGAAGTCAATCACTTTGCACCGTGTGACCTACAAGGTGACTCCGAGCCGCTTTGTGCCTTCTAAGTCTCACATTCACTCTCTCTTACAATTCTCGCAAGGCCCTCACCTGGCTGGAGGCAGTACGCCATGCCAAAGTCAATCACTTCACACCGCGTGTCGCTTTTATTAGCCTGTTTCAAAACACTGCTCACTGATTCTAGCTTCAACATTCTCTCTCTCTCACCTGGCTTGAGGCAGTACGCCATGCCGAAGTCAATCACTTTGCACCGCGTGACGCTCCTCTTTGCACCTGATGAATCAACACATCTCTTGCTCACCTGCCTTGCGCTCTCTCACCTGGCTTGAGGCAGTAGGCCATGCCAAAGTCGATCACTTTGCACCTGATGAGTCAACCCATCTCTTGCTCACCTGCCTTGCGCTCTCTCACCTGGCTTGAGGCAGTAGGCCATGCCAAAGTCGATCACTTTGCACCGCGTGTCGCTCCTCTTGGACACGAGCAGGATGTTCTCGGGCTTTAAGTCGCGGTGCACGATGCCCCGCTGGTGGCAGAAGTCCAGCACCTCCACCACCGACCGGATCACCTTGGCCGCCTGCCTCTCTCCGTAGTACTTCCTCTCCAGGATACGGTCGAACAATTCGCCACCTTCACACAGTTCCATTATGATGTGCACTTCCTGGTGAAGCGGGAGGGAAGTGGGAGGCAAGACAGGCATTGTGGGTGGTGGGAAGGTCACAGCATGGAAAATCCAGCACCTCCACCACCGACCGGATCACCTTGGCCGCCTGCCTCTCTCCGTAGTACTTGCGCTCCAATATACGATCGAACAACTCTCCTTCACACAACTCCATGATAATGTGCACTTCCTGGTAAAGCGGGAGGGTTGGGGCGACGGGAAGGAGGGAGGGAATGCATGAGTTACAGAAACTCGTTTTCCTGATTGAACTGCCACGTTTCACAGCATTTGTGCTTCTCCCCTCAACCTCTTTTTTTTTAACTAATATATACTTCTTATATGTGATATGTTTGTGACTGCATGCAAGCACACACCTTTTCATCTTCAATGGTTTCGATGATGGAGACGACATGAGGGTGTCCCCGGAGAGTCTCGAGAACCTGAACCTCCCTCTTTACATCGTCCACGTCATCCCAGCACTGCAGGGGAAATGGGGTTCGGTAAGGATTTCAAATTTAGAATCTGGGCTGGGATCACGCAGAAAGAGCCTCGGGACCTTCTCTTTACGCTTCACCTCTCCGCCCCTCACCCCGTCCGCTTCCCCCCTGCGACTAATCTCCCCCTCATTGCACACGCATCTTTCACATTGCCAACCAGTGTTCAACCTTGCCGCCCAGAAAGAGTTGGCCACATGCATCTCAGTTGCGCGTGCATTGATTCTCACATGATCCGAGTTATCACCAACACCCCCCACCTTAGCCTCGTCAAATCGTACCTCGAGCTTAGCCTTGGTGATTGTCTTGCACGCGTATCGCTCGCCCGTTTCCAGATTCTCGCACACGTGAATCACGCCGAAGTTCCCCCGCCCAAGCTCCTTCGGCGACATCTTGTATTTATCCTTCAAATCCTGATACGGTTTCCCCAAAACATTTGAGTTCGACGGACCGAGAACTTCGGGTGTTTCTTCCACCTCAATATCCCCGTCCTCTCTGTAATACTCGCTCACTTGCGGCGTTCTTAGCGGGACGCCAGAAACAATTCTGGAAGCACCTTTCCGCGGAGATTGCACGGGAGTCCCCGCGTTCCAGTTGCTGAACATGCTCTGAATCTCCGCCAGTTTCGCCTGATCCCGCTCGCTTTGCGCCGCTACAGTGCGCGGGCTTGCGCAAAGCGACCCCCCTGGCGTCATCGATTTCCGCGAGCCCCCCCCTCCACCTTGCATGTAAGGTGAAGCAAATCCCCCCGCGCCCGGCGGATTTCGGGGACTCGCGTAAGGGCTGCCGTAAGGGCTAGTACTTGGAAGGTTCACTTTCAGGCCGCCTTTCAAGCTAACCACTCCGCCTGTACTCATCACCATACCGCCTTTCCCTCCATACCCTCCTGCTCCTCCTCCGCCGCCGCCACCACCGCCAACACCGCCTCCTAATCGCGACATGCTTCCGCGCGGCCCGGCGAGCAGTTGCGAGTTCACCCCCCCGCCGCCGCCGCCGCCGGCAGTGCTGGGACCCAGAGGCGACGCGCCCGGTCCGGCACGCGGATCAGGAACGACGTTCGGGACGACGGGGACACTAGAGGAACGGCGATGGCCCTTCCCCTTCGCAGGCGGTCCGGACGAAGGTGATCCGCCGCCAGCGACGCCGCCGCCGAACCAGGACGCAAGACCGCCGCCGCCGCCGCCGGTACTGTTGGCCGCCGCTTGTTGCGGAGATGCACCACCGCTAGACGCGGTCGTGTGCGTCGCGCTACTTCCGCCGTGACCTGCGCCGCCAAACCAGGAGAGCATTCCGCCGCTACTCGATGGCGGAGTCACCGGAGACAGTTGCGGGGAAGTCTGTAACGAGTTAGCCTTTGCCGCACCTAGTCCCGAGCCTTTGTCGAACCAATTCGTCTTAGGGCTCTGGGTCGGTAGAGCCTGGTGCGGCGAGACCTGGTGCGAGCTATCGTGGGAGTTTTCCGAACCGGCTGCCGAGCCTGTAGGCGTGATGGCGGTTCCGGCGCCGAACCAAGAGAGGATAGGGCTCGTCGCACCACCGGCAGGCGGCGTTTTCGCGCTCGACTGGGGAATGCTGAGAGGCGCAGGGGACTTAGAGGCTGCAGTATTCAAAGGCTGCAGATTGCTGTTAGTCTGCTTCTGGCGTCGCGACCATAATCCGCCCCAACCGCCGCTACTACCGTGACCGTCCGATTCAGACGCGCCGTTTCCCCCTGCCGTCGATTTCGTAGTGGACCGCTGATCGGCGCTCCCTTCCTTATGTTCCTCTTCTGCGGATGTATGCGGCACTCCGGTTCCACCCTGCGACGCGGAGGTCCCTTGCGAATCGCCCTCAACTATCGCGGCACTGTAATCCACGTCAGCCCAATCTCCCGGCGAGCCTGACGAAGCGCCGCCATGCGACGCCCTACCCTGCGCCTGCTGCGTCTGCGCTGACGTGACTCTGCCAGTTCCCGGGCTTGAACCGTACTGCTCCTGTCCCGTCGCTCCCGCCCAGTCCTGCGATCCCTGTAACGGCGACGACTGTCGCAGGCGGCTGGCGGAGTTCTGTTGGATCTCTTGCGAGTTTCGCGAAGAGGCGCCGACGGGAGACTTAACAGGAGAGCCAGAGACCCCACTTGAAGGGCTGCTGGGGGAAAATGTTGAAAACGAAAAATCTTCGGATCGAATGCGACGATGGCGCGGGCCGTTGGGTTTGGGCGGCCGGCTGACTTCGAGCGGCCGCACATGCGGCACGCCGGCAACTCTGCCTGTCGGGAGCGGCGACTTGGACCGTCGCCGTTCAGAGCCGGGAACTCCGCCTTGACTTGCGGGGACGGAGGGCGCAGGGGAGCGATATGCAGGGGGCATATGTTGGTGCTGCTGCTGCTGGTCTTGGTAATGGTTGAACTGATTCTGCTCGTCTTGGTATTTCTGTGGCTGCTGCGGCTGCTGCTGCTGCTGACGGGGCTTGTGAAGCGGGGCTACATTTTGCATTCTCGATGTCGCGTCGTCGTCTCTCGAGCCGCTTTGAGCTCCATAATCGTCGTTTCTATTTTCAAACGATAGCGACGATGCCCTGTCTTTCTGCTCCGGCGCGCCGCTGCCATGGCCTTGAGTGTTACTGTGTCGGTTGCGCGCGTAGTGGGAGCCTGGCGACTGAATAGATTCTTCGCTGTGCGACGACGTTTCCTCTTGGATGCTCCAGAACTCCATCCCGCTCGCGCCTTGCGCGGTGCCGCCGCCGCCGCCGCCGCCATTTCTACCAGCGGTCCCATTCGGGGCTATTACGAGCGATGGGTCCAGCTGAAACCCGTCGGAATGGCTTCGCCTGTGTCCCGGCTGTTTCATCCGCGAGGGACGCGGCGGCACGGACGACGCGCTTGCCATGGAGTCCGCGCCGCCAGCGAGGGAATACGTCGCGGCCGATTCGGGAAGATTATGCGACGACGAAGGTAGGTTGTGAGAAGGCCCGAAAAGCGTCGAGGACGGCGACTCGAAGTTGAAGGGTGTGCGAAGAATCGAATTGTGTGAGTAGCCATTTTGACTGTTGCTAGGGTTGAAGCTGGGTGGTTGGGCAAAAGGCCTGGAATCGTCAACCATCACTTCCATGAGGCGAGAAAACGCTGCTCAAGAGGGTGTGAGTGTGGTTACAGATGCGTGCGAGAGGTTTTCCAGAAACGAATGTTGCACGAACAAATAGGAAGAGACGAGGCGAAATAAGGTGAGAGTGAGCAACGCACTGTGCCCCTAAAATACGAAATGTGTTGCCTGAACGTGAGCTGGTTCCGAAACTGTTGGGACGTCCGTCCGAGCCGAGCCGCCGAACCAGATGTTTCCAGCTCGTTGTTGCCCTTTCGTTTCACCAGCTTTGGTAAGTTCCCGCTGGACCAGCTCATCCACTTATCCGAAGCTAGAGTTGGGTTCAAACCAGCTAGGCTCTGGTTGGTGGGCGAGGCTTGTGAGCAAGGCTCGGTAGTGCAGATTCACCGCGGTTGGCGCAAGAGGGGCCCTATGGATTTTCAGGATCGCATCAGCCATATCTTCATACTTGAGGACAGCCTGAAGCCTGGTACAACCTGAAGGACTTCCATAGTTAAGTCATAACGCTTAACCAAACAAAACGTCACTTAGGCTGTATATGAGCGAATGGCAACTTGTCGCCTAATCGAATCCACTGCACATACAATAAACATTAGTGGGAAAGCTTGTCGCATTCTTTGGTAATGTAGGACCAAATCCTTCGAAACAAACATTTATTTTCCAAAAGCCAGGCTGTTCCCTGTGGGATATTGGTCAGCGATTTCGTCTTGCGTGCACAGTTCTCGCTGGCCTTCCGTGCTTCGCCACAGCACTGCCCTCCAATTTCGTTGCTTCGGTAAAACGACTCCGCTAACATTTGAACTCTCGTACAGAGCTTGCTGTCGGATTTTGAAGTTGAATAAGCAGGAATATGCATGTGAAATTGAAAATAGCGAAGAGCTGAAGACAGTTGCACTTTCTGGGGAGCGTATTCCGCTAGCAGATGAGTCAGCTTTCTTAGAAGTTCCGCTATCAGTGTTATCCATTAGTGGCTGACACGCATCGCGTTCTTCAGCTACCCTGTCGCACCCCCATCTTCCGAACGTCGCAGATGCAGTCGCTCTCGTCGCTGACCAATGCCACGAAGCCAAATGTCGCACAGAGGCCTGCCGGGACCTTGAGAGTGTTACCGACCGTTTCTAGTTCTATTGAGTTTTGCAAATCAAGCAGGCCGCCGGAGATCCTGCGAACGGCAACTGGCAAGGGGTATACTGCAGGCAGGTTTCCTCGGCTTCTTATTGGTCGGTTCCAGGGCAGTATCGCGCAGAATGCGGAGACAGGATTAAGTGAGCAAGTAGCGGGTATCGCGATCGGGGACAGGGGGGGACAGCGGAATGATCGGCGGAGCAGCAGCAGCCGAGGAACCGGCAAGGGGGATGGGGCGGGTGGCATCAGCATTCGCAGCAGCAGCAGCAGTCGCAAGAGCAAGGCGACAAGGCGCCATAAACCGCCTGATCACAGTGACGTCAGCATGCCGCCCAGCAATGATGACTTGCGCAGCTGGGCGGCGCTGGACGGCAAGCGGCTGATGAACGTCCTATCGTATCGCGCCACGTTGGCAGAACTGCTGGCCGTGGTGAAAGCACACAGAGAGAATGGGGAGGAGATGAGAGGGAGTGTGGGAGGGGATAGAGGGGAGGGGGAAGAGGAGAGAGCAAGGGAGGGCAAAGTGGGGGAGGGTGGAAGGGGAGAATATAGAGAGCAGGAGGGAAGTCTTTCTGCTAAGAGAGTGAAGGGACAACAGGATGGGAAAGCAAGCACCGGTTTGTCCCCTGTACACATCTGCACCGCATTCCACCGCATTACGAAGCACGCCAAGCGCATGGGCGGCGGGCGGCGTCTCGTGGACCAGCTGAAAGAGGACGAAACGGTCCGGTGGCTCGGGCAGCAGGTGGAGGCGCTGGCAACGGGCGGCAGACTCAAGGGCCAGGCCTTGGCCAACGTGGCATGGTGAGTGTGTGGGCGGGAGGGTGGGTGGTTAAATGGGTGGGATGGCAGGTGGGTAAGTGCTGGTTGTTGGCTAGGGGCGGCAGACTGAAGGGCCAGGCTTTGGCCAACGTGGCATGGTGAGTGTGTGGGTGGGTGGGCGGGAGGGTGGGTGGTTAAATGGGTGGGATGGCAGGTGGGTAAGTGCTGGTTGTTGGCTAGGGGCGGCAGACTGAAGGGCCAGGCTTTGGCCAACGTGGCATGGTGAGTGTGTGGGTGGGTGGGCGGGAGGGTGGGTGGTTAAATGGGTGGGATGGCAGGTGGGTAAGTGCTGGTTGTTGGCTAGGGGCGGCAGACTGAAGGGCCAGGCCTTGGCCAACGTGGCATGGTGAGTGTGTGGGTGGGTGGGCGGGAGGGTGGGTGGTTAAATGGGTGGGATGGCAGGTGGGTAAGTGCTGGTTGTTGGCTAGGGGCGGCAGACTGAAGGGCCAGGCTTTGGCCAACGTGGCATGGTGAGTGTGTGGGTGGGTGGGCGGGAGGGTGGGTGGTTAAATGGGTGGGATGGCAGGTGGGTAAGTGCTGGTTGTTGGCTAGGGGCGGCAGACTGAAGGGCCAGGCCTTGGCCAACGTGGCATGGTGAGTGTGTGGGTGGGTGGGCGGGAGGGTGGGTGGTTAAATGGGTGGGATGGCAGGTGGGTAAGTGCTGGTTGTTGGCTAGGGGCGGCAGACTGAAGGGCCAGGCTTTGGCCAACGTGGCATGGTGAGTGTGTGGGTGGGTGGGCGGGAGGGTGGGTGGTTAAATGGGTGGGATGGCAGGTGGGTAAGTGCTGGTTGTTGGCTAGGGGCGGCAGACTCAAGGGCCAGGCCTTGGCCAACGTGGCATGGTGAGTGTGTGGGTGCGTTGGTTGGTGGGGGTTGGGGAGATGGGTGAATGGGTAGGTCGTTGGGTTGGGTTAGTGGTTGGGTGGATGGTGAGTGGGTGGGTGGGTGCTAGTGTGGGTTTAGTGCAGGCACGAGCTGTGGTGCACCGCACAAGTCTCATGAGCGCAAATTCCATAATTCGTAGGCGGCAATACCCGGGGTTTAGGGTTTTGGGCTTGGAGTTTCAGGGTCGCAGGTAATTTTGCGGGTAATTTTGCAGGTTTCAACTCTTTTCAGAGTCCTGCGTCCCTGCTGCATATTGTCATGAGACATGACTTTCTCTTGCCTCGCAACTCTGTTGACCCTTGTTGACCCTCATTGACCTCCCATTGACTCCCTTGGACTCTTCTGTTGACCCCCGTTAAACCTCATTGACCCTTGTTGACTCCTAATACCTCCCGTTGACCCTCATTGACCCCGTCGACTCCGGTTGGCCTTGATTCAGAGCACAGGCGGAGCTGGGGCACGGCCCACCGTCCTTTCTAAACACCATTCTGAAATGCGTTTTTCTGATGGTTTTCAACTCCTGTGGACCCCCGCTGACTCTCGTTGACCTTGACTCAGGGCACAGGCAGAGCTGGGGCACGGCCCACCATCCTTTTTAAACACCACTAAGAAATGCTTCTTTCTGATGGTTTTCAACCCCTGTGGACCCCCGTTGACCCCCGTTGACCTTGACTCAGGGCACAGGCAGAGCTGGGGCACGGCCCACCGTCCCTGCTCAACACCATCATGAATGGAACGGGCCTTTCCAATGGTACCTCTTATCCCTGTTGACCCCTATTGACCCCTATTGACCCCCGTTGACCCCCGTTGACCTTCTCTCAGGGCACAGGCTGAGCTTGGGCACGGCCCACCGTCCCTGCTAAACACCGTCATGGCCGCATCTCTCGCTCAGATCAAATCATTCCAGCCTCTGGAGGTGGCAATACTGGTGCGTGCGCTCATGTGTGCGAGTGTGTGAGTGTGCGTGAGTGTGTGTGAGTGTGGGTGTGCGTATCAGCATAGCACGGCCCACCATCCCTCCTCAACACCATCATGGCAGCGTCTCTCGCTCAGATCAAGTCCTTCCAGCCACTTGAGGTGGCAATACTGGTACGTGCACGGGTGCATCTGCGTGTGTGTGTGGGGGAGGGAGGGGAGGGGGGAGGGGGGGTATCAGCATGGCTCACGCACTGTCCCTGCTCAACACCATCATGGCAGCATCTCTCGCGCAGATCAAATCCTTCCAGCCGTTAGAGGTTGCCATTCTGGTGCGTGCATGAGTGTGTGAGTGTGTGTGAGTGTGCGTGAGTGTGTGAGTGTGCGTGAGTGTGTGTGGGTGTGTGAGTATCAGCACAGCACGGCCCACCATCCCTGTTCAACTCAACACCATCATGGTCAGCTCAGCTTCGTTCGCTCAGATCGAATCCTTCCGGCCGCTGAAGGTGGCCATTCTGTGTGTGTGAGTGCCTGTGTGCGTGTGTGTGCGTGTGTGTGAGATTGTATTCGTTAGTGTGTATATACATGGTTGCACTGTCATGCCAAGCCGTCCCGTAAATCCCTTTCACACTCTTGTTCATCCATTATCTTACCTTCCCTTCCCTCTCAGATGCACGCCCTAGGTTCCACCGCCGGCCTGCCAGCTGTCAACGCCAGCCTGCCATGCCAACCCACTTCTGAACCCCTTTTACCCTCTTCTCCAGCCATTCCTTTCCCCTTCCTTTCCTTTCTTTCCCTTTTCTTCCCTGTTCCTCCCCCCGCCTTCAGATGCATGCACTAGGTTCCACCGCCGGCCTGCCAGCTGTCAACGCCAGCCTGTCGCGGGACCTGCTCGGGCGGCTGACGTGGGAGCACGTGATTGGCTCGCTGCACTGCTACCAGCCACGCCACGTCAAGGAGATCCTATGGTACTGTTGACCCTGCATTGTTCAGAATGCACTGTTTGCAATTTAACACTGTTCACGTGGCACTGTTCACGTTGGACTGTACACACGTGTGTGCATTTGATGTGCATGTGTGTCAATGTATGTGTTCCCCGCTTCCCCACTTCCTTTTTCTATGGTATCCCAGCCCAGCGCACATGCGCGAGTGGAGCTGCACTCGCACCTGCATTTCCTTGACCCTGCACCTCCCCCCCTGTCCCCGTCCTCCCACCTCGTTCCCCCATGGCATGGCATTACAGGGCACATGCGCGGGTGGGGCTGCATTCGCACCTGCTCTTCAGCCCCCACACCCGCTCCTCTTCCCCAGCTGTTCCCCCTGTAACCCCCCTTCCCCCCCTCTTCCCCCCTCCTTCCCCACCTCGTTCCCCCATGGCACGGCATTACAGGGCCCACTCGCGGGTGGGGCTGCACTCGCACCTGCTGTTCCGCGAGGCGGCGAAGCTTGTCCTTTCTGACATGGGCAGCTACAGTGCACCGCAGCTCGCCATCATTGCATGGTATGGCATGACATGGCACGGCATGACATGGCTTGGCATGGCATGTTATGGCATGGCATGGTACGGCATGGCATTTGCCAAGCTCCACCACTCAATAGACTCTTCCCTCCGCGCCCTGCCTGTGTGGGCCGAGAGCTACACCTCTTTTCCCGTCGTCTCCCAATCTCTTTCCTCGCAGGTCCTTTACCAGCACTGTACCACTCACTCAACTTTCTCTTCCGTGTCCTGGCTTGCTTGCCCAAGCCTCTCTTCCTCCTCTCCCTCTCAGTCTTCCCCTCTTCCCTCCCTCCCTCTTCCACCTCGCAAGGTCCTTTGCCAAGCTCCACCACTCGGATGACTCTCTCTTCCGCGCCCTGGCTGTGTGGGCCGAGAGAGAGCAATACACCTCGCTTCCCTTCCTCTCCCACCCTCTCTTGTGCAGGTCCCTTGCCAAGCTCCACCATTCAGACGACTCTCTCTTCCTCAACCTGGCTTGCTTCCCCCTGTCCCCCTCCTTCCTCTGCTCTACCCTCTCGGCCCACCCTCTCTTGTGCAGGTCATTCGCCAAGCTCCACCACTCAGACGACTCTCTCTTCCGCGCCCTGGCTGTGTGGGGTGAGAGCAACGGCCCTGCGTTTGCATCGCAAGACGTTTCCAACATGCTCTGGTGAGCTTGGTTCTCCCTTGTTCAAATGCTCTGATGAGCCGCCTCTCTTGAGCCGCCTCTCTTGAGCCGCCTCCCTTGAGCCGCCTTTGCTTTGCAAGCAGAAAGCAACACACCCGGATTCGCATCTTCAAGATCCTCTGATGACTCAAAAGGTGACTTTTGACTTTTGAGTCGACTCAAAAGTCACCTTGCTGTGCAAGCAGAGAGCAACGCACCAGGATTCACATCTTCAAAATCCACTGATGAGCGCCCACTCTTATTCTCAGCCTTTAGCTGCCTGGCTCGAGAGCAACACACCTGCATCTCCCTCCGCCCTTCGAATCTCGTTTGCCCTTCCCTCCTTTGATCCTCTCGCAACCCCCTTCCGCAGGGCATTTGCTCGTCTCAACGTGAGCGCTCCAAACCTGTTCGCACTCGTTGTGTTGCGGGTGCTTTGACACCCCCTTCCTCTCTCTCCCTCCTCTCCCATTTCCCCTCGCCCCTCTCAGGGCGTTTGCTCGTCTCAACGTGAGCGCTCCAAATGTGTTTGCCCACTTTGTGCCGTGGGTGATCGTGCGCTCCGTCCCCTTCCTCTCACCCCTCTCCCAAACCCTGTCGCCCCTCCCATCGCCCCGCGCCCTTCCGCAGGGCGTTTGCTCGCCTCAACATGAGCGCTCCGAACCTGTTTGCACTCTTTGTGCCGCGGGTTATCGACTCGATACAAGAACACTCCACACAGTCACTCTCCAACATCGCATGGTACAGTAACATTCTAGTATGGCATAGTACGTTCATCCTATAATACTTTGTAGTAAAGAATTTCCTTGAGAAAGTGGCTGCTGCGACAGCAAAATTTTATATCCCAGTGTTTCCTTTCAATGCTGTATGGTACAGTACTCACTTTATATTGCTTCTCCTTCCCTCTCTTCCCCCCCCCCCCCCCCCCCCCCCCCCCCCCTTCGCATTTCACAGGGCCTATGCCACAGCAGGCCACCGCAGTCAACAGCTGCTGCGGGCAGTGAGGGAGGAGAGCACGAGGCAAATCATATGTGCATTCGTGCAACTGAAAGCAAACTCTCCATGTTACCTTGCCCCCGTCTTCCATCAGGGCCTATGCCACAGCAGGGCACCGCAGCCAGCAGCTGCTGGAGGCAGTGGGGGAGGAGAGGAGTGGATAGGTCATTCGTACTCACCGCATTACTAGTACCATCTCCCCCCCTCCCTACTCTTCCATTCAGGGCATACGCCACAGCAGGGCACCGCAGCCAGCAGCTGCTGGAGGCAGTGGGGGAGGAGAGCACGCGGCGAATCGTGGAGGGGAAACTGGAGAGGGAGGCGGCATCTGGGCAGGCTGTTGCCAACATCGCATGGTATGGTGCGGTGTGGTGTGGTACAGTGCTCTCCTGTGCTTCTGTGTTGTTGTGTGTGATGCTCTGTGGTGCTGTGCGGGGGAGTGCGGGGTGTATGGTGGGATAGAGGCAGTGGGAGAGGAGAGCATGAGGCGAATTGTGGGCGGCAAACTCGAGAGGGAGGCTGTATCTGGGCAGGCGGTTTCCAACATCGCATGGTACGGTGCGGTGCTGTGCGGTGCTGCATGGTGTGGTGCTCTGTGGTGTGGTTCTGTGCTTTGTTAGGCAGTGCTCTGTGTGGTGCTCTGTGTTGAGAGGCTGTTTCGAATGTGCGTGCGTGGTGTATTTGCCTGGATGGTTTGGGTTGCGATTTGGAATGCATGCTAAGGGGTCCTATGTATGGTGAGCTTGTGATTGTCATTTAGGCAGTTGCTGTTACTGTTAGCCCTCAATCTCACACTTTGTATTTTATATTTTCTATACCCTAGAGTAGTGTAGTTTGCACTTTGTGTTTGGTTGGGTGTACACCTACATCCCAACCAAACCCAAATGTAATCTCCAAGCAATCTCCAACCCACCAATTGGAGATTGCCTTGGGATTACCCCCAATCCCTAGGGATTTCCCACGATCCCATCCATTCTTTGCCCACCTTGGATGTACTTGAAGAGCTTCAAGCTCATTACTAATGCATCGCTTCTAAGCCTAAGTTGTGACAGTTGCGCCTCACGACAAAGTCTCTTCCTGTGCTGCACTTACTCTCCTCAGTTTCTTAACCACCCGCTCACCCACCCCTCTGCTCCCTCTCCTCCATTTCCTCCTTCCCCTCCCTCTCCACCCTTGTTTTCCTCTCCTCCCTCTGTCTTTCCTTCCCGAATCTTGCTTCATGCATCGCATCTTATTTTGCCCCTTGGTCTCTATTTCTCCGCCCTCCACTCTCCACCCTACCAATGCAGGGCATTAGCAGTGCAGAGTCACTATGACGTTCCATTTTTCAAACATTCTTGGCACTCTCTTTCCTCCCAATTTCCCCCCCCCCCCCCCCCTCAGGGCATTAGCAACGCAGAGTCACTACGACGTTCCCTTTTTCTCCGCTGCTGCCGCCCACGCCACCCGCTACATGCCAAGATACGCCGGCCGCACCATCGCCTGCCTGGCGTTCGCCTTTGCTCTGATTGGCCACACCGCCCCTCCTCTCTTCTTGCGCGTTGAATCTGAGGTGGGCAGCGATTTCTGTCCTGTCCTGCTCTGGGCTGCTGTGGTCTGGTGGCCTGCTTGTCTCTGCACATCTGTGGTCTGGTGCTTTGCTTGTTTTGAGACGTCTCAAAACAAATTGTACACGTTTCTCTCCTGCTCTGGGCAGCTGTGGTCTGGTGCTCTGCTTGTCTCTGCTTTACTGTGCCCTGCAGTGAGTTACGTGGTAACCAGAGGCCAATAGGCGCACCTAGAGGCGCACTTATGAGTTGAATTTTGAGTCGACTCAAAAGTCAACTTTACTGTGCCCTGCAGTGAGTTACTTGGTAACAAGAGACCTAGAGGCGCACCTACGTATCCGCCAAGCTCTCCTGCTCAGCCCCTCCACCACGTCACTGCCGCTGCTCTCCCATCCTCCCTCTCCTCTCCTCTGCTCTTCTCTCCCCTCCTCTCCTCTCCTTTACTCTCATCCATCCCCGCTCCTCTCCTCTCTCCCTTTATTCAGACTATCCGTTGGCTGGCCGTGCGGTCAGGGGAGCAGGAGTCTGGCCGCCAGGCGCTGGTGATGCGCGCGTGGGCTCTCGTGGTCCACTCCTTCCCACCTCTCCTGTCCTCTCCTCCCCTCTCTCCCCTTTCCCGCAGATCATCCGTCGTCTGGCAGTGCGAGCAGGCGAGCACGAGTTTGGGCGCCAAGCACTGGTGATGCTCGCATGGGCTCTCGTGGTGTCGGGCATGGCCAAACGGACACACCTTCTGCTGCTGCTCTCTTCCCTTCTAACCCCCCTTGCAGATCATCCGTCGTCTATCACTGCGGTCAGGCGAGCAGGAGTTTGGGCGACAAGCACTGGTCATGCTCGCATGGGCTCTCATGGTGCATGGCCAAACCGACACTCCCGCTGGTGCCTCTGCTTCTCCCACCACCATCACCACCACCACCAACTCCCCATCCTCTCTCCCCTCCTCCCCGGCCTCCTCCCTCTCCTCCTCCCTCTCCTCCTCGCTCTCCTCCTCCCTCTCCTCCTCCTCGGCCTCTCTCAGCCCAGCTCTCCCCATCCTGCGGCACCACCTGCTCTCCCTCACCAGCGACCTCACCTCTAATGAGCTCTGTCAGCTTTACCAGGTGGGGTCACACATACCACACGCGCGCGCACACAGCACACACAGCACACTCAAACTCACACACAACCCTCAGCCCAGCTCTCCCCATCCTGCATCACCACCACCTGCTCTCCCTCACCACCGACCTCACCTCCTTGGAGCTGTGCCAGCTTTATCAGGTGGGAACAAGCACATGCACACATACACGCACACGTGCGTACAGACACGCACACGCAGCACACACACAAGCACACAACCACTTCTCTCAGCCCAGCTCTCCCCATCCTGCGCCACCACCTGCTCTCCCTCACCACCGACCTCACCTCTAATGAGCTATGTCAACTCTATCAGGTGGGCCGTGTAAGATGGGGTGTAGCAGGTGGGAACAAACAAGCATGTGAACACATTCACACACACGTACAGACGTGCACACACAAATCAACAAGCGCCTCTCTCAGCCCAGCTCTCCCCATCCTGCGCCACCACCTGCTCTCCCTCACCAGCGACCTCACCTCTAATGAGCTCTGCCAGCTTTATCAGGTGGGTTGTACTAGATGCACACGCTCCCTCCCTCGCGACCTGCATAGACAGTTATGCGCATACATGCTTGCGTCACCACCTCCTCTCCCTCACCACCGACCTCACATCTAATGAGCTGTGTCAGCTTTATTAGGTGGGAACGAGTACAAGCACCTGCACGCATTCACACACAAGCACACACAGACTCACTACCTCCACCTCCCTCAGCCCAGCTCTCCCCATCCTGCGGCACCACCTGCTCTCCCTCGACAACGACCTCGCCTCTAATGAGCTGTGCCAACTCTATCAGGTGGGTTGTACTAGATGGGGTGACCAGGTGGGAGCTCAGATCACATAGTTATGCGCACACAGGTGGGTTGTACTAGAGCTGTGCCAACTCTACCAGGTGAGAACAAGCACGTGCACACACAAGCACACACAACCTCTCCCCCCTCCCCTCCCTCCCCCCTTCTCACCACCGACCTCACCTCCTCTGAGCTCTGCTCTGCCAACTCTACCAGGTGGGAAGTCGAACCACCCTCCCATGCATGCATAGCACACAGCTGATGCTGTGTGATAGCCACACAGCTGGGAAGTCGACCAGCTGGGAAGTCGACCTCCGGTGCTTCCAGCTGTGTGATAACCACACAGCTGGAAGCACCGGAGCACAATCAGTTGGTGGATGCTGGGAGCTGTGCTGCTCTCTCCTCACTCCTTTACTCCCTCCCTCCCTGTCCCCCCGGTCGACCTAGCCACCCAGGTGGAAGCACCGGAGCACAACACTCGCCTGGCGGAGGGCGGCATGGGAATGATGTGGGATGCTGCTGGGGCGATGGCGCTCCCTCCCCCTCCCATCCTGCGTGTGCCTCCCTCTCAAATCCCCTCACAGGTCGACCTAGCCACCCAGGTGGAAGCACCGGAGCACAACACTCGCCTGGCGGAGGGCGGCATGGGAATGATGTGGGATGCTGCTGGGGCGATGGCGCTCCCTCCCCCTCCCATCCTGCGTGTGCCTCCCTCTCAAATCCCCTCACAGGTCGATGTCTGGCCACGCAGCTGGAAGCACCGGAGCACAACACTCGCCTGGCGGAGGGCGGCATGGGAATGATGTGGGATGCTGCTCGGGCGATGGCGCTCCCTCCCCCTCCCATCCTGCGTGTGCCTCCCTCTCAAATCCCCTCACAGGTCGATGTCTGGCCACGCAGCTGGAAGCACCGGAGCACAACACTCGCCTGGCGGAGGGCGGCATGGGAATGATGTGGGATGCTGCTCGGGCGATGGCGCTCCCTCCCCCTCCCATCCTGCGTGTGCCTCCCTCTCAAATCCCCTCACAGGTCGATCTGGCCACGCAGGTGGAAGCACCGGAGCACAACACTCGCCTGGCGGAGGGCGGCATGGGAATGATGTGGGATGCTGCTCGGGCGATGGCGCTCCCTCCCCATCCCATCCTGCGTGTGCCTCCCTCTCAAATCCCCTCACAGGTCGATGTCTGGCCACGCAGCTGGAAGCACCGGAGCACAACACTCGCCTGGCTGAAGCCGGGATGGGAGCCCTGATGACTGATGCTGGCAGGAGCAGGGGTGGCAGTGGGAGCGAGGGGGACGGGGAGTGGGGGGAGCAGGAGCAGGAGAGCCCAGGGGAGGAAGCGGAGGAGGAGAGGGACGAGTCGTATTGGTATTTGCAGCATCTGTGGCTGTCGGGATTTGTGCGACAACAGGCAAAGGTGAGGGGGTGTGGGTGGGGTGGGGGATACGAAGAGAGCAACTAGAAGGGAGGAGAGGGAAGAGTCGTATTGGTATCTGCAGCATCTGTGGCTGTCGGGATTTTTGCGACAACAGGCAAAGGTGAGGGGGTGGGAGGGGAAGGGAGGGATGGGGTGGGGGGGGCAAATGTGGTGGTGAGGGATGGGGAGGAGAGCAGGCAATGTGGGACGGTCGAAGCATCACTTGCTGCACCCTGCACTAGGTGCACCTCCCCCACACCCTGCACCAGATGCACCTCCCCCACACCCTGCACCAGATGCACCTCCCCCACACCCTGCACCAGATGGGCCTCCCCCACACACTTTCATACTCAGAGACATCCTTCTGTTTGTGTGCTTGGAACTGCAGGCGTGCTGGGTCATGTGCTGCAGTGCTCTGTACCAGATGAACCTCCCCCACACGCACACCTTCATGTGTGTGTGTGAATGCTATGCTTCTCCCACTCCAGGCATGCTGGGAGGCGGCTCATGAGCAGGAGAAGCTGCAGGTGTCAGGGCTTCAAAGGGACATCAGCTGCGCCCTGCACCAGATGCACCTCCCCCACACCCTCGAGTACCGAGACGGGGACTACAGCATCGACATCGCCCTCCTCCTGCCGCTCTCTCCACGCCCGGCATCTGCAGAAAGTGACTCTAAGAGGAGTGATTCTAGGAGGAGGGAGCGGCGTGTTCTGAAGATCGCCGTGGAAGCTGACGGGCCGTCACACTTCACTATAAGCACATCAGGAATGGATGCTGAACAGCAGCAGGAACAGCACTCTCAGCACCTCTATCCACAGCGGCAACAGCAGCAGCATGTACCACTGGGTCCAACTCGCCTCAAGGCCAGACTGCTGCATTGCCGAGGCTGGCAGGTGGTTCAGGTGGGTCCCTCTGTTGGTGCCAGGTGGTTCAGTTGGGTGAGATATCTGATGGTGCCACGTGGGTCAGGTGAGGACTCAAGGTATAGCACAAGAGTAATAATATCAAGTATGCATCTGAATTTCAATATCTGTGAATCAGGTATTTCTCGTTCGTCCCTCACCCTCCTACGTTCTCCCTCTCCTCTCCTGCTCCTCCTCCTCTCACTCCTTGCCCCTTGATTGCAAATGCTTTCTTTTGGCTGTGCATGCCTTTCTGATTGGTCTTTACCCCTGCCATTGAATTGAACACCCAAAACACTACACTAGACCTCCATCTGAATTTATTTTTACCATGACGTGTCAATGTTGAGCCCTCTCCTACCTCCCTCCACCGCTCCCCACCGCAGATACCTTTCTTCGAGTGGGAGAGCCTGTCGGACCTCCACCAGAAGCAGACATATCTCGCCACCCGCCTCGGGCCTCTGGCCATGCAGCTGGCACGCGCAGCAGCAGATGCTGACGTGGCACAGGAGCAGCCAGGTGAAATGGCAGGGGTTTCTGTTTCGTCTGAGGTGGAGAGGCAGGGGGGAGGTGAGACTGGGGAGGGTAGGACTGGGGAAGGGGGGACTGAGGAGAGTAAGAGAGGGGAAGGTAGTTTTGAGGAGGGTAGAACTGGGGAGAGTGGGACTGAGCGTACTGATTTGGATGCTGAGGAGCAAGGGGAAGGGGGGGCCAAGGAGGGGCGAGTAGCAGAAGAGAAAAGGCAGGTTGGGGGAGATGAATCTGGGCCTGGGGAGGGAGGAGAGGAGGGGAAGGTGGAGGAGGGGGGGGAGGAGGAAGCAGAAAGGAGGAAGGGAGGGGATGTCAGTCCTGAGCAATCTCAAAAGGAAGGGGAGGAGGGGGTGGAGGGGGAGGAGGAGGAGGTGGAGGGGGAGGAGGAGAGGAAGAAGGGAGGGGATGTGTTGAAGCGAGCTGAGGTGCTGGGGGCGTGGAAGGCAGGACAGGGCAAGGGAGGGCTGGGAGCTGACCGGCTGGCACTTCTGAGAAAGGCTGCTGTGAGGAGAGGGCTGTCGCAGAAGTAGCTGTTGCAGAAGTAGCTGTCACAAGTCGTAGTCGTAGCAGTTACTTGCTGAGGTCGTAGGAGAGATCTGAGGTTACTGTATGAGATGCACAGCTGCAACTGGCTTGATGAAGCGCGCCGAGCAGATCTGGCTCTAAGACTGATTTTTGCCACTTTCCAGATCTGAGCAGCCACACCCCCTTTCTGTGGGAGAGTACGGTACTGGTATCTGTAGGTCTGATTTGAAACCTTGCATACATTAGGGGCAACCCCACCTAGCACAGCCACTATATTCGATATAGCTAGCCTTCTGTCTAGTGTCAAGAGGTTTCCCTGATAAAGCCAGCAGCTAAAATAGTGACCCCCCCCTTCTAGTTGGGTCCAACTAGAATCTCCATACACTTGGAAACTTTTGGAAAAGTTGGAAGTGTTTTGTGAACCTTTTTTCCAACTCAGTTCGAGTTCCGAAGTGAACGGGGAAGGGAACAATGGGTGTTCACTTATGATTGGTGGTAAACTTATCGCACATACATGTCCGAATTCGGCGCAAGGATGCGCCACGTGCAATGCCACATTCACTGGAAAAGTGGTAGCTTCACCAAATTCGAGCATAGTAAGCAAATTCCGAAGCACACACCACAAGCATGCCACAAGAGCGTATGCAGAGAACTAGCTGAGCGGTGATAACAGTGCTGCCTTGGACTTGGGGCCTGAGAGAGGTAAAATACAGGGGAGTGGAGAATTTTGACGGTGAGGGAAAATTGATCATGGACAAGGTGACGCGAACAGAGAGAACTAGTGTCCTGGTGTAAGAGGATGGGGGACGGCTGAGATGAATGGGATTGGAGGGGTGAGAGGAAGAACGACGGGAGGAGGGAGAGAGGAAGAACGACGGGAGCAGGGAGAGAGGAAGAACGACGGGAGCAGGGAGAGAGGAAGAACGACGAGTTGGGAGAAGAGAGCGGGTGAACGACGAGGAGGGAGAGGACAGAGAAAAATCGACATGAGGGAAGGGAATCGCGATCGTGAGAGCAACGGGAAGGGAGAGGAGATGGTGAGGGGATCGGCCTGTGGGAGAACGTCGGGGTGGGAGGGAAGATTGCGAGGGCGATCGTAACCGATCGACGATGGGAGGACGATCGGAGCAAGAGGGTTATTCGCGATGGGAAGGGGACGTGATGTTCGACGGGAGGACGACGGGACGGCGACCGCGATGGGACGCGCGGGCGACGGGAGTAGAGAGAGGAAGGGCGACGGGGGTTGAGAGAGGAAGTGCGACGGGAGGGTAATTCGAGGCGAGCGCAATGGCGTCGAGTCTTAGAATACGGATAGCTGTCCGCATGCGCTCAGCTGCTGCTGTGCATGGGGCAGTGGCGCATGCGGTTGCTGCTGCGCGTGCGGCGACATCTGCGCGTGCAGCTGTTGCTTTGCGCGTGCGCAGCTGCTACTGCGTACGCAATTACAGTTGCGTACGTGGTTCCTGCTGGGAGTGCGCGGCTGCAGCGGTGCGTGCGTAGCTGCTGTCTCGTGCAGGACGGATCGCAGCGTGCGCGGCTGCTACGTGCGGTGCTGTAGCTGCGTGCGTAGCTGTAGCTGCTCGGGCGCTGTCTAGTGAGCGCATTCACGTGCGCGCCTGCTGCTAACTAACGAGGGGAGATAGCAAGGGCGACGGGCAGCGAAGGGAGATAGCGAGGCGACGGGCAGCGAAGGGAGTAGCGGATGGGAAGGAGAGCGCGAAGGCGATGGGAAGGAGAGCGCGAAGGTCGACGGGAGGGAAAGCGCGAAGATCGACGGGAGGGAGAGCGCGAAGGTCGACGGGAGGGAGAGCGCGAAGATCGACGGGAGGGAGAGCGCAAAGGTCGACGGGAGGGAGAGTGCGAAGGCGACGGGAGGGAGAGCGCGCTGGTCGACGGGAGGGAGAGCGCGCTGGTCGACGGGAGGGAGAGCGCGATGGCGACGGGAAAAGTGATGGGAGGGGAGGGAGGAAGGTGTCAAACTATATGTTTAATGTTATGTAGGCTGTAGTGGGTTTAGCCTTAGGGGGTACAGAAACTTGCTCGACACTTGTTTGTACCACCCTCCAAACCCTAATCCATCATACCTTCATACTATCTTCACAGAAGGGCGCGGGAAGAGCGTTTCAGAGCAAGAGCGTAGGCGACGAGCTGTGTGATGGGAGGGGAGAGAAGAAAGGCGACAAGGGGGGGGCATTTCGGGGAGAGAGCTAAAGCCAACGAGTGGGGAGAAAGGGCGACGGGGAGGAGGGGAGAGACCCGCGAAGGTGATGGGAGGGGAGCGGACAGCGGACGAATATTGTAGCCGCTGAAGGGTAGTGGAGATGGCCAAGGCGCGAGACAGGACATTAGCCGCTGCGGAAGGGTAACGACCGTTTGCGGAAGAAAATAAACTGACGATACTAAGCTTACTAACAGCAACACGCATTCCTGCAGGGTCGATAGTTACTTTTCCTGGCCACAAACACCTACTATTGTCAGCTAAATTATGATAGGGAAAAGGGGAAAATATGTTAATGTTAACTTACATGGGGAACTATAACGCGTACGGTAACGATTTCAACGCGTTTGGTAACTCGCTTAACGCGTTTGGCAAGTTGCTTAACACGTTTGGTAACTCGCTTAACGCATTTGGTAACTCTACACTAGCAGCCCATCACGCGAATGGTAACTACATGAAATTCCCGCCGAAATTGAGCCTGATTCTGGTTTTTCCCGCTCGCGTCAGAATAAATTGACGAATCGTGAAGTAGAAACTTATGACACACTCCCCGAGATTCTGACACAATTTCCGAAATTCTGACAAACTTTCCGAAATCCTGACACACTTTCCTTTTTTTCAAGATAATTGCAAGAACGTAAGCGTTGTGAAAACAGCTGTTCAAACATCAATGCTGTTTTGGCGCTTTTTCCGCAAACGTTTTGTACTTTATTCTATCGCGCAGCCGGGGCAAACAAATCTATATCCCTTTCCAATGGCAAATAAATTTGAGCGCAACAACCATAAATTTGAGAGCAACAACCCTAAACTTATTGCAACCAGGCGTTTATGGATCTTTATTTAAAAAAATGAAAGACGAAATTTTACAAAGGCTTACTTTTCCCACGTACAAAAATTCTCCAAAGTTGCAGTATTAAAAAAAAAGGGTAAAATTTGCAATGTCCTTTTCGAGAAATATTTTTTATCCTTTTGCAAGTCTGCAATCATGCTATCAAAAATATGATCTTGTCCATTTTTGTACGACTTACCTATATATAAAATGGCTCTGAAACTTTTTGGTCCGTGGTACAAACGGGGTCCTTTAAATTCGCTGCGGGACTTGTTCACAAAAGATAATAATGTGCGTAAAATCTCTCAAACTCGATAAATTCTTTTTTGTCAGGAAAATGTCGGCGGGAATTTCATGTAGTTACCATTCGCGTGATGGGCTGCTAGTGTAGAGTTACCAAATGCGTTAAGCGAGTTACCAAACGTGTTAAGCGACTTACCAAACGCGTTAAGCGAGTTACCAAACGCGTTGAAATCGTTACCGTACGCGTTTTAGTGCCCCATGTAAGTTACCATTGACATATTTTCCCAGGGAAAAAACTAGTGAGTTCGGGATGAAGAGCAGCTAGTCGTGAAACCCAGTTCCAGCTTGAAACCAACGTCCGCCTGGCGATGGAAACCATCGCTGGGCAACAGTCGTGCATGTGGAGCACGATGACGTGCGACGGATGAGATGCGCGTGGAAACCTTTTTTGGCGGGAACAGAAAGAATCAAGATTGGCGAAAGCTAATCACATTTGTTCACAGTGCGGCTCTTTTTGTTTGGAACAGTGCTACATCGGCCCCATCTCTGTCGCACCATTTCAAGTTGGGACAGGGTTCATTATTTTATATTTCGGTTATAAGGGGCCCGTACACAGGAACACGGCCTCAGCAGTACAAAAAAGATACATCTGAAATGAAATCATAGACTACATAATGCCATCCACTATATTGTACACTGCTAGCTTCTGCCACGTGTCAGCCCCCAATAGGGCCTCTCCTCCTAGAGAGTACGCTAGTGACCAGCAGGCAAGCAGGGAGAAAGCGACACTGCAACCAATGGCTGATCCCACCACGTCTGCATGAAGGGTGGAGGGGAAAATGGGAGGAGAGGGAGAAGAAATGGGGAGAATTGGGTTGGTTGAGAGGGGATTCAGCGGAAGAGGCAAGCAGGGAGAAAGCGACACTGCAGCCAATGGCTGATCCCACCACGTCTGCAAGAACAAGTCAAGAAGGAACAGGGAGTGGAAATGGGGGAAGATGGGAGGGTTGAAGGAGGTTCAAGGAAGAGGAGGCGCAGGGAGAAAGCGAGACTGCAGCCAATGGCTGATCCCACCACGTCTGCAATCAAGGGGGGGAAAGAGGAGAAGAAATGGGGAAGACAGGGTTGGTGGAGGGGAGCTTCAGGGGACTAGGCAGGGAGAAGGCGACACTGCAGCCAATGGCTGATCCCACCACGTCTGTGAAAGCGAATGGAGGGGGAGAAATGGGAAAAATGGAAGAGTTTGAAGGAATTTTATGGAAAGAAGAGGCAAGCAGGGAGAAAGGAACACTGCAGCCAATGGCTGAGCCCACCACGTCTGAGAGAAAATGCGAGAAGCGGGGAGTGGAGAGGAAATGAGGGAAAGTGGGGAAAGTGGTAGGGTTTGAGAGGAAAGAATTGGGGGAAGAGGCAAGGAGGGAGAAGGCAACACTGCAGCCAATGGCAGAATGGCGGAAGATTGGGGGGGGGGGGGGGAGGAGGGGGGGGGGAGGGGGAGAGAGAGAAAACGGGAGAGAATGAGGGGGTGAAAAGGAGCGTTGGGGCGGAGCACGCAGAAAATGAAGGGGGAAGCTGATAGATAATGTTACATCAGTTTCTGTCAGATAAACTCACATGATCGTAGCAGGGGATCGTGGCCGGCGTTACAACGAAGCACGGCCATAATCGAGGCAGGGTTAGAGGGGGGAAATGAAGAGAAAGGAGGGGCGCAAGCAGATCAAAGAAAACGAGAGGCGGTGTTGCACCAATCTTGTCGGATATACTCACAGGATCGCAGCAGGGGGTCGTGGCCGGCGTTATAACGAAGCACGGGCCAGAAGAAGTAGCAGTTAACGAACCACAGCCACGGGAGCAGCAGGAAGCCTCCCAGAAAGAACCCGCGCGCGAGGCTCCGAGCCGCGTCGTCTGACAGCCCGACGTCCCCGTCGACCGTTAGATGCCGCGCGGCCGTCGCGTCGGGAACGGCGGCCCTCGCGGGTGGCGCCATGGGCTAGTAGTAGACTCGGGAATGAGAGGGCCCTCACGTAAGCATTCTGAAGTGGACTGACCGGGGGAATCGTGCCTGGGAAACCCGTGTCCCGGGGAAGCGTGTCCCGGGGAAGAGTGTCCCGGGAAAGCGTGTCCCGGGGAAAAGTGTCCCGGGGAAAAGTGTCCCCGGGAACCCGTGTCTCGGGGAAGAGCGTCCCGGGGAAGCGTGTCCTGCGGCTTATGAAACGTTCAGTTTTAGGGCGATTGGAAAAACTTGTCCCGGGGGAAGCCGTGACACCGAGAAGCGGGGACTGCGGCTGACAGGCTGGCTCAGCTTAGGGAGACTCTACGCGACAGGCTGCGGCGAGGAGAGAGACCTTTCACTGCAGTAGAGCAAGTGAGCGAGTCGCGGAAAAGGGTATCTCTGCTGCCTGGCATTTCGGCTGGTATCCCTGTTGAATGTATGACTCGCTGTTCGTTGTACGCGATAGCAGCAATGTCCAGTGTTTCGTGCACAATTCCTGCAACATCACCAGCAATATTCTGCAACAGTAGTCTTGAAACAAGTTAGAAATGCTCAAACGGCATTTCTAACGGCAATAATTTGTTAATTCTTACTGAAGCCGAACTTTTAGAGGATACTTTCCAAAGGAAGCTCGTGTCAGCTGGTTCGGCCTTTGCATTCTTCCCGAACCACCTCGGCTTCGCCACCACACCTTTCGCCACGTTTTTTTCCGAGCCTCTCCTCGCATGTTTGCACCTACCGTTCGTTCGCGTTTGAAGTACAATCACTGTATGTTTATTCTGTACGCAACTTCACTGTACGTATAGTATCCAGTTATACTATGTGGAAGTTATTATCTTTTCAGAAGACTTCCCCGCGCCGCCCCAGCTAGCGCTCTTCAGACTGACGACGGCCTTGGCTGCCATCTTTTGTGACTTCTACACAAGACATTCCGCAGTCATTTTGCGGTCATTCTGCTGCAGTCTTTAACCTTCTGTAGTGACCCTGCGGTCGTTCCATTCTGCAGCCGCTCCTTCCAAACCGCTCCCCACGACTGAGAAAGAAGTCTCTAAGCGTCTGAAAGTGGAACTTTGACGGACGTAGGAGAGGTGAACCGTCGGATATGTCAATGGTCCAAGATCTGACGAATGAGCTCTTCCGACACATTCGGATTATGATTGTCCAAGAGTCTGTCGACGTGTGTCGACACCCCCACTTCCGCCGACACGCCGCGGAATCAGCCCAGAAACCACATCTAGTAGTACCAGTCATTCGGCGTGGGGGTTTCAAGAAAGTTCAGTTTCAACCAGCGCTCTGCACGCGTACTGATTTCCGCGTTGCGGCATTCGGAGGTACCCTGAGGATGCCTACTGTACTTTGGCAGGGGGTTTCGGGCGATTATCATGCCGTCAACAGCTATTTGCAAACAGAGGATTTGCGCTCGCGTTTCCTTCTTACCATCTCCTTGCGGATTCTGCACCTCGCGTTTGCCGGACCCGCCGCGCGAACCAAGTTTCGACTGTTCGGATCATATCGTTCGACGAACGGCGTAGTTCACAGTGTTACGTGTGCGTGAGGTGTGAGCTTCCCAAACATGGCTGTGAAAAGCGTCGAGATAGAAGAACTCTCGGTCGCCTCTGAAGTTTCTGGCCCAGAGACTCAGAGTCGAGGGGAGCTCCATGTCCCGTCAGGGAAGCACGTCCATACGACTGCGAGCGACCAGAACACGGTCGAAACAAAAGCATTCAGACGACAAGACGGCGGCTTGCGGGCTTACGAAGAATGTTGGGACCGCGTTCGGGATGGGGGACAAGATCTTGATCGGACGGAGCAGGTCATATTTGGGATCTCGCGAATTTTGCTGGATTGGAAAAAGAGATTGGCGATTTTGCGCGGAGCAGAAGCTTGGGAGTCGGGCGCGTTAGAATCGCGCGGCGGAAGAGCGGGGGATGGGGCTCTCATGCCGGAATCATGCCTCAAGGGCCGCACCGCGAGGGGTTCGGTGGAATCGCGGCCGTTGATCATTGGCTGCATGGTCGGGCTTGCCGTGCCTCTCGTTTTCGTGCTGTACCTGATGGCCACTACCAACCGAGTAAGTGGTTTGTTCAATAGGCTCCAGACTCAAGACTCGTGCCTCTCTTGCTCAAGACTCGTGCCTCTCTTGCTCAAGACTCGTGCCTCTCTTGCTCAAGACTCGTGCCTCTCTTGCTCAAGACTCGTGCCTCTCTTGCTCAAGACTCGTGCCTCTCTTGCTCAAGACTCGTGCCTCTCTTGCTCAAGACTCGTGCCTCTCTTGCTCAAGACTCGTGCCTTTCATTCCGTGCTACGCGGCTAGCCATTTGTATCGAGGAGAGAGCATTTGTGCTTGTCTATTAGTATAATTTAGGTGAAGCAGAGTGGGAGCTGCCTGGCTGCATTCTCACTCTCGACTCGCGCTACAACCCCGAGGGGGTGCTGGCTGTGCAGGCGGCTGTAGCGCGGCTCTTGCGGGACCTGGGGGCGGAAGAGGGGGGAGCTTCTGAGTCGACCACAAGCCAGCGGAGGCGGCTGTAGCGCGGCTCTTGCGGGACCTGGGGGCGGAAGAGGGGGGAGCTTCTGAGTCGACCACAAGCCAGCGGAGGCGGCTGTAGCGCGGCTCCTGCGGGACCTGGGGGCGGAGGCGGGTATTGTTTCCGTTTGTGTCATGGACAAAACCAAGAAATTTATCAGGGTTTGTTTTCTGCGCCTACAGCTCACACCTCTCCTCGCCTCTATGCCCACCCTTCATTTCCGAACCTCAACCTCAGGCTTGGTCAGACATCAGTCAGCTTTGGAACCTCTCCCCTTCGGTTCGGTTGCCTCTATCGACGTGGGAGCGGCCCGGGTGCATTCTCACTCTCGACTCGCGCTACAACCCCGAGGGGGTTCTGGCTGTGCAGGTGGCTGTAGCGCGGCTCCTGAGAGACCTGGGGGCGGAAGGGGAAGGGGTGGGGGGGGCAGGCGGAACTTTTGAGTCGGCACAAAAGCCAGTGGAGGCGGCTGTAGCGCGGCTCCTGAGAGACCTGGGGGCGGAAGAGGGGGGGGGAGCTTTTGAGTCGACTCACAAGCCAGCGGAGGCGGCTGTAGCGCGGCTGCTGAGGGACCTGGGGGGGGAGGCGGAGGGAAGGCGGGGGGTCGAGGCGGAGGGGGTTGGGGGGGCTACTCAAGAGCCAGCGGAGGCGGCTGTAGCGCGGCTGCTGAGGGACCTGGCGGGGGAGGTGGGGAGGGTGGAGGGAGAGAGGGTTGGGGGAGAAGGGAAGGGGCGGGAGGGTGTAGGGACGGGCGCAGGGGGTGCGGGCGCAGGGGGTGCGGAACGGATAGGGCGGAGGGGGAAGTTGCGGGAACGGAGTGAGAAGGAAGTAGAAGTGGGGAGTTTGGGGAGGGGGGCGAGGGCAGGGCAGGGGAAGGATGAGGGGCAGGGTAAGGAGGGGCCTTGGAAGGATGAGAAGGAGGTGGAAAGGGAGAGCGGAAAGGGAGGAGAGGGCGGAAAGGGAGGAGAGGGCGGAAAGGGAGGAGAGGGCGGAAAGGAAATGTCTGATTCGTGGCGGAGGTTTTATGGTGCGCTCCCTAAGGTGGTGGATGCGGATGGGAACGAGGATCAGCTGAAGATGCCCATTTGGGTCACCCTGGCCGTCAACATGTGAGTACGTGTTACCATGTGCGTACGTGTTACCGTGTGCGTACGTGTTAGCATGTGCGTACGTGTTACCATGTGCGTACGTGTTACCATGTGCGTACGTGTTACCATGTGCGTATGTGTTACCATCTGTGTACATGTTACCATGTGCGTACGTGTTACCATGTGCGTGTGTGTTACCATGTGTGTACGTGTTACCATGTGCGTACGTGTTACCATGTGCGTACGTGTTACCATGTGCGTACGTGTTACCATGTGTGTACGTGTTATCATGTGCGTACGTGTTACCATGTGCGTACGTGTTACCATGTGCGTACGTGTTATCATGTGCGTACGTGTTACCATGTGCATACGTGTTACCATGTGCATATGGGTGCCTTTGTGTCACGATTTGGCTGCCTAGGGTGGTGGAAGCGGATGGGCATGGGATCAGCTGAAGATGCCCATTTGGGTCACCCTGGCCGTCAACATGTGCGTACGGTTGCGTAACGGCATTGCATGTGCTGCTTACGGTTGCGTAACGGCATTGCATGTGCGTACGGTTGCGTAACGGCATTGCATGTGCGTATGGTTGCGTAACGGCATTGCATGTGCGTATGGTTGCGTAACGGCATTGCATGTGCGTATGGTTGCGTAACAGCATTGCATGAGCATATGGTTGCGTAACGGCATTGCGTGTGTGTATGTTGCGGTGTTGACATGTTAGTAAGGGTTACACAGTATCATTTCTATGCGTCTGTCTATGAGCTGCGTGACGTCATCACGTGTGTGCATCTTTCCATCTCCTTGCTAAAGGATGTATGCGCGGCGGCATGGGTATCGACTCGTGGTGGAAAACGGGTCAGCATGGTCAACGCAAGTCAAGCGAATCCCCTGCTTCCATCCCATCCGTCCCTCCCCTTCAGGCTATATGCGCGGCGGCATGGGTATCGACTCGTGGTGGAAAACGGGTCGAGATACACACAGGATAGGCACCCCTCGTGGTTCAAGGTGAGTGTCAATGAGAAGAGAGCAGCAACCACCTGCACCCGTCGTGGTTCAAGGTGATTGTCAATGAGAAGAGAGCAGCAACCACCTGCACCCCTCGTGGTTCAAGGTGAGTGTCAATGAGAAGAGAGCAGCAACCACCTGCACCCCTCGTGGTTCAAGGTGAGTGTCAATGAGAAGAGAGCAGCAACCACCTGCACCCCTCGTGGTTCTGTTAGAATCTAGCAGCAGAAATGTGTGAACTAGTGGCATGCAGGAGTACAAGTAGTAAACCCTAATTGGGCTGTACCCCATATGGGCTACCCCACTACAGCCTAGACAATATGTAGCATATATGTTTGACACACCCCCATAGGCAAAGTGGGGGAGAACAAGGGGTCAAACGACCAGTCAAGAGAAGCAAAGCAAGCTCAGGGTGGATCTCAACGTCACCACACATTCTGAGCACAAGCAAAGGGCCACAAGGCCAGTCCACATGCAGAGATATATATGCAACAATAACAGTACAGTGATGACTACCTAGCAAGAGCAGGCATGCATGTATATATATAGATCACAGTACAAGCAGAGACTACAGCAAGTGTGGAAACGTAGGCACAAGGCCTAACAGGGTACAAAAGCGCTGATGATCACCAGACGGAAGTGCCTTGGTGAATATATCAGCAGTGTTGGCCCGAGTGGCCACGTGACGAAGACGAAGCTGGCCTCGCTGCTGCAACTCTCGAGCCAAGAAGTAACGCAGAGCAATGTGCTTCGTTCTGTGCTCCAGTCTGTGCTCCTCACACAAGGCAATGGCGGCCTTGTTGTCGACGTACAGCACTGGAGGAGAACGAGGTCGCTCTCCCAAGTCAGTCAGCAGGTAGGTGAGCCAGCGTAACTCCTGTGCAGCCATGGCTGTGGCGTAGATCTCAGCCTCACAACTGGAGCTGAGAACTGAAGACGAGCGTGTAGAACGCCACGAAACTGAACCAGAGCCAAGGCTGAAGGTGTAACCCTGCGACGACCGCTGAGTAGCCAGGTCGTCAACCCAAGAAGCGTCTGAGTGCCCAGTGAGGACAACTGGGCTCGTCCCTCCAAGCACTAGCCCCATGCCTGATGTGCTGCACAAGTAGCGCAGTACCCTCTTAGCAGCAGCCATGTGCTCAGGTCGGTGCCGACCAGGAGCCACGTAGCGAGCCAGAAGACCAAGAGGGTACGCGAGGTCAGGTCGAGTGCAAGTCATCAGGTACATGAGGCAGCCGACTAGCTCTGGGTAAGGACCACTCGGCTCTACGGACTCGTCCGAAGGTGGAGCTGAGAGCGAGTGGCCTGTGCTGAAGACCAGGTGAAGCCGAAGCGCTGAAGGACCTGCTGCACCATGTGTGACTGAGTCAAGGTGATGGTGCAACCTGCTCTGTCTCGGGTGATCTGCAAGCCAAGGTAGCTGCGCAGCTCACCCAAGTCTGTGCACGTGTGTCTCTTCTACAGCTCCGACTTCACGTGGGCGAGAGCCTTAGTGTCAGCAGTGGCAAAAACCAAGTCGTCGACGTACACAAGGATGTAGAACGGCGGCAGGGAAGTGTCGGTGCGCAGAAACAACGACGGGTCAGCAGTAGAAGGCGCGAACCCAAGAGCCGCAAGCGTAGTCCTCAGTGTGTCGTGCCACTCACGTGGCGCCTGGCGGAGACCGTAGACCGGCCGCCGGAGGCTCCACTGGGTACCAGGAGGGAACGACCCAGTGAAGCCCGGGGGGCGGCGCAGCCAGATCTCCTCGTGCAGACTGCCCTGCAAGAAAGCAGTGCTGAAGTCAAGAGAGTGAAGCTCGTAGTCACGGTGAGCAGCAACGTGCAGCAGCACCCGAAGAGTGGTCATCTTCGGGGTGGGGGAGAAGGTCTGGAAGAAGTCAACTCCCTCTCGCTGACTGAAGCCTCGAGCCACGTAACGCGCCTTGAAGACAGGCGGAGAACCCGGCGGCCGCTTCACCCTGAAAATCCACATGCCACTGACGATGTTCGCCCTAGGTGGGGGAACCTCGTCAACGTAGGTGCCTGTGGACTTCCAGGAAGCCATCTCTGCGTCCATGGCTGCCTGCCACTGAGAGGAGTAAGGACCCGCGATCGCCTCTGCGTAAGAGCGCGGAGTCGGGATGTCTGGTGCATCCGGGTCTCCCTCAGGGGCAAGTAGCGAGGACACAAGATGAGGTAAAGCAGCAGCAAGACACTGGAACTCCTCCTGCCTGTCCTCAAGGACGTCCGTGCTAAGAGCACACTCACCCCCGACGGACGGAGGACAGACAGACTCAGACTCAGCAACAAGACTGGCGGTGTAGTCTAGACGACAGGCAGCAGCAAAGTCAACAAGCTCAGCGACCAAGGCAGACGCAGCAGTAGACTCAAACGACGGGTCAGTGACAATAGTGGCTAGGAGACGCGTGACAGTAGGGTGCTCAGTACGAAACCGGTCAGACTCAGGGTCCGGAACGGCAGGCAGAGAGGACGCAGGAGGAGACGGCAGAAGAACAGGCGGCGGAGCAGAGGAAGGACAACGGACTACGAGGTGTGCGCCGGGGACAGCCGGCTGACGCGAACGAGGAACACGACGACCGGTACGACCAGGACGAACAGGCGAAACAGGACGCGACGCAGGCTCACGACGCTCAGCAGGACTACCAGTCAGCTCAGTGTAAGGAGAAGGAGCAGGCAGCGGTGAGCCAGACTGTAACGGAAGACCAGTAGACGACGGAAGAGTAAGAACCTGACGAAGAACAGAGGCAGACGGCGGCAGAGACGACGGAGACGGCGGAGCGAAGAACAGTCGTGTCGGCGCAGCTGCACCAGTACCAGCAGCTCCAGCAGCTCCAGTGCCTCCAGCAGCTCCAGTACCTCCAGCAGCTCCAGTACCTCCAGCAGCTCCAGAAGCTCCAGGCCCAGAGCCGACACCTCGAGTCCCAGGGTCTCCAACCTCTGTGTCTCCAGCAGCAGCACCCCCAGAACCAGCACCTCCAGTCCCAGGGTCTCCAACCTCAGGGTCGCCAGCAGTAGCACCCCCAGAACCAGCACCTCCAGCTCCAGGGTCTCCAACCTCAGTGTCTCCAGCAGCAGCACCCCCAGAGCCAGCACCTCCAGTCCCAGGGTCTCCAGCCTCAGTGTCTCCAGCACGAGCCCCTCCAGAACCAGCAACTCCAGCACCTCCAGTAGACAAAGGACCAGCACGACTCCGAGCTCCAGCAGCGCGACGCTGACGGCGACCGTACCAGTCCTGCAGCTGCTGTGGGGTGAGAGGCACACGTGGACGAAGGCGGCCACTCCAAGGAGACCGCGCAACAGCAGACTCAGAACCCTCAGCGCCCGCACCCCCAACGGCTCCAGAACCTCCGGTGTCAGTACCCTCAGCACCAGTACCTCCAGCGGCTCCAGAACCTCCAGCGCTAGCACCCTCAGCAGCTCCAGAACCTCCAGCTCCAGCGTCACCAGTACTAGGCCCTCCAGTAGCACACGAACCTCCAGCGCCAGCACCCTCAGTAGCTCCAGAACCTCCAGCGTCAGTACCGCCAAGCTCAGCACCCCCAGACCCCTCACACTCAGGCTCAGCACCACCAGGCTCTACACCCTCAAGCTCCGCACCCGCAGGCTCAGTACCCCCAGGCTCAGCACCCCCAGGCTCCGCACCCTCAGGCTCAGCACCCCCAGAAGTAGCACCCCGAGCAGGACCACTCTCAGTAGGACCTGAGTCACCAGTGACCTCAACCGGCGCAGTCAAGGGAGGAGGGTCTACCTGAGAAACACCTGAAGGAGCAGGACCGGGAGCGGGGAGGGGGTCTACCTGGGGAGCACCTGGAGCGAGGAAGAGCGGCGGGGGGGGAGCGAGGCAGTGCGGTAGGGGAAGAGACGGTAAAAGGGAACCGACTCGTCGAACGTGACGTCCTGAGACGCAAAGACACGGCGCGAGGTGGGGTGGTAAAACTGCCAACCAGGCGCGTCAGGGACAAAGCCAAGGAAGACACAGGGAACAGCGCGGGCGGAGAGCTTGTCCGCGGTGGTATCGCGGACAAAGGCACGAGCACCCCAGACCCGGAAACGCGACGCATCGCCAACCTTCCCCGTCCACATCAGTGTGGGCGAGGTCTCCGGCAAGGAGACACGGGGCCAGAGGTTGAGCTGATGCGCGGCGTACCGGACCGCAAACGGCCACAGAAAATGGGGGGCAGCCGCATGGATCAGGGAGGTACGAGCGACCTCTATGACTAAGCCAATGCGGCGCTCAGCAACCCCATTCTGCTGCGGAGAGGCCGGAAGCGTGAACGACTGGGTGATGCCGTGCTCCGCACAGTAGGCTGCCAAGAGGTCGGAGGAGAACTCACCACCTCTGTCAGAGTGCAGACGCAGGACAGGAAAGTCCGACCGGAACCGCTCGCGGAGCTGGAGACGAACTGCGCGGATCCAGGGGATCAAAACAGCAGGGACATCCGCCTTGCTCCGCAAGGGGAAGACCGTGGTGTAACGCGTGTAGTCGTCAACAACCAGCAGGAAGTACCGCTCGTGGCCCTGTCCCTGGACGCGGGCTGGGCCCCACACGTCCAGGTGGAGCGTCTGCAGTGGAGCCTCTGTGGGAGGAAACGAGGAGGAGTGAGGAGCGGCGCGCTGCCGCCCCTCGACGCAAGGAATGTAGGGCGGCGCAGGCGAGGGAGGGAGGGCAGGCAGAGACCTGGGGAGACCAGAGACCAGGGAGCGAGAGTGCATGCTACGCAGGCGAGGCAAGGAGGGGTGACCAAGGCGGTGGTGCCACAGGAGAGTGTCGTGCGACAAAGCGCGACACTCGCAGGGGGCCGCCTGCTGACCAGACGTAGACGCAGACGCAGCTACCTGAGGGGACGCAGTGGTCAGTGTGTACAGACTCGAGCCAGGTGCACGGGTGAACGTGGCCAAGTGCCGGCCCGTCCTAGCACACGTACAGTGAGTCACTCGCTGACTCGCAGGAGTGAACTGGTGAACCCCCCCATCCTGGAGGTCAGCTCCACTCACCAAGTTCGTGGAGAACGAGGGGAGGTAAAGACCTGACAGGAAGCCAGACGGGACGGCCGGACACGGCAGAACCGTGGAGTGGTGGGCAATGACTGGACCCCCAGAGGGGTCCGCCAGGGAGACCGGGACTGGCCGACTGAGCGGCGTGAGTGCGGTGCAGTCGCGAAAGAAGGAGCGGGAAGCTCCTGAGTCAAGGGTGAAGGTGTGCGAGACCGCAGTGGGCGCAGTACCAGAGAGAGCAGACTCACCAGCACCTGAAGCCACGGCCTCACCAGTACCTAGAGCAGTAGACGTACTAGCACCGAGAGCAGCAGCCTCACCAGCACCTAGAGCAGGAGACGCACTAGCACCTAGGGCAGCAGCCTCACCAGGGTCAGGCGGTACGCACAGGTAACAGGCACGGTCAGCACTAGTAGACAAGGCATACATGGCAGTGAGAATAGCATCATAGTCAAGCGCAAAGATATCTACCCTCTGTCCATGCAGCTCCAGCCAGGTGGGGAGCTCAGCCTCGTCGCCAAACACTGTGCGCCAGGCGTCGCTCAGACGGGCGAAGCAGCGGGACTCTGTGTGACCAAGCGTCCCGCAAGGCTGACCAGTCCTAGCACCTGTGCGAATGACGTACGGGCAGCGAACTGTACGGGTAGACCTGCTACACTGAGCGTACCACTCCTGGAGCTGCCGAGGCGTAAGTGGCTCGCGTGGACGCCCCTGCAGCTGCAGCTGGCCACTGCTAGACGCTCCCAACTGACCAGCCCCAGGGCGACAGCTACGACGGCTACCGCGACAACCCCAGCTAGTATACCACTCACTAAGCTGCTGGGGCGTGAGAGGCTCGCGTGAACGTCGCTGGAGCTGCATCTGGCCACCTGCCAGTAGCAGTAGCAGCAGCAGCAGCGCGGGCAGGGCAGGCGTGGCAGGCAGGTAGGCAAGCAGGCAGGCAGGCAGGAAGGCAGGCAGGCAGACAGGCAGGCAGGCAGGCAGGCAGGCAGACAGACAGGCAGGCCGGCAGGCAGGCAGTCAGGCCGGTAGGCAGGCAGGCAGGCAGGCAGGCAGGCAGGCACGCAGGCAGGCAGGCAGGCAGGCCGGCAGGCAGGCAGGCAGCCAGGCAGGCAGGCAGGCAGGCAGACAGGCAGGCCGTCAGGCAGGCAGGCAGTCGCTCACCAAAGGCTGGGAGAGCAGGCGCTCACCGGGCGAGCAGGGCCGGCGCTCGACAGCGGCGACGTCGGGGCCGCAACACCGGCTGCAGAGCAGGGCCGAAGCAGCTGCAGGGCGGGGCCGCTTCAGCGGCAGGTCGGGGCCGTGGCAGCTGCAGGGCGGGGCCGCATCAGCGGCAGGTCGGGGCCGTGGCAGCTGCAGGGCGGGGCCGCATCAGCGGCAGGTCGGGGCCGTGGCAGCTGCAGGGCGGGGCCGCATCAGCGGCAGGTCGAGGCCGAGGCAGAGGGCCGCGCGCGGCTCGGCGCGGGCTGCGCTGACAGCGCGCTAAGCTGATGCAGGCCGCGCGCGGCCGCGCTAGGCAGTAGCGGGCCGCGCGCGGCTCGGCGCGGGCTGTTGCGGGCCGCGCGCGGGCCGTGCGAGGCAGTAGCAGGCCGCGCGCGGCTCGGCGCGGGCTGCTGCGGGCCGCGCGCGGGCCTCGCGAGGCCGTAGCAGGCCGCGCGCGGCTCGACGCGGGCTGCGTGGGCTCGGCGCGGGCTGCGCGCGGCAGCTGCGAGCTGCGCGCGGCTCGGTGCGGGCTGCGCGCGGCTGCAGCGGGCTGCGCGCGGGTCGGTGCGGGCTGCGCGCGGCTCGGTGCGGGCTGCGCGCGGCTGCAGCGGGCTGCGCGCGACTCGGTGCGGGCAGCGCGCGGCAGCAGTGTGCTTAACGGTCTGCAGGGGCTGTGTGCGGGCCTGACGGGCGTGTAGAGGCGGCGCGCGGGCCTTACGGGCCTCTAGGGGCAGCGCGCTGGCCTAGGGCAGCAGGAGGCAGCGCATGTGCAGCACGTCACAAGGCAAGGCAAGGCAGGCAGGTACGTGGGGTAGCGCGGTAACCGCAGCGGTAGGTGGGCCCGAAAAAAAAAACGGTCCTACGGACCTTAGTGCTCTGAAACCATGTTAGAATCTAGCAGCAGGAATGTGTGAACTAGTGGCATGCAGGAGTACAAGTAGTAAACCCTAATTGGGCTGTACCCCATATGGGCTACCCCACTACAGCCTAGACAATATGTAGCATATATGTTTGACAGGTTCAAGGTGAGTGTAGCGTCTGCTTGAGGCTTCCCTTCCTGGTTTATGGGGAGTGTGGCTCCCCTCCCTAACCAATGCGAGCGTCAGTGAATTCGGTAGGCTCAAGGTCTCTTCAATCCCTTCATTCCCTTTCCTTCATTCCCTGCTTTACCTTTTTTCCCTTCATTCCCTTCTTTCCCTTAATTCCCTGCTTTCCCTCCATTCCCATTCCCTTTCCCTCCGTTCCCTGCTTTCCCTGCATTCTATGCTCCCTTCACTCCCTGCTTCCCCTGCATTCTCTGATCCCTTTAGTCCCTGCTTTCCCTGCATTCTCTGCTCCCTTCATTCCCTGCGTTCCCTGCATTCCCCTGCCATTCCCTGCCCTCCCCTGCAGATACCGTTTCTCCGGGAGCAGCTGTCATGCTGCTGCAAGTGGGCATTCTTTGTCGACTCCGACGCCTACATGCGCATGCACCACCACAACCTGTCGATTGAAGCATGGATTCAAAACATCATGGAACCTGTGAGTGCAAGATACTGCATCATCATCATCATCATCATCATCATCATCATCATCATCATCATCATCATCATCATCATCATCATCATCATCATCATCATCATCATCATCATCATCATCATCATCATCATCATCATCATCATCATCATCATCATCATCATCCTCCTCCTCGTCACTCTCGTCACTCTCGTCCCATCACTCCCAGTTCATCCTTCCCGTGCATCATTCCCGCACCCCTCCGCACTCCTCCTCACCCTTCCTCACCCTTCCTCACCCCTCCTCACCCTTCCTCACCCTTCCTCACCACTCCTCACCGCTTCTTTATCCCAAGTAATACTTCTGCTGGCTGCTGGAGGCCCAAGTGACAGACTCACTGGACGGACAGGTGTGGGTCCCACAGGACATGGACTGTGAACGCTGCACCCCTTTTCACCTTGCCTCAACCCTCGTCACCCCCCCGCACCCCTCCTCACCACTGCTTTATTCCGAGAACTACTTCAACTGGCTGGTTGATTCCCAGGTCACGGAACCACTGGACGGACAGGTGTGGGTCCCACACAACATGGATCGTGAACAATGCACCCCTCCTCATCTCGCCTCACCCCTCCTCACCCCCCCGCACCCCTCCTCACCCCCCCGCACCCCTCCTCACCCATACTTGGTTATTTGTTCCCAGAACTATTTCAACTGGCTGGTTGATTCCCAAGTCACAGACTCCTTGGAGGGACAGGTGTGGGTCCCACAGGACCCTGCCCTGCTGCTACAGCCGGCCACGGCGCTACAGCCGGAGGGGCCTGTGGCTCTGATACCACGCAACGGGGACGCGTGGGGGGGGTATGACGGGGCCCCGGATCTTCTGTTCAAGGAAAAGGGCGACTACATCAATGCGGGGGTGCTGCTGTGTAGACGGTCCCTCGACACCTTGGAGGTGAGTGTTTCCAGAGAGGTGAATCAAGTACTGTAGAATGCGGATGCACGCAAGTACGGTATGATCTGCTTTTTACGGAAAAAACACGGTTGTATCAATGCGGGGTGCTGCTCTGTAGATGGTCCCTTGACACCTTGGAGGTGAGTGGACTTGTGCGTATATAGCCCCTGTTCTTGTGACTCTTGATCATCTGTATGAAGGGGCGCAGACCTGTGTTGCTCAGTAGACGATCCCTCGACACCTTGGAGTGGAGGTGAGTGTTTCCAGAGAGGTGAGTCAAGTACTGTGGAATGGGGGTGCACGCAAGTGGGGTATGATGTGCTATTTATGGAAAACCATTATTATCTCAATGCGGGGGTGCTGCTCTGTTGGTGGTCTTTGGATACGTTGGAGGTGAGTGTTTCCAGAGAGGTGGATCAAGTACTGTGCAATGGGGCCACACGCACGTGAGTGTTTCCGGAGATGAGCTTTTTTTTTTAGAAGTGAATTCGGTACCAGTGAAGGATGACTTGCAAGGGGGAGGTATGATGGGGGCACTGAAGCGCTGATCTGATGTGTTTGTTTTTGGAAAAATGAAACTATCTGAATGCTGCTCTGTAAGAGGTCCCTCGAGGTGATATTTTCCTGGTGAATCAGGTATGTGTTCTTTTAAGTGGGGGGTGAGACTGTAGGAGGGGGGGGGGGGGGGGGGGGGGGGGGGGACGGGAAGTGGGGGGGGGGATGAGAATGGGGGAGGGGGAGTTAGCCAGGAGCAGTGTAAGGGGAGAGTGGTAGTGATCCCATATGCCAAGTTTTGAGGCGCCTGAAATCTCATTTTCCCCCCCTTCCCCATCCCACCCCCTCGCAGTTCTTGAGGCAATGGTACATTATACAGAAAGCAGAGGAAATCCATCGATACAAGCACATATGGGAGCAGGCGAGCCTGAACGCCTTAGCCCGTCAGAAGCAGTGGAAGGGGAAGGTGATTATAGTTCCTTACAGCGAGCTGACAGGCCCTAACGGGGCCATGATTCGGCACGTGTGGGGCAATCTGCGCAAGGGAACACACCACAGGGTGTCAATGGAGGCTCTGCAGGAGATCATGGGGCTGCCGCAGTGAAGGGTTGCTTTTGAGGATTCTGAACTGCAACTCCATAGTGGTTTGCGCGAGGGAGCACATCACGAAGTGTCAATGGAGGCTGTGCAGGAGATCATGGGGTTACTGCAGCACGCACCTCTTGAAAAAACGCTTTTCAGTCGACTCAAACAGGACCCCATGGAGCCATGATTCGGCACGAGTGGAGTAGCTTGCTTGCTTGAGGGAACACGTCATGGACAGGCTGTCAATTGGGGCTCTGGAGGGAATAATGGGGTTGTAGTATGGGGTGTGCACCTTGTGGAAAGCTCAATGTTGCAGCAAGAGGTGTTTGCTTTATAGAAGAGTTGATGAATTTTCCAAGGGAAGGTGATGGCAGGGTGGTGGTAGTATTGTTGGCATTGCCGTTGAAATCAGTGCGGTAAATCATTCCTCCCCGCTATAACAAGAGTCGCGTTGTTTATGGGAAGTGGGAATAATGGCGTTTCCTTTGGAGACATTGAGAGAGAAATTTAGGGGGAGCTTTTTGAAACGGTAGTCGCTTGTGAAGTCAAGTGTAAGTTGCCAGAGATTTAGGATATTGTTAAAACCGATATATAAAATAATGAACCCCGTCCCATCTTGAAAGTGTGCCGCAGGGCTCGGTCCGATACAACACTGTTCCGAACAAAACGACAAGCACTTTGAACAAATGTGATTGGCTCTCACCAATCTTGTGAGCACTTGTTCCCGCCAAAATAATTTTACATGCCGATCTCCTCCGTCGCATGTCTACGTGCGACACCTGCACGACTCTTGCCTAGCGATGGTTTCCGTCGCCAGCACAACGTTGGTTTCAAGTTGGCACGGGGTTGCATGGCTAGCTACTCTCCAACTCGAAGTCTCTAGTATTATTCTTAGCACATTTTAGCTAAACCTAGGTGTTTGTGGCCTACGATAGTAACTTTCGACCATGCAGGAATGCTCAAGGCCGTTACGTAGCTTCGAATCGTATTTTATTCCCTTCCGCAGGCGATCGCTACCCTCTTGTCGCCTTCGTGCTCTCCCTCCCGTCACCTGCGCGTTGGTTCCTCCTCTCCCCTTCCATCCCGTCGTTCGCCATCTCTTTTCTCCCATCCCGTTGATCCTCTCTCTCTCCCCATCACAATCGTACTATCCGTTTGTGATTCCTTGTCCAGGTTATTTTTTTCCCTCGTTCTTCGACTCACTAATTTATAACCTCTTTCAGCCTCTCAAATACAAAGGAACGCCTTTTCTCGCAGATATGCTAGGTCGTCGGCCCACATTCACTCTCATCTCTTGCATACTGGTCTGCGCTGGAATTTGCCTAGTGGTTGATTCACGTGATGTTTTGGTCAAGGGACGATCATTGCTCAGAGTGAATACATGCATTGCAGCCTTGCGCCAAAATCGCATACAAGTATGTGTGAGTTGTGTGAAAACGTTCCAAAAAAACTTCAGTTTTCAAGTGGACCCAACTAGAAGGGGGGGTCACTATTTTAGCTGCTGGCTTTAATGGCCTGTATTTTCTATAGAATTCTGTGTATATTTAAGAATATTCGTAACGATCTTGCGCATTCTGCCTATAGTCGATACACCTGTTTCTGCGTGTGGTGCTTCGCTATAATCACATCACAGTCAGTTCACATGCTGCCGACGTATACGTGCGGTGGAAAGTGCACTTTCGAGTCGAAATCTGGTTGGCCGTTGATATTCTGTTGTGCCACCGCACATGTGTCACACAGCTTGCAAATGATTCAGTCACGCGTCTGACTCAGCAAACAGACAGACTTCTGTCTTGCGTGCCAATGAGCTTCATCCTTTTTCGAATCGCCTGGTTTCATCCCCTGCCACGGCTCTCCACTGGCCTCTCCCTTCCCCTCCCCAAGCCCCACTGGGTTTATCCTCTCCGATGTGTGCCTATGTGGAGCACCCAGATCTTCCCTCATTAGGGTGGCCATTGGACCAGGATAACGACGTGGCGCTATTCCCTGTCAGCGACAAATCCAACTTCCTCCTCAATTTGCAGGGAAAGCTGGCGTTGTGGTCAATTGGCTTCTGGCAGCCAGCAGCTTGCCCGCTCCGAGTACCTTGGCAGTCGACCGTTGGAGTTGGAGTCCCCAGGACAACCACTTCGCTACACCACCATGTACAACCCCTCGCCAAGCCAGCGAGGGTATGTACTTCCATCCTCCCTCGACCTTTGCTGGCAGGCTTGGCGGAGAAGGTTAAGGTTATATATTGATCGTAATCAGCTTGGCGGAGAAGGATGCTTAGGGAGTGCCAGTGCGTATATTCCTTTTCACATGTGATGTTCCCAAATACCCGCACGAGTTTCGGCAGGGTGGTTTGGCCTGGTCGAAAAAATACCCTGGTTTGGAACGGGCATTTTCCATGGTAGCTTGGCCCATCAGCAAAAATCCTCTTCCCAGGGAGCCCAACCAAGCCAGAAACAAACTGGTTCTCGTCGAGGTGACGGGCAGGGCCTAAGTTATCAGGGCAATTACCCTGTTTTGACTGAAATTATAGGGTGTTTTTTCTAGGAGCCCTGATTTTCACAAGGTTTTTTCCGGACCAGCCCGTAAAACTGAAGGGTGATTTTTGAGTCAGCTCGGATCTCTCCGAGGAGTTCTCAAGGGGACCCGTATAATTTTAGCAGACATGTTCTCCCCGACCTGCCTTGCATTCCTCTCGGTCTCCCTCTAAACACACGTTGGGCCAATTTTAGTGAATTTCCTAACCACTCTCTCCTTGTTGGCCTCCATGTGTCTGATTGCCCCGTTCTACGTCGACATGGCTTAGAAGGCCAATAAGGAGAGAGTGTCTGATTGCCCTGTTCTCCCTATGTACTCTTCCTCATCGTATTTTTTTCTAAGTCTACAAAAAGTATCTCGCTCACCCCTCCAGAGCCACTCCATCTCCAATCTCCCCAGCCCTCGCGCAACCCACTGTGAGTTTCCCGCGAAATTCTGGTAATGCATGTTTTCAGGCCTTTTCTGGCTCGAACCCGGATTCGTCAAGGTTTTTTTCCCGCTGGCTCGGATTTTACAGGGTCTTTTTCACAGGGGCCCGGATCGTCCGAGCTAGCAAAAATCCTAGCAATAGCCCTGGTGACAGGTCGTTGAGTTTCGTTCGGTTTGCGTGCAGCAGCTCCCCTGGCTCCCCCAGCGTCGCCCCCGCGACAATCCCGATGTTATCCACCCACCAAACTGGCATTCCTGCTGCTCCCAGCAGCACATTTCGCGCCTTTTCCTGTCTTCAAGTTCCAACACGGCCTAGTTCGTGCTTTTCTGCGATGCGATAGCCCACTCTGCTCCTCAGCTGGTGCTGTTCCTGCTCTTCCACTGACTCTGGTCGAAGCCGAGCTAGTTGAAGCTAAGGGAAATTATTGGAAGCGGTAAAGCTAGCTGGTTAAAGCTTAGTACCGAGAGTGTTAAGAACCAGCGTGTACAAGGCTCAGCAAATAGTTCAGTACGCCATTTCTGTGAAGTCGTGTACCTCAACGAGGTATGCCTACTTGTTATTTTTGTTCTCCTCTCTTCCTGTTGCAGTCTGTCAAACCCTCTTTTTGTTTTGTAAATGAAATCAAGGCGGCAAAACGAAACGTAATGCAGCCGTTGTCGACATAGAAAAGCACGTCACAGCATGGAGTAGCATACACACGCAGAATGTCGAGCGACATTTTTTGTTTTCCTCGCACACACCCGGGGCGACTGTCAGCTTTCGCTCGCATTTCTTCTGGTTGTTTTCAGCTATGCTTTTCCTTCCCCCTCCCGCTCTGTCGTTCACTCCTAGCCATCACTCTCCAACTAGACTTGCTACAGTTGTAACAAGCAACAGGAATGTCTTGTGGCGTCGTGTGACCGAATGGCAAGTTATGGCATTCCTGTTCGGCGCGTGTCATTTTATCCACTGCCTACGTCGTTTGACATTTCACGTCGTTTTTGTGTTGTAGATAAAATACTAACCGCGTTTTTTTTCCCTTTTCCTTTTTTTTTTGTTCTATTTACACCCCCTTTCCTTCTGCGATCACTTTGCCAGTGCGCAGGTGGCCTACGCAGTGATATTTATCTCCCTCAACCCCTTCCCCTCCCCATAAAGCACCTCACCTCATCTCTGTAACCTCACCACCATCACCTTTTTTCGCTAGTAGAAGCCTACAGCCCGCTGCCGACTCAACAGAGAGTAGCGACTGCTTTGCCGAAAGAGAGACTCGCAGCTAGTTCCCATCAATTAGCTACCTTTAAGCTAGTCACTGTCAGCTACTTAGCGTTACCGTCAGCTACCGAAGCAGTGTACTCGTTATAAGCGACTCAGTAGTGGAGGCCGGAAAGAGTTTCATTATGGCAGACCCAGCTATGAGCACCGCGACAATGTCGACGGCTGATACGAGCTCCCCCACCAACAGCACCCGCACCATGTCCACCGTAACCTCCGCCGCGCCGTCCGCCGCGCCGTCCGGGGCGCCGGTGTCGATGAGCTCGTCGAGCGTAACGGGCACCAAGGCCCTGGCGAAGCGCGCCATCCGCGTCGCGCAGGCCGTGGCCGACGCGCGGCTCGACAGCGCGTACGAGGACGCGTCGGAGGGCTTCGACTATCACGACTCGGTGGAGGCGAGCAAGGGCATCACGCAGACGGACGGCGGGCAAAGCGGCGCGCAAGGCGGCGGGAAACCCGGCGGCGCGCCGGTCGCGTCGTACCTGCAGCGCATGCAGCGCGGAGGGTTGATCCAGGCGTTCGGATGCCTGGTGGTGGTGGAAGAAGGGACGTTTAACGTGCTTGCTTTTAGCGAGAACGCTAAGGAGATGCTGGGGTTGATCCCGAAGCCTAAGACGGAGGAAGAGCTGGAAGCGGAGAAGAAGGCGGCGGAGGAGGCGGAGCGGAAGAGGGCGGAAGAGGCGGCGAAGGCGGAGGCGGAGGCAGCAACGGCGTCCCCGAGCAAGTCCGGGAAGTCGGGCATTGGTGAGTTCAACGCGTGCGAGGAGACTAACGTGTGGTGAGTGTAACGCGAAGGAGGAGTTAAGCTTTCGTTTGGGTGCGTTAGTTGGGCATTGATGAGTTCAACGGGTGCGAAGAGTTAAGCGTGTGGGGGAAACTCGTTAGGTTGAAAACTCGTCTGAGACGTCTTTTTTTTTTTTTTTTTTTTTTTTTTTTTTTTTTGGCGCCTCGATATTCCAGCGTGTCCGAGTCACCGGTTAGGTACGCCAGTAGGCATTAGTGAGATTAACGTGTAGGAACAACCGTTACTAAGACCCAGGTGCAGCGCTGGTTAGGTGTTCTGAAGCGTCTTGAATATTCTTCCATTCGCCTCAAGATTTGAACGGTTAGGTACGCCACTGGCGCATTGGTGTGTGCAACATGAAAGAATAAACTTCATATCGGACAATGGCTGGGCATTGTCAAGGCGGGCGCTTTGTGATGTATGGTGGGAAGGGCATGGGTGTCCGTAACGCGTATAAAGATTGGTTTGGCGCGCTAGTGAGGCATTGTCAAAGCGGGCGCTTTGTGATGCATGCTCTCATCCCCTCCCCTCTCCCCCCTCTCCCCCTCTCCCTTTTCCCCTCCCCACCTCCCCCTCTCGCCTCTCGCCTCTCCCCTCTCCCCTCTCGTATCCCTCTCCGCCTCATTGCTTATCTCCCTTCTCCCTCCCTCCCGACCACCTCGTCTCTCGTCTTTCACTTAGCACCTCGTTCCTCGTTTTCCGCGTCCCGCTTCCTCCACCTCTCCTTTTGAGACGTCTTAAAATTCACCTTGTTCCTTGTTTTCCGCGTCCCTTTTCCACCTCTCCTTGTTCTCTTCTTTTTACTCATTCCCATTTCCTCCCCCGCCGCTTCGCCCTCTCTCCCTCCCTCCCTCCCTCCCCGTTTCGTCCCCTCTCCCCATCTCCCTCTCTCCCTTTCTCCCTATCCGTCTCCCCCCCTTTCCCCCCCTTCCCCCCCTTCCCCCCCGCCACACCCCATATCTTCCCCGTCTCACCCGCCCAGGCCGCGCCTTCAGTTCCCTCAAGGAAAAGATATCCTCCGCGATTCGCGGCCACAATGCGGCCAGCTCCAAGCACTCCAAGCAGCGCGGGCGCAGCGCCGCGCCTTCCGCCAGCTCCGGCGGGCGCGTGGGCTCCCCCGCGCGCTCGCAGTCCCCCTCGCGCTCGTGGCGCAGCGGGTTCCGCGCAAGCCGCCGCGCGGAGGACTGGGAGGGCGCGCACTCGAACCTGAGCAAGGCGGGGGACGCGGAATCCGCTCCGCCTGCTCCGCCGCCGCTTCCTCCGCTCCCTGTGCTCGGTAAGCCAATACATTCGGAAGGGCATTGGGAGGGCATTGGGAGGGCATTGGGAGGGCATTGGGAGGGCATTGGGAGGGCATTGGGAAGGCATTGGGAAGGCATTGGGAAGGCATTTGGACGACATTGGAAGGGTATTGGGAGGGCATTGGGAGGGCATTGGGAGGGCATTGGGAGGGCATTGGGAGGAGCATCTATGTTACATGTCCATGCACACATGCATGCATGCCACCATAATCACACATCGTGTTGTGAGCGCTTGACGATTGAGGAAATGAACATTATGAAGCATTAGTAACATCAACTTCCATGCACACACGCATGCCGTCAACATATGTCATGCGGGGGCGTATTGTGACCATGCAAACACATGTGTGATTAGAGTCTACTCAACTTACATTACCACTCATTGGCGTACGGCGTGTGAACCAATGCAAATGCACGCTGTGACTTTTGAGTCGACTCAAAAGACGTCGTGTGCCATTGTAACGAGGTGACTTTTGAGTCGACTCAAAATTCACCTTGACTCGACTCAAAAGTCACCTTTTAAGTCGACTCAAAAGTCACCTTTTGAGTCGACTCAAAAGTGATTAGAGTCGACTCAACTTACATTACCACTCATCGGCGTACGGCGTGTGAACCAGTGCAAATGCACGCACATACATGGAGACGCACGCACATGCATGCAGACGCACGCACATGCATGCAGATGCACGTACATGCAGTTCTCGCCTCTCTCGTTTCACCTTGTCACACCAAAGTTCCCAGGCATGAGCAGACGGCCTGACCCGACCGGGCCGTTTGCTCATGTCTAGTTCCCATCCTCCCCTCCGACCTACTCACACAACCCCAACACCCTCTTTTCCGTTTTCTTCCCATCCCAAACAGCCATCATACTAGTCCCCCCTCACTCATGTAACTCCTGACCTTGGACTCAGAGAGGGTTAGCTTCACCCCTCGTCCCTACTTCCCTTTCCGACCCCCTCCCTCCCCATCTCCCCCTCCTTTCCCCCTCCCTCCCTCCTCTCCCCTCTCCTCTCCTCGCCTCCCCTCCCCTCCCCTCCAGATTTCGGGGTGGACGCACGCTCTCTCTTCACTCGTGACAGCGTCACCGCCTTAGAGAAGGCCACAGGCGCGGTCGACCTCAGCATGATCAGCCCTGTGTTGGTCGAAGCAGCAGTCTCGAACAGGGGCGACCACCGCCCCTTCTACGCCATCCTGCACCGCATCGACGTGGGCATCGTCATCGACCTCGAGCCCATCCGCAAACTCATTCCCCCCTCTCCTCTGCTCCCCTCCCTTCTTCCCCTCCTTTCTGTCCCTGTTTTCGTTCAGATTTTGGGGTGGACGCGCGTTCTCTCTTCACGCCTGACAGTGTGACCGCTCTCGAAAAAGCCACCGGTGCAGCCGACCTGAGCATGATCAACCCTGTCTTAGTGGAAGCCGCCGTGTCCAACCGCGGCGACCACCGCCCCTTCTACGCCATCCTGCACCGCATCGACGTGGGCATCGTGATCGACCTCGAGCCCATCCGCGACGCCGAAAACATCTTCACGGGCGCGGGGGCCCTGCAGGCGCACAAGCTCGCCGCCAAGGCCATCGCTAGGCTCCAACGCATGCCGCCCGGCGACATGATCATGCTGTGCCAGGCCGTCGTGGAGGAGGTGAAAGAACTAACCGGCTACGACCGCGTGATGACTTATAAATTCCACGAGGATGAGCACGGAGAGGTGTTGGCGGAAGCTAAGAAAGAATCTATGGAGCCTTACCTTGGTCTCCACTACCCCGCGACCGACATCCCCCAGGCCATCCGGTTCCTGTTCATGAAGAACCGGGTGCGGTGCATCTGCGACGCGTATTCCGACGAGGTCAAGGTGGTGAGGGATGAGGGGCGGCTCAAGCAGCCGGTGACGCTGGCAGGGTCGCAGCTGCGGGCAGCGCAGCGCTGCCACATCCAGTACATGCGCAACATGGGCACCACAGCTTCCATGACCATGGCCGTGATTATCAACGACGAGGACGCCCCCCAGCAGGCCCCGCAGGGAGCGGCGGGGGGCGCGACTCCCGCGCAGGCGAACCGTGGGAAGAAGCTGTGGGGGCTGGTGGTGTGTCATCATGAAACGGCTCGGTACCTCCCGTCCCGTTCCCGCTGCGTCTCGCCTGCGAGTTTCTCATGCAGGTGTTTTCCCTTCAGGTGAATATGGAGCTTGAGATGGCCCGGCAGCAGCGCGAGAAGGAGATGCTGCGGACTCAGACGCTCCTCTGCGATCTCCTCATGCGCGGGGATGCTCCCCTCGGGATTGTCTCGCAGAACCCGAATATCCAGGACTTAGTTAAGTGCGACGGCGCCGCGCTGTACTACGCCGGGCGGTTCTGGCTGTTGGGGACGACTCCCACTGAGATGCAGATCTTGGATATTATTGACTGGCTGGATACGGCGCATCCTGATTCGTCCGGTCTGAGCACCGACAGCCTGGCAGAAGCCGGGTATCCGAGAGCTGAAGAGCTCGGGGATGGGGTGTGCGGGATGGCATGCGCGCGGCTGTACGCGCGGGACGTTCTGCTGTGGTTCCGGTCGCACGTGCGGAAGGAGGTGCGGTGGGGCGGGGAGAAGCATGACAACAAGGACAAGGAGGATGAGCATCCGGAGAGGATGGCGATGGGCCCGAGGGCGAGCTTTGCGGCGTTCCTGGAGGTGGTGCGGCAGCGGTCGATGCCGTGGGAGGACGTGGAGATGGACGCCGTGCACTCGCTGCAGCTCATTCTGAGGGGGCATTTGACCAGCTTCAGTGACAATGACATGCGCGACATGATGCTCAACCGCATGCGCGACCAGGTGAGGGTTGGGAGGGGTGGAGAAGGGTGTAGGGGGTTTGTGTGTGGTTATGGGGGGCACCTTTTGTCCTTCAGTGATAATGACATGCGCGATATGATGTTCAACCGCATGTTCGACCAGGTGAAAGTTGTGGGCGTGGAGGGGGGTTGTGTGCGTTATATAGGCCACCATGCATCACGGAGAGTGAGATGGTGCAAGTGCTCCTGCTCTGGAGCTCGAACCCCCCATGCTCCCACCCCCACACGGTTCCCACTCCCCTCTCGCTCCCCTACAAACGCACCAGGAAATGGACCGTCCGAGCGCCACAGAGAGTGAGATGGTGCGAGTGCTCGAAACAGCTTCAGCGCCCATCCTGGCTGTGGACAGGAACGGGTGCGTCACCGGGTGGAACGCCAGGCTGGTGGCGGATGCTGCTGCTGCTGCTGCTGCTGCTGCTGCTCTTGCTGCTTCTTCTAAGCCCTTTCCCTTATGTTCCCTCCCACACCACTCCCCTTTCTCCGGCAGGAAATGGATCGCCTGAGTGCCACTGAAAGTGAGATGGTGCGAGTCCTGGAAACAGCTACAGCGCCCATCCTGGCAGTGGACAGGGACGGGTGTGTCACCGGGTGGAACGCCAGGCTGGCGGCTCTGACAGGGCTCGCCACAGGGGACGCCCTGGGGAAGCACCTGATCACGGACCTGGTGGTGGAGGGCAACGTGGACGCTGTTGGGCGCGCGCTGTTCCTCGCTCTGCAAGGTGTGTTGTACATGGATGCACCCTCTGCTTGGCATGTTTGCTCACACGGCTGGCCACAGCGGGATAAGGGAAGGGAAGCACCTGATCACGGACTTGGTGGTGGAGGGCGATGTGGATGCTGTTGGGAAAGCGCTGTTCCTTGCCCTGTAGTGCAATCCTCCAAAGATTCGGTAATCCTTGTCGGCTATCCTTGTCGTGAATGCCTTCGCCCTTGCCCTTCCTGCCTTCCCCACCCTGCTCTCCCTGCTTTTCCCTCCCTTCTTTTCCCCCCTTTCCCCCCAACTGCAGGTCAGGAGAGCAAGGAGCTGGAGATCCACCTGCGCACGTGGGGCGTCGTGCAGTCCTCCAAGGATTCCGTCATCCTCGTCGTCAACGCCTTTGCTCCCCCTCTTCCCTGCCCTCCCACCACCACCAGGCCAGGAAAGCAAGGAACTCGAAATTCATCTCCGCACGTGGGGAGTGGTGCACTCCTCCAAGGACTCGGTCATCCTCGTCGTCAAAGCTTTTGCTCCCTCTGTCTCTCTGCCTTCCCCTCCCTCCCCCTCTCCTTCCCCTCAACAGGTCAGGAGAGCAAGGAGCTGGAGATCCACTTGCGCACGTGGGGCGTCGTGCAGTCCTCCAAGGATTCCGTCATCCTCGTTGTCAACGCCTTCGCCAGCCGCGGCACAGCCATGGGGGGCGATGACATGGAGGAGGTGGTGGGGGTGTGCTTCGTGGGGCAGGACGTGACGGCTCAGAAGGCGGTGCAGGGCAAGTTTACTCGCCTGCAGGGCGATTATGAGGCGATTGTGCACGGCAACAACTCGCTCATCCCGCCCATCTTTTCTACCGACGGTGAGTGTCGCTCCCTCATCCTATAGCGCCCTGTGTGCCTCAGGGAAAAGGTTATGGGGGGCGATGACATGGAGGAGGTGGTGGGGGTGTGCTTTGTGGGGCAGAACGTGACGGCTCAGAAGGCGGTGCAGGGCAAGTTCACACGCCTGCAGGGGGATTACGAGGCTATCGTGCATGGGAACAACTCGCTCATCCCGCCGATCTTTTTTACTGATGGTCAGTGCTTGGGTGCTTGGGGTGTGGGCTGATGAGGGGGTGGGGAAGGGAGCTTGGGGGTGGATGGGGCTGAGAAGGCGGTGCAGGGCAAGTTCACGCGCCTGCAGGGGGATTACGAGGCTATCGTGCATGGGAACAACTCGCTCATCCCCCCTATCTTCTCCACTGACGGTGAGTGTGGTGTGGGGGTCCTGGGTGTGTGCTAGGGTGGGGCCGAGCCTGGGGTGGGAGGCGCTCAGGAGGCGGTGCAGGGCAAGTTCACGCGCCTGCAGGCAATTGTTTACGGCAACAACTCGCTCATCCCCCCCATCTTCTCCACCGACGGTGAGTGCTTGGGTGCCCGGGTACTCGATGCTTGGGTGCTCGGGACTGGGAGTGCGCGGATGTGGGATGGGTGCTTTGGTAACCCAAGTGTCTGTGTGCCTTGCCACATTCGTGCTTTGCCACCTGTGCTCCTCCTACTGCAACTTCTTCCGCCTCGTCTACCCCTCTCACCTTTTTCACCCCTTTCCACCCTTTCCACCCTTTTCCACCCTGTCCACCCCGTCTACCCCTCTCACCCTTTCCACCCCTTTTGTCCACCCTGTCTATACCCCTCTCACCTTTTTCACCCCTTTCCACCCCATCTACCCCCCACTTCATGCCTTTGCTCTCCCTGTTCCCCATCTTATCCCCTCCCTTGCCATTTTCCAGATTTCGGCAACTGCACGGACTGGAACCCGGCAATGGAGAGGATCACTGGTGTGACGTACCACTCACCCAGACGTGTCTTGCCTCTACCCCTCCCGCTCCGCCCTCCTCTTCCCTTTGACCCTCTCCACTCCCCCATTTCCCCCGTCTGTACTCTGGGCCGCAGATTTCGGCAACTGCACGGACTGGAACCCCGCAATGGAGAGGATCACGGGGGTGCCACGTCAGCAGGCGATCGACCGGCTGCTGCTGGGCGGCATTTTCGGCCCCATCTGCCGCATGAAGGCAGACACGATGACGAAGCTGATGATTGTGATCAACAAGGCCCTGTCCGGCCAGATGACTGACCGCTACCCTCTTGAATTCCTGGATGCCCATGTGAGTGTTGGTGCTGCGTGCTGGATAAGAGAGCATGCATATATGCACTGAGAGCATGAAGACATGGGTGCATGAAGGCGGATACGATGACGAAGCTCATGATTGTGATCAACAAGGCAGTCTCGGGGCAGATGACTGGCCGCTACCCTTGAATTCCTGGATGCACATGTGAGTGTTAGGTTGCGCGAGGGATTGTGCTTGTAGTGTGCAGTGTTATGTATGAAGGGGTGACATGCAATGACATGACATGACATGACATGACATAACATGCGTCCCTGCTCCTAATGGCTTGAAGGATAAGTGATGTGAGCCTTTGGTCCACTCGATCAATGCACCTGAGAGCAAGCAAGCGAGGTGACTTTTGAGTCGACTCAAAGGGCATGCATGCATGGAGGCGTGGGTGGTCACTCACCTCCACCCCACTCGCCTCCTCTCCCTCCCCCCACCACTCCCCTCCTCTCCATCCCCCACCACCCGTCCCTCCCCCACTCCCCTCCTCCCCCCCCAGGGCCAACTGGTGGAGGCTTTACTGACCGTGCAAACCCGCAGGGACTCCGACGGCCATGTCACAGGCGTGTTCTGCTTCCTGCACACCGTCTCGGCCGAGCTCCAGGCAGCCCTCAACCTGCAGCGCGCCACGCAGGACTTTGCCAAGGAGAAGGCCAAAGCCGTCGCCTACACGCGAGATGCCATTCGCGGGCCTCTGGACGGGATTGAGCATGCGCTGGAGGGGCTGCGGAAGGAGGAAAGAGAGGGGCGGCTGGTTGGGGAGGAGGAGAGGAATGCGATTGGGGTGGCGGAGCGGTGCAAGGAGCAGGTGGATAGGATTCTTGGGGATGATGATATTGACACCATTGAGGAGGGGTGAGTTTTTCTGAGCCTTTTACATGATACGCAGGTGCTATAGTGAAAGAGAGGAACGTGGTTGCGTGACGGAGCGGTGCAAGGAGCAGGTGGACAGGATCCTGGGGGATGATGACATTGATACCATTGAGGGGGTGAGTTGAATGAAGGAAGGGTAGGAGAGTTGATAAAGAGAGCCCCGGCTTAACAGGCTGTAAATAACACGACTGTATTGCAACCACCCCCCCCCCCCCCCCCCCCCCCACACACCTCTCCCCTCCCCGCCTTCCCCCTTCCGACTCCACACTCCAATCCTCCCTCTGCCTCTCCCTCTCCCTCTCCCTCTCCCTCTCCCTCTCCCTCTCCCTCTCCCCTCTCCCCCTCCCTCCCCTCTTCTCCCCTCCCCCCCCCAAAACCAGCTACGTGAACATCATCCCGGCCGTCTTCACCATTGCTTCAGTCATCGATGCAGTCATTCCTCAGGGCAAGCAAGCTGCCGCCCGCCGCGGCGTCTCCCTCGCCTTTGACCCGCCGCCGCAGCTGCGCTCATTCCCCGGCCTTGTAGGAGACCCTGCTCGCCTGCAGCAGGCGTTGTCAGAATGGCTCACCAGTGCTGTGCCTTCCCCCCCCCCCCCCTCCCTCCCCTCCCTTCCCCAACAGCTACGTGAACATCATCCCGGCCGTCTTCACAATTGCCTCGGTCATCGATGCAGTCATTGCTCAGGGCAAGCAAGCTGCCGCCCGCCGCGGCGTCTCCCTGGCCTTCGACCCGCCGCCGCAGCTGCGCTCGTTCCCCGGCCTCGCAGGGGACCCTGCTCGCCTGCAGCAGGCCCTGGCGGAGTACCTGACCAGTGCCGTGGCGTTTACTCCGCAGGGCGGGTGGGTGAAGGTTCGGCTTGTGACGAGCACGCGCAGTCTGTTCGGCGACCAGGGCTCCCTCAAGTGCGAGTTCCGGTGAGTGGGAGAAGCAGGGAACGGGGCAGGGGTGGAAAGGGGTGTGAGATTGGCATGGCATGGCATGGGATGGCCTTGCAGGGGACCCTGCTCGCCTGGGCAGCAGCAGGCTGGTGAGGGGCGTCAACTCCCAAGGCTCGCCTGCAGCAGGCCCTGGTGGAGTACCTGACGAGTGCGGTTGCGTTTACTCCGCAGGGCGGGTGGGTGAAGGTGCGCCTGGTTACCAGCACGCGCAGTCTGTTTGGAGATCAAGGCTCCCTCAAATGCTAGTTCCGGTGAGTGGAAGCAGCACGGAACGGGGCAGGGGCGGGGGCGGGGAAGGGGTTTGGGTTTGGGTTTGGCAAGGGATGGCCTCGCAGGGGACCCTGCTCGCCTGCAGCAGGCCCTGGCAGAGTACCTCACGAGTGCCGTGGTGTTCACGCCACAGGGCGGGTGGGTGAAGGTGCGCCTGGTTACCAGCACCAGGAGCCTGTTCGGCGATCAGGGCTCCCTCAAGTGCGAGTTCCGGTGAGTGCAAGGCAGCAGGGAACGGGGCAGGGGACGGGAAGGGGTGTGAGATTGGCATGGGATGGGATGGGATGGTCTTGCAGGGGACCCTGCTCGCCTGCAGCAGCAGGCTGGTGAGGGGGCGTCAACTCCCAAGGCTCGCCTGCAGCAGGCCCTGGCGGAGTACCTGACGAGTGCGGTTGCGTTTACTCCGCAGGGCGGGTGGGTGAAGGTGCGCCTGGTTACCAGCACACGCAGTCTGTTTGGCGATCAGGGCTCCCTCAAATGCGAGTTCCGGTGAGTGGAAGCAGCAGGGGGGGGCGTGGGGGCAGGGACTGGGCGGGAGAGTGGGGGGCGAAAGAGGAATGTGGGTTGGGTTTAGGATGGGATGGGATGGGATGGGATGGGATGGGATGGGATGGGATGGGATGGGCTCCGCTCAGCTTGGCTGCAGCAGGCTCTGGTGGGAGTAGTACCTGACAAGTGCTGTGGCGCTCACACTGGCACAAGCGTTGCTGGCAGACCTCTCCACGCGTCTCTGTCTCTGTCTCTGTCTCTGTCTCTGTCTCTGTCTCTGTCTGGGCCTCATGTATTGTTTGACCCCCACATCACCTCCACCAGAGTGCAACACTCCTCGCACAACCCTTGCAGCGTGCAACACTCAGGTTCTCTCCCCCAGGAGTTGGTGCAGCAGCTGTACGACGAGGCGGATCCCACCACGCGTACGCAGGAGGGGCTGGGCCTCTCAGTGTGCCGCAAGACCCATGCGCGCCCTTGCCTCTCCGCCCTTGCTTCCACTCACGCTCCCTCCCTCCCTTTCTCCTTCACTCTATCCCCCACCCTCTCTTTTCCTCCCTTCCTTGTCCCCATTTCAGCGTGCAACACTCGGGCGCCCTCCCCCAGGAGCTGGTGCAGCAGCTGTACGACGAGGCGGATCCCACCACGCGCACACAGGAGGGGCTCGGCCTCTCTGTGTGCCGCAAGATCCTGCTCGCCATGGCGGGCGATGTGCAGTACGACCGCAACTACAACGCCTGCGAGTTTGTCGTCCGCATTGGGTTCCCCTTCGCTTAGAAAGCTCGCTCTTCCTCCTCTTCCTCCCCGCTCTTCCTCTTCACCGCCTCCTCCACCTCCACCTCTTCCCCTCTCGGTGTGCCACAAGGTCCTGCTGGCCATGGCAGGCGACGTGCAGTACGACTGCAACTACAATGCGTGCGAGTTTGTTGTGCGGGTTGGGTTCCCATTCGCGTAACTGTGCCGTTGCCTGTGGTCAGTCTCTCTGTGTGGTGTGACCTGCTAGTAGTGAAGGTCCTCCACAGCAGCAGGCGACGTGCAATGCGACCACAACTACAAGCGTGTGACTGGTTCTCTTCTCTGCCTCATCAGAGCCCTTGCTCTCTCGTAGAGTTTGCGTAAAATGCCTCACCTTAGTAAATTTTGGCACTTTCAGGTCCCTCCTGCTTCACAGATTCTTCAGGTAATGGAATAGGCCGGTGAAGTTGTGTGTGTTCCTGCTGCTACCGTGTCTGATTGGATATTGCTGGGTGCCACTTTGTGTATTGTAGGTGTGTGACTGACAGATTGCAATGATATTATGTGTGTATGAGACAGACTCAGATGCAGTGTTCACAAGCTGGTAGCTCTGCTGCATCTGCTGCACCGTGCAGCCTGCACGTATTTTTTGTTTGGTACCGTGACACATAGTTGGATAAAATGCTGGGAACCAACAAACAATTATGAATAAAATATCTCTGAAGACAATAAACAAACAAATATGTGCTAGGAAACAATAACCAATCAAATAATGAACAAATCAAATGATGTCTCGTCAATCAGGCCTTCAGCACCCACGGGTGATGTTTCATGGCAAACAGAGTGCCCTCGTGCTCCTTAGGAAGTGAGAATGAGAATATGATGCCTCACAGGTGCTTGTGAAGATAATGACTCAGCTGCTTGTGAAGACGATGACTCACAGCTGCTTGTGAAGATGATGGATCATCGCAAACAAGGTCCCCTCGTGCTCATTCCACTCCCCCCCATTCCCCCCCACCCCTTCAGAGCTCAAATCTTCCACCCGCTCCCCTCCCTCCCCTCCTGCCACCCCTCCCATCTCTCCCCCCTCTTCCATACCATACTCCTGCCCTGCTCCCTCCTTCGCCCCACCCGGCCTACCTCTCTCTCCACTCCCTCCATCCCCCCCCACAAGCCCTGCCACAGCCAGCAAAGCAGCAGTGTCCTCGTCTGCTCCCAGGGGTATATCCACGTCAGCGGCACCAAACCCGAAACATGCTGAGCCGATCGCAGCATTAGTAGTCCCAGGATTTGCGGGATTACTATGGTGGTTTGGAGTGAGACCAGTGGCACGGGTGTTAGCAGCAAACTCAGTAGGGTATCCTGCACCGAAGCTGGTACTGTCTCTTGAGTTATAGGCAGCACCAGGCCTCCGATTTGCTGCAGTAGCGGCAGCCGCAGCAGCGGAGAAAACACCTGAAAAGGCACCTGAGCTGGCGTGGCCACTACCAATCGCAAAACTGCCTTGACCCCTGGGGTTACCAGCTGAAACAGCAGGAGCAGGGGTGTTGGAAGCAGCGGCAGCCGAGGCGGCAGCAGCAGCAAAAATCATCATCTCATTTTTGGCTTCAATTGGAGAAAAATCTCCCACCGCGCAATCCCCGCCGCCCAGCCTTGCTTCTCCGGGCAGGCCAAAGAAACCCTCAACGGATGGTGCAGCTTCCGCAGGCGGAGGAGGGGGGAGTGCCCCCCTTTCCCTACCTGGTGCGGGCGGAACATGGGCTCCGCGCGCGTGTTCAGGCGCAGGGGCGGAAGCACTGCGCGGCCAGTTCCCCCCAATCGCTGTCTCAGTGTCTGTCCCCGCGAGTCCTATTCCCTGATAGCTGCTCGCTCCGGGAAACGCGGCCGCGGCGTTTAACCGTAAATCTGCTCGCGCTGCTGCTGCAGCTGCGGCGGCGGCGGCGGCGGAAGCGGACGCGGACGCGCCCTCCTCTAGGAAACCGCGAGCACCGCGAGCCGCCTGCGCCGAAAATCCCCCCGCCTGTTGTATCGCGCGCAGTATCTCCGCCATGTCGCGGCTGTAGCGCCCCGCCGCAATCTGCCGCAGCCGCGCGTTTTCCTCCTGAAGAATCATCAGCGCCTGTTCCATCTCCTGGAGCCGCTGGTCCGTGGCGCGTTTTTCCGCCGCCATGGAATTCACCTGCGCTTCGAGCTCCGCGAATCGCTCGTGCTGCCGCTGCCGCGAACGCTTAGCGTATTCGCGGTTTAGTAGCCGGCGCTTTATCGAGCGCTCCTCCTCCGTTTCCTGCTGTATCCCGCCGCCGCTGGCCTGCAGCGCCGCCGCAATATCGCGCGCTTCGCCGCCGCCGCCGCGCGGCGCGCTGTCAGAATTTACGGCGGCGCCGCCATTGCGTTCGTGCGGCGCCGAAGCGCATCGCTGCAGCGCCGCGCGGTCTTGCGCTGTTTTACCTTCCGATCCAGATCCCGAGCCTGAGCTGCTGGTTCGTTGAAGCCACGCGCTTAGGGTTTGCGCACCGTGGCTGTCCGGCCAACGCTGCTTCTGCGTGTGAGTGGTAGTTAAAGGGATATTAAACGTTGGCGGCGACGCGTCGCCGCGCGGCGCGCGGAAACGTCCACTGGCGGGGGAGCTGCCCCCGCGGGAACTCCCCGCGCTAGAAGGACGCACCAGCGGCGCGCCAAAGCGGTTTTGGCGGAGATAGGCCGTCTCTGGCGGTGACACAATCATATCCGCCGTGGAATGCGCGCTTGGGTTGTCCCATGGGCTTCCGCCGTCATTTTGAAGCTGGACCTGATACATTGCCGCGAAACGCGGCGCCGGCGGCGTTTCTCCCATAGGGAACTCCGCGGGTTCGCGCGCCGCCGCGGGGAGAGGCGGCTTCGGCGCTGACTCGGAAGTCGACGAAGGCGGCGGCTTGTCGATCTTGATTCGTGAAATGACGGCAGCAACTGCTGAGTCGAACTCTTCTGATTGGCTGCTGCGATGGCGCTGGTGCTGTTGTTGTTGCTGTTGCGCCAACTGCGGCGGCGGTTGCGGCGGCTCGACTTCTGAACCGGACTGCCACGACATCTCTCGCGCGTTGTTCGTTGCTAAGAAAAGCGCACTGAATATTCAAGAGTAATCGGGTTGGAGTTAGTTAGCTACACTTGCAACAGCTTAAGTAAAATGAACGTGCGGTTACACAAATGATGAAGGGATTTCGTGGTTGAGCAGTGAAAGCAAGAAACTCGTTCGTGAGGATTCGAAGGATCTGCTTCGTTCGCAATGAAGCTAAAAATTGTGTTCGTGGGAAATAACTGTAGGAAGTAGTTAAAGTCGTTGGATCGAGCCGAAACTAAACGCAGGATGCTGGATAGCCAACTCGCTCGTAGACCTCCCGCTGCTGTAGTGGCGCACGAGCATACATTATGGTTTAGGAGGGAAAAATAATAGAGACTTGATTGTGACAGCCAGCTCACTTCCTTGGCTTAGGTTGGCAGACCATCACGTCTTGTGGGATGGACGCTTGGAAATGGCAGGTCTTGGATCGTGCAAGGGGAGGCTCCTGGGGGTAGATCACGCGGAGAGTGGGCTCCACTGTCCGAATGCGCACATCTCACCCCCTCCAGGATTTCCGCGCGCCCAAATCCGAACACTAGTGGTGAAGACCCCGCTTTGTTTGGGAGACCCTTGTGTGTCACTGACCCGGCGCTGGCGTGTAGTGCGGTGCATAGTGGGTGGTTTTCTCGCACCGCTAGGTCGGGCTTGGCAGCAGCGTACGGCCAAATGAGTCAACCAGGGAGGGAGGAAATGAGGCGGGAGAATGACTGAGAAGAAACGGGGGAAGCTGCGATGGAGAAATGGTTACACCAGTCCTCCGTGAGTTGCTTGCTCTATAAGTAACACATACGACAAGCCAGATGTTTTTCAGCTTCATAATCTAAGGGCTATAAATTATATCTCCATGTGCAAATGTCCAAAAGTTGCACTCACACATGATCTTTTCAACACCTTCTTCATCTAAGGGCTTATATCATTAAATTAGAGCACATATGATACTATTGTACAAGATAAACCGTCTAGAACAACCATCAACCTCCAAATAATATATTATTATGCACGAAAGTAGAAATATCATATAAGTCTGATAAATCTTATATAGTTTCCGTTTAATACATCATATGATAAAGAGCAATATTTTACAATATTTTATTGTTAAACCTTGCTACCTTCATCAACATGATATCAAATACTAACAATCATAGTTCAATTGAAAAAATCTGGGTATATTAATTCATATTTTACTTCTATTACTATATTATACGTCTAGTTAATATTATTCAGACTTACCTTTTTCGGGAAATGCCCTTACAAAAAACAATGTGGATGTCCATTAGGGCTGTCTAAACATGTTGAGGTAGTATAACAAACCCTCATATTTGAAACAATTTCAAGCGGACCTTTCATCGCAGGAAAGATCATAGTTTAGTATCAACACCTTCCGGAAGACAATTGTTTTTGAAACGTAGTTTGGATCTTAAAACGAGAAATCAATTGTTACTATCAAACCGGATGGGATCGACTATCCGCCAATCAAAGGCTTGGAAGAATTGTCGGAAAGGCTAGTTACGAAGGTGGGTACGCCTGTCTTTTTGTGTACGCCAACCTGGCATTTACCGTTGTAATTCCACTAGCGTCCATAGCATGTTCAAGCGCGGCCGATCTTCTGCGGTCTAATTGGACGCACCGAGTAGAAAATGATTCAACGATGATCGGGCACGTGATTTACCACTATGACACGATTCATCAGAAGTATGTGGTAGATCGTGTGAGATTTTAAATTTCAAGAGATGTCTGAATGACTACCTGATGAAAAGAACATCAGTACAAGACTCTTTCCTGCTCAGCCACGAATTCTAACAAGGTTCCAGTTCCGAATAATAATTTTGAGTCCAATGCACCGATTCCGCTTCAGCTCAGAGCACTTAATTGTGAAGCTATGCAAGTAAAGGGGGAATGATATTTTTGAAAATGAACATCCATTCACATTCAATAGCCCCATGTTTGCCAGCATGGCAGTACAGTGGCTTGAGGTGAGAACAGCCTCTTTGAATACGGAATCTCCATTGTAGAATGATTGCGATTTGTGCAGCGTCCAAGTGGTACAGTACACATGATGCCCGGTTGAGCCCCCCAACTTTGGCCTACCCCATGTGCGTATAAGTGATTCTGCATTTCGCGGTGGTTTCGTCAATTCGCGTCGGGCAAAAAGGGCTTATATAAAAATTTTGTAACTCACCGTTGACTGTTTGACTGCAGTCTCATCAGTCAGACTTCCGTTTCTGTGGCTCTTATTGGTCGACGTGCTTGTAACGTAGGTGCAACTTCGCGGCAAGAAACCCACGGGTGCAAGGTTTCTGGAACGTCCAAGGCAATTTCACATGCACGGGTTGGGCATCGACTGTACATACATGGTGCGGTGTGTACTGTACTGTTTCCTGCGAATGGTGACGAGGGATGACTTCCCTCAACGACGCAATGGAATCGACCCCAATTCTCCAAACTAAAATACACTGTAGTATGGTAAAACGAGGGCCAAGTGTTTACAACAATCAACGGGTTGGGTGAAATTCGAATCTAGCTCATACGGAAGTGATGTGCATGGGGCACGCATCATGCGAAAAGGACGCCCAAGGTGGTCATCTCTCTCATTAGGCGAGGGAACACGGGTCTGGGCAGGGAAAGGAATTGTGTGCATTTCTTTGGTGCATCAGCGAGAGCAGACCAGAACCATTTGCCGTCGGGCACAAATACGCTACGGTACTGACACGCCTTCCGCGCCACTGGAACCCACTCCACCTTCCCTGGCTGATTTTGCGTACCTCGGTGTTGGTTCTTGAGACCTCGTCGGGGTCTCTGTCCTAGGATAGCAGGCAACGCTGGTTAGCTTCTTATGCTCGACACCATTTGTATTCTCTGTACAAATATGATATTGTAAATAAAGTGGTTCAGAAATACTACTGTGGTTCAGCAAGAGGCCCAGCTGAAAGCACTGATTTGATGACTTCGTCAAACCAAGACTGAGTCGAGGCGCATTCTTCAGGTGAATTGCTCCAACACGATTTGTGAGCAGTGCAGAATTGTCCTTGTGCAAGCGACACGCTTCGGAGTCATGTTTCTGTAGAAAAATTCCATTATAAATTATCGAAGGTCGCAAAAACATGTTAGAACGTTTGACGAGTCGTCGTGTTTTAAACCTTATGACATTGAGGCTCCAGACGTATTACAAGCATAGCTTTGATGGCAGCTCTTTAAACCCTATGACATTGAGCCTCTCCTTGTAGGGATTTTCTGAATAATTTAGAGTAGTGAGAACCTTGGAACAAGTACACCCATCACTATTCCAAAAGCACATACAGCGAGTGATAATCTTTCACAGAACCTATCGGCCTTATGCTTTCTTTATGAGCTCAACAAGAGTGCAGGCTTCGCACTGAACCAATCAGACAAACTCCCCCGGCCGTCGGTAAGAAACGCTGCTACAGGAAACGCAACAATATGTTTCGCCACAAGCGCTTAGAACCGGAGCTTGGAGAAGAACCATCTGTTCTTGCCCGTCTTGAATCGCTCCTCAAAGATCTTCTTCAGCTCCTGTGCGCAGAGGGGAAGGGAGGGGGGAAGAGGGCGGTGGAGGAGAGGGCGGTGCGTGGGGGGGGGGGGGGGGGGGGGGTAGTGGGCAAAGGGATACACAGAAGGAGAAAGGTTCAGATAAGGCAGCTTAGAAGCAGGGACAAAAGCACAGGACACGAGAAGAACGAAGAAACCACGAATAGACTGAATGGGGGAGAAATCAAAGCGGGGGGAAGAAGGGCGGGAGGAGATATGGCACAGCGAAATAAAAACGTGGGTCAAAAGACAAGAAACCACATTGATTAGCAGGCAGCCTTAAGGATAAAAGCCTACATTTGTCATCCTCTCCCTCCCTCTCACTCCTCTCAGTCTACCACCCTGTTATTCCCCTCATCCCCTTTTGTAATGCACCCTCAGTCCTCTCTCACCCCAACCTCTCCTCCCCACCTCACTTCTTCCCCTCCACCTTTTTCCTCCCCCTGTCCCCTCATCCCCCCTTCCCCTCCCCTCACCTTCTTGGTCTCGACCCGCTTGGCCGAGCTCTCAAGCTTCTTGTTCCCTAGACTCACCCCATCCCCTTTCCCCTTTCTCTCCTCTCCCAACCCCCCTCCCCATGAATCACCTTCTTGGTCTCCACCCGCTTGGCCGAGCTCTCAAGCTTGTCCAACCACCTTGTCACATTGCCTACGCCAAAACCACCTCTATATTACCATGTCCCCTTCCCCCTCCCCATCCCTCACCTTCTTGGTCTCCACCCGCTTGGCCGAGCTCTCAAGCTTGTTGTGATCAGCCTCAAAACAATCCCGAATTATGCTCCTTCTCTCCTCCCCATTCTTCCCTCCACTTTCTTCCCCCCCTCCCCTCCTCACCTTCTTGGTCTCCACCCGCTTGGCCGAGCTCTCAAGCTTGTCAGCCGTCACCGTGCTCTTGAGGTCCACGTCCAGCTGGTACCTGCGCGGTCAACGGGAGTCAACGCCAGTCAACGGGAGCAGAGGGGAGTTAGTGTTAGTCAACCGAAGTAAATGGGAGGGTGGGTCAAGCAAGTCAAGCTTGTCAGCCGTCACCGTGCTCTTGAGGTCCATGTCCAGCTGGTACCTGCGGTCAACGCCAGTCAACGCCAGTCAACGGGAGCAGAGGAGGGTTAATATTAGTCAACCAAAGTCAATGGGAGGGTGGGTCAAGCAAGTCAAGCTTGTCAGCCGTCACCATGCTCTTGAGGTCCACGTCCAGCTGGTACCTGCGGTCAACGCCAGTCAGCGGGAGCAGAAGAGGGTCAACGGGAGTCCACAAATGTTCATAGCTTCATACATGGCCGCGATATCAAGGTCAAATCCAACTGGAAGGGAAGTCAACAAAAAGTCAACGCGGTCGAAACAAGAGGTATGTAGAGTCATGGGGGGGAAAGGGGGTGGAAGGGGGAGAGAGGCGGGGAGGCGGGAAGGGGGAAAGTAGGAAAGGAAAAGGGGAATTTCGAAAGAGGATGAGGGGGAATATGGGAGAAGCGGAAGTGGGGGAATTTGGGGGATGCAAGGGGGAGACTGTGGGGAACAGAAGAGTGACGTGGGACAAGCAAAGAGGGAGGTACAGGGGATAGGGGACGGATGGAAAATATGGGGGAACGAAATACGGGGGATGAGGGGAATGCAACAGGGGATGGCGCGGAAAAGCAGCGCGATAGCGATAGGAACGTAGAGGGGTGATGACATGGAAAAGGTGGGGGTGTCAGAGAGGGGGATTTGGTGAGGAACGAGGGAGGGGGGAGGGGGACGCGGAGGAAATGTGGGAGGGAGGGGGATGCGGAGATGGTGGAGGGAGAAGGGTGATGCGGAGATGGTGGAGGGAGAAGGGTGATGCGGAGGAGATGGGGGAGGGAGGAGGGGGTTTGGTGAGGAATGGGGGAGGGGGGAGAGGAATGCCAACAGGCAATTAGTTACCTTGTGGGCGAATTAGTCACCCAAATGGCATACGGTGATAAGAGGTAAAGTATACTGGGTATGATAATCTGGATGAAGGCCTTCACTAGCGGGCAAGGTAATGAACTTCCTTGCAATGAACTATAGATTAATTACCTAGTGGGCAAACTAATTACCGAGTGGGCATGAGGTGGTTGTAGTTCACGAGCTTGATGAAGGCCTTCACTTGCGAACGCTTCGCGAGGGTCTTGGGAGTGAGCTTCTTCGTGACCTGGAGGAGTGGGAAGCGGTCAGAAAGAGTGGGAAACGGTCGGGAAGAATGGGAAACGGTCGGGAGGAGTGGGGACGGGTGAGGGGATCGGGTCGCCGTAAACAGCGCGACGACGGCGGTCTGGCGCACAATGGATCACAGATGACGAAACCCTAATCCAACGCTTCAAGCTCATAGTGGAGTAGCAGCAAACCTATAGTAAACGCTTAAGCAACTAAGGATCACAGATGAAGAAACCCTAATCCACGTCCAGCAATAACACGACTACTTCCGCAGATTCAAGCGTGGATGGTGATTGACGGTTGACGACTTTTGAGGCGCCTCGAAAGATTGACGCGGAAACTAAGCCTGTCAGACGACTGCCGGCCAAACTAGGCCTGTCCGACGGCTGACGGTGAATTCAAGCCTGACTGACGGCTGACCACTTCTTGCTCGCAGCGCGGAAACGAGAAACCCCAACTTAACACACGTCCCACTTAGGTCACGGCCCTTTAATCCCATAATCCCTCGGTGGTTCCTCCGTCTTCTTCCCTCCCTCACTCCCTCGGGCCGCATTTCTGACAGTCGGCTCCGCGTGTTGACGTTTACTGGGCGCATTTCAACACGGCCAAACTAACGGTCTCTCTCGGTGCTTCCCTCCATCGCTCCCTAGGTCCCTCGCTGCTGCGACACGTCGATCCTCGCTCCTTCGGTCATTCCGCATGTCTGTCTGCAGAGATGACGTTCACGGCGCGACTTTGGCGCTAGAATTAACGGTCCGTCGGTCCTTCCCTCCTTCCAACATTCCGCATGTCTGTCTGCACGCGCAACACGTTAACGTTCACGGCGCGCATTTCAAGGCGGCCAGACTAACGGTCCGTCGGTCCTTCCCGCCTTCCGACCTTTTTGCATGTTTGTCTGCCGGCGCAACACGTTGACGTTCACGGAGCGAATTTTCGGTCCCTCGGTTCTTCGATCGCTCGGTCCCTCGCTCCCTCACTCCAACCATCCCGCATGTCTGTCACCCGGTTCTACAAGCTGATTCTCACACGTGGGCGTACGCGGCGCATCGCTTCAAATTCGTAGTCTACGGCATCTTCGAGATTATCTAATCCGACAATGCTACTAAGACCACTTCCGATCAACGGTGCTGCTTTGAGGATGATGCTTATGGCACGGCCTCCTGTACAATCGACTTTTGCTGCACTGCACAGTCAAATCTACGGTAGTAACGACTGCTACTCAAAACTAGTCGACGCTGCAACTCACGCATCAGTTTCCACGTCAACCGCCATTATTGCAGGTTCCTGGTCCAACGCAAGGTCACATACCGTGCTACGTCACACCAAGATCGGCCGCCTCACCTTGCGGGGATACTTGGAGATCCCGGCAACGAGCGCGTGGCCGTACTGCCGGCCGGCAACTCCGTCGTCGAAATTCTTAACGATCACCGCCTTGCGGCCGGCATAGCGGCCCTGCAGCACCACCACCACCTTGTTCGGCTTCAGGAACTTAACCATTGTGACAGTAGCGAGGGGACGGGACGGAACTACAGCGAAAAGGTTGCGGGACAGACGCCCGAGGCTCCTAAGACTGCCTAGGGTTGGTGGTGGGAGGGAGAAAAAGGGGTAAGTCGAGGAGGAGGGGAAGGGATATGCTCGCTAAACCCTAAACGGCCTCCGCGGGAGTGTCCCTTGCGCGTCCTCCCTGCGTTACTGCTTCTCCGCCACCCGTTTTCGGCTCTTTCGCCCTCCACTCGGAAGCCACGGGGCTGACTTCGTCACGACGGGAGTGCGATTCGCGACCGACGTTACCTGGTCGTAGTACGACAACGGTGACCCAAGAAGGGTGGTATGCCACGGATAAGGCGCGATACTGAGTGATTCCAGATCATGCTTTACAAGGCCACAAATACCGTAGTTTTATGACGAGCAGCAGAGTGCTTTTGCAGAACAACCTAAAAAAATATATTGATGTACTGAAGTTGAATTAACTAATTCGCATCAGCAAACATATTCTGAAATTTCTGCATCTTGGTCCACCAATCCCTCATAGCGGTGCTAAACTACCACAAACAGATCGCATATCAGACGAAAAAGATATACGGTAGCAGTCGTGTACCATATTCTAATTCCATTTGCTGCTTACTCAGGGCAAATTCCTGGGAAGACGCGTCACAGACGCAGCATACCGTTCTGCACCGCACTTCACCTAAGGATCCAAGGTTTGCACCGCACTGTATTTGTAATGCGAGGCTTTTGTGACGCGTGCTAGGATGATACCCTCAATCGGCCATGGTTTTATTAGATGGGAAGGTATTACGGGAACGTCACCGCGCAGTAAACCATGGATGGGCTGTCCACAGGGACAACGAAGGCAGAGAGACAATCAAAGCATACACGAACGAACTACAGTTGAAGGCAAAATGTCGCGGTAGCAACGAATACAAAGCAAAAGACTCTCACGCAGCAATAATGGCATGCTTTGTGTGCACGCATGCACTCGCATTCCCGTGCAAATTGCAAGGGGGGAATGGGGGAAGGGAGGTGGAAGGAAGGGAAATGAAACAAAGGACGAAAGTAGGAGGAAAGTGGATGCAAGAGAAGAAAGCATACTTACCAAGAGCCCCTTGCGCCGTGAGGATCTTCTTTGTATCCCTCACTAGCATCTTCTTTAACAGAACCACCGCTTCCGCGCTCACTCCATGCCACATCATGGCCATCACAACACAAGAGGAACGAGCGTACTCACCAAGAGCCCCTTGAGCCGTGAGCCTCTTTTTCGTATCCCTCACAAGCATCTTCTTCAGCAAATCCACCGCCTCTGCGCTCACGCCGCGCCACACATCCCCTCTATAGCTCGCCTTGGCTTCCTTTATAGCTTTGATCACCCCAGCTTCGGTACGAGCCCAAAAGGGCGGCACTCCCGCCAGCATGACATAGAGCACGACCCCCGCGCTCCAGATGTCTGCAGGGAAGGAGTAGCTTCCCTCCACCACCTCTGGAGCCACATAATACGGTGATCCCATGAACTCGGTTAGGGGCTTGGCACCTGGGGGGTTGGGAGCAGTGAAGAGTGGCGAGGAGTGGGCGGGAGGGGCAGGGAGTGATGGAATGAGGTGTGGTGAGGAGACGTGGGGAATGGTGGGGATTGGGAGAGGCAGGGAATTTGCAAAAGCCACAATTCCAGCACTCCAGATTTGGTCCGTAATGAAACACCAAAGGCCCGACGGTGAGGCTTCAAATTTTCTTTGGACGTTAGAAGCACCTGAAGCTCACCTGATGAAGCACCTGACAATTCACCTGGTTTGACGATAGCAGCGATGCCGAAGTCGATGACCCGGCAGTCGGAGAGAGACTGCTGTGTCTTGAGGAGAATGTTCTTTTACTTGTGAAGAGGGTCACTCACACCCCTTGGGCACTTCACACCTCACCTGGTTTCACGATAGCAGCGATGCCAAAGTCGATGACCCGGCAGTCGGAAAGCGACTGCTGTGTCTTGAGGAGAATGTTCTTTTACTTGTGAAGAGGGTCACTCACACCCCTTGGGCACTTCACACCTCACCTGGTTTCACGATAGCAGCGATGCCAAAGTCGATGACCCGGCAGTCGGAGAGAGACTGCTGTGTCTTGAGGAGAATGTTCTTTTACTTGTGAAGAGGGTCACTCACACCCCTTGGGCACTTCACACCTCACCTGGTTTCACGATAGCAGCGATGCCAAAGTCGATGACCCGGCAGTCGGAAAGCGACTGCTGTGTCTTGAGGAGAATGTTCTCAGGCTTGATGTCGCGATGCACAATGCCGTGCTGGTGGCAGTGGGCTAGCACGGATAGCACCTGGTGGGACGGAAGAACAGGGTAGGTGGGAGGGGGAAGAGTGTACATTAGGGCTTTTGAGGCTTGATGTCCCGATGCACGTTGCCGTGCTGGTGGAAGTGCGCTAAGACCGATAGCACCTGATGGGATAGGGAAAGGGATGGGATGCAGAGGGACAGGGGTGGGGACAGAGAGGGATTGCTGCGACTTGAGGAGGATGTTTTCGGGCCTGATGTCTCGATGCACGATGCCGTGCTGATGGCAGTGGGCTAGGACCGATAGCACCTGATGGCATACGGGGGGGTAGGGGAGCGATGCAAATGGATTGCTGTGTCTTGAGAAGAATGTTTTCTGGCTTGATGTCGCGATGCACAATGCCATGCTGGTGGGAGTGTGCCAGCACGGACAGCACCTGGTGGGGAGATCGAGGATGACAACAGAAGAGAAAGAGTTGTATCCCTTATCACCCAGCGCACCATATGTACATCACCCAGTGCATCATATGTACCAAGACAACTACTATATCATCTTCTGTCGAAGTTTTGATGGCCAAGCGAATGCATTCCACGCTGCCTTGTGTGTGATGCCCTGTGCATGCATAAGTCAAGTACCACACCCCTCCTCTCTCTCACCTGCTGCATGGTGCCCTGCCATGCCCTGTGTGCACCCCCTCGCACCTGCTGCATGATGCAGAGCGCGTCCCTCTCTTCCAGTCGTCTTCTCTCCTTGATGCGATCAAACAGCTCGCCCCCCTGGCACAGCTCCATCACCACACCAGCTGCACTGCCTGTCATACCGTGTCATGCTGTGTGTGTGATGCCCTGTGCTTGCCTAACCCCATAACCCGGCAGGTATTATCCCATACTCCGCATGTCACCTGCTGCATGATGCAGAGCGCGTCCCTCTCTTCCAGTCGTCTTCTCTCCTTGATGCGATCAAAAAGCTCGCCCCCATGGCACAGCTCCATCACCAGATGCACCGCCTGCGACATGTAATGCATGCCATGCCATGGTGTGCCATGCCGCCATGTGATGCGATGCGGTGCGATGTCATGAAATGTCATGCGTTGCCAGAAGGTGATGTGTGGCATTCCATGGCACAAAGAGCGGAAGATGCGGGAAACAAATAAACAAACAAACAAATGAAAAGAACGAATTATAGCTGCTTTCGTACAATTAGACCAGTGGAATGTCAAGCCTGCACACAAGAAATTAAATGTAAAACATTCAACTTCCCCACGTTAGCTACCCGGCGCCCGCCGCATATTTTTTTACCTTACTCCCATCACAACCCCTCGTCCACTACACGCTCCCTCGCTCACCACACGCCCCCTCATCCACATATTTCCCCGGTTACCACATAACACCACATACCAACGGATACCATCCCATACCACTGCATGCATACCACCACCGCATACCAACCCATACCACCGCATACCACCCCATACCACCCCATACCACCACATACCATTTCATACAACTGTATAACACTGCATGCCACCACACACCACCGCATACCACCACCACGTACCACCACCACGCACCTCCTCGTCTTCAAACACGTCTTCCAGCTTCGCCACATTCGAATGCCCGCCCACCATCTCATGCACCATCACCTCTCTCTTCACTGCGTCTACGTCCGCCTTGCTCTGTAGAGTGTGGGTGGGTTGAGAAGGGGCATAGGACAGGGGTGTCAAAGCGAAGGGGTGTGGGAGGGGGAGGGGGCAGTATTGAAGGGATTATGACTCTAAGCGCCTCGCCCACCATGCCCGCCCACCATCTCATGCACCATCACCTCCCGCTTCACTGCATCAACATCCGCCTTGCTCTGTAGAGCAAGAGGGAATAGAGGGAGAAGGGACAACAAAGGGAGTCTATAGGCACATAGTCCTGTCTGCCCGCCCACCATCTCATGCACCATCACCTCCCGCTTCACTGCATCAACATCCGCCTTGCTCTGTAGAGCAAGAGGGAATAGAGGGAGAAGGGACAACAAAGGGAGTCTATAGGCACATAGTCCTGTCTGCCCGCCCACCATCTCATGCACCATCACCTCCCGCTTCACTGCATCTACGCCCTTGTGCCCTTTCCACGTTGATCCACGTGCATCTCCCCCTCACCTACAAGTCGTCCTTATTGATCGACATGCAAGCCAGCTACAGCATGGTCTGCTTGCACTGCACCACCCACCACCACCTTCAATCCACCCTTATTTGCCTTGCACCTCCCACCTCCCCGCTTCTTGAACCCTGACCAGATTCCCATCCCTAGCAGACTTGCAACGCCTCACCTTCAGGTCGCCCTCGTTGATCGACTTGCAAGTGAGCTGCCGCCCCGTCTGCTTGCACTGCACCACCCACCACCCACCGCCCGCCTTCAATTCACCCATAATAGTTCCCTTGCACCTCCCACCTCCCTTTCCCACTCTCACCTTCAGGTCACCCTTATTAATCGGCTTGCAAGCCAGCTGCCGCCCGGTCTGCTTGCACTGCACCACGCGCCCTCAAGCCACCCTGGTTAATCAAGTTGCTTGCACCACCTCCCCCACCTTCCTGTTGCCCCTCACCAACAAGTCGCCCTTATCGGTTGACTTGCACTTCCCATCGCCCCCACCTCTTTCACCCATTCTCACCTTCAGGTCGCCCTTGTTGATCGACTTGCAAGCCAGCTGCCGCCCGCTCTGCTTGCACTGCACCACACGCGTCACTCCAAACTGCCCCGCCCCAAGCTCCTTCTCAACCATCAGATACTTCTTCTCCAGCCGGCCAAACTCCCGCCCTAGCACGCTCCCGCCCCCACTCCCAAAGAACCCTCGCTTCATCTGCGCCAGGCCCCTCTTGGCAAACCCTAGCAGCCCGCCTTTCTTGCTGGATTTGAAAAAGGAGGTCTGGATTTCTTCTACAGTGCATGCTGAGTCCCCCTCCACTGCCCCTAACGCGTTCAGGTCTTCGGCGGAAAGAGAGGAGAGGCGTGAGATTTTCTTGTCTCCTGCGCTGCTGCCAGCACCACCACCAGCACCAGCACCACCAGCACCAGCACCAGCACCAGCAGCAGAAGATCCAGACGTGCCAGGGCTATGGGGGGCCCCAACACTCCCAGAGGAGCGGTGAGGGGAATGAGGGTCACTGTCAACAGAAGCACGCCTCGGTAAAGGCACCCGCTGCTGCTGCTGCTGCTGCTGCTGCTGCAGGTGCTGCTGCTGCAGCGACTGCGATTGGGACCGTGGAAGAGGGGAGTGGGAGGAGTGTGACTGCCCCTGCCCCACGTATTTCCTCTCCACAGCCCCCCCTCCCAGCATTGCACCCACGTCCATACTAGACCCTCTAGCAATCCGTCCCTTGGGCTCTCCCCTCCCTCCTTCTCCCCCTCTCTCTCCCCCTCGCTCTCCCTCTCTCTCTCTCCCGCTGTCTGCACTCGCCTGTCTTGGAACCCCACCCCCAGGCCTCCCACCTCGAATCCTCTCCATCTCCCTCTCTCTCTCCCTCTCTCTCTCCCTCTCTCTCTCCCTGTCCTTCTCTCTTCCCCACCCCGCGTCCACACTCCCTTGCCTGGCGATACGCGGGCCTCCTCGCCTTGCCTCATCAACCCTTGCTCTCTCCCTCTCCCTCTCCCTCTCCCTCTCCCTCTCCCTGTCCCTATCCCTGTCTCTGTCTCTGTCTCTGTCTCTGTCTCTATCCCTGCATTCATCAACGCTGGAATGACGAGGAATCCTCTCCCTCCTCTCCTCCCACTCCCTCTCCCTCTCCCTCCTCTCCTCCCAATCCCTCTCCCGCCCACTGTCAACACTCGCTTGCCGCATGACCCTCCCCTTCCTCTCGTCCCTCTCACCTACCCTCTCGCCCCTCCTCTCCTCCCTCTCTCTCTCCCATCCGCCACTATCCACACTACTCTGTCTAGGAACCCGGGGGATCCTATCCCCTCCCCGCCTCTCCTCCCTATCCCTGTCCGCCCGCCCACCATCTACACTCCCTTGCCGAGGGACACGCGGAATTCTATCCCCTTGCCTCTCCTCCCTCTCCCTCTCACCACCCCCGCCATCTACACTCGAATGACGGGGCACACGTGGGATTCTAGCCCCTTTCCCTTCGTCTCTCTCCCCCCTACGCTCCACCCTACCCTCATCTCTCTCCCCTCGCCCCTTCCTTTCACCCCTCCCCTCCTCCCTCTCCCTTTGATCAAGGCTACTTTGCCTGCTAATCCTATGCCTCCTCTCTTCCCCCTCCTCCTCTTCATGCCTTCTCATCATAGCACCTCCCTCACTCGCTTGCCTAGGCAGCCTTCCCCCTCTCTCCCCTCTCTCCCCCCTCTCCCCTCCCCTACCACCCCCACCCCTCTCCCTCTCCTCCTCTGCAAACCCCCGCCTCCTGTTCCCCCTCACCCTCTCATCCCCGTCATAAGCCTCCTCGCTAGCCACAGAAGAGCTCCTACCAGGAAAAACGGGCGGAAGACCAGGGGAACCGCCCCCAGCAAGCGGGGGAAGACCGGGGGGAACACCCCTTCCACGCCTGGGGTCTAGGGGGAGGCTTTCCTGCCTGAGGGTTTCCATGCCGGGAGGAACACCGGCAGCAGCGGCAGCAGCGGCATCGAGGTCTGTGTCAAAGGCAGAGTCGCTGGTGGTGGAAATGCTTCGCTCTGAGAGTGACTTTCGGAGGATGCGACCCCGTGGCACTGGTGGGGATGAGAGGAGGGGGAGGGGGGAGGGGGGAGGAGGGGAGGGGGAGGGGAGGGGGAGTTACAGACACTTCTTCCGCGCCTGGGGTCTAGGGGGAGGCTCTCCTGCCTGAGTGTTTCCATCCCAGGAGGAACACCGGCAGCAGCGGCAGCAGCAACATCGAGGTCTGTTTCAAAGGAGGAATCGCTGGTGGTGGAAATGCTTCGCTCAGAGAGCGACTTGCGCAGCACTCTAGTCCCTGGTGCAGCTGGCAAGGGTGGGATGGGAGGGGGGGAGAGAGAGAGAGGCACAGGTGGAACCTTGAGGGACTGCTTTGCCCTTTCTCATGTATTCCCGTGGATCAAAAGCAGAGTCGCTGGTGGTGGAAGTGCTTCGCTCTGAGAGAGACTTGCGCAGCACACGACCCCCTGGTGCTGCTGGGAAGAGGGAAAAGGGCGGGAGGAGAGCGGGGAGGAGAGAGAATTCACGGGTGGGTGGTGCATACGTCACCTCTGTGCCTTTGCCCATCAGCAATTGTCCCCTTTCAGTTTCACAACCCCATGGCTCGCTCATTTCAGTTTCCCATGGCTTTAAGGGGCAGCCTTCTGTACTGCAGACTGGCAGCACTGTCAGCACTGCGGGTGCCGTAGATGTCTTGGCTAGGCTCATAGCAAAAAATACCCAATGCCACACTCACCAGCTTTAGGGGGCAGCCCTCTGTCTCGCAGATTGACAGCGCTGTCAGCACTGCGGGTGCCGTAGATGCCTCGGCTATCATCACCTATTCCCTTCCCTTCCTTCGGCTTCCTGTTTCTAGCCCCATTTTCCTCCTCTCCCTCATCCCACTCCTCCCTTTCCTCATCCTCCTCCCCTTCCATCCCCTTCCATCCCCTTCCCTTCTTCCACTCCTCCCCCTCTTCCCCCATCTCCTCCGCATATCCATCTGCGCCCATCCCCCGTTCTTCGTACTCCCCCACCTCATTCCTCCCTGCGCCTCCCTCTTCATCCGAGCCTACATCCGAGCCTTCATCCGAGCCTAAGTCTTCATCCCGTGAAAAACCTCCTCTCTGCCTCTCCTCCTCTCCACCATCATTCTCACTTCCCAAAGGAGATTCGTCTCTCTCCTCCGCCTCTCCCGTCCTCTCCTCCCCTCTCCTCCCCGAACCTCTTCCTTCTCCACGCCATTCCTCCTCCCCGTCCTCATAGTCTTCTCTGTCGTTATCCCCCTGCCCCTCTCCCCTTTCCTCCTCCTCCTCTTCCTCCTCTTTATCTTCTCCCCTTCCAACCCTCCCAACTCTTCGATTGTCATCTCTTCTCCCTTGTCCTCTACCCCCACTCCCATCATACTCGTTATAATCCCGTTCGTACGATCTCCTTTCAGATTCTGAATCCCCACTCTCGTCCGATTCACGCTCCCTGTAGTCACGCCCTTTATAGTCAGATTCGTTAAAGTCACGCTCATTTAGGTGCCTTTCGCGATCTCTATCAATCTCCCCACCACGCCTCCTCCCTTCCCCATGCCTATCCCTCTCCCTCTCATACTCTCTCTCCCTCTCATACTCTCTCTCCCTCTCATACTCCCTCTCCCTCCCATACCCTCTCTCCCGCCCCCCTTCCCCCTCCTCTTCCCCTCTCCTCCCCTCACTTCTCCGCCTCCCCTCCCTCTCCCTCCCCGCCCGCCCCGCGCTTCCGCCAGGCGGCGGAGTGCCACGTGGCGGCCTTTCCGCCTCCGTGCTGTTTTGCCGGCGGAACAACCTCCCCCCAACACCACCGCCCTTGCTACCGCTGCTGCTCCCCGGCCGATCGTCGAATCCCGGCGATGCCGCGCCGTGCATTCCGGGCGGCGTAAGTGGCGAGCCGCGACCGCTACACGACATAGATCTGCCCGCCGCGGAAAAAGCGGATCCCGATCCGCCTCTGCCGCTTCCCGCGCTCGCGGAGATGCGCCCGCCGCCTTCGCCCTTACTAGGCGTGCTCGGCCTTTCAAGCAGCTGCGCTGCCGGTCGACCGCCGGAACTTGACGGCCGGCCGACGGCCGTTGGACGGCCGCCGCTTGTAGACGGCCGGGCTGGGTGTTGACCCGTCGGCGACTGCTGCTGCTGCTGCTGCTGCTGCAGGAGCGTCATGACTTGGCGCGCTTTGGCCGCCTGACGCGTGTTGGAGGCGTTTTCGGGTTGTTGTAGTTTTTCCATGAGCGTTGCTGCTTTGGAGAGCTGCTGCGGGGACACGTGGGCTGCTCCACCAATCGAAGAGGAGGCGGAGCGTCGGTGGGATTTGTCGTTCTTGCTCGCCATGACGGAATGTGCTTTGAACGAAATAAATATGGATAAAGTAATGGATGAAACCCTATAAACCCAGGATGCTGGTAAGGCAGAAGGACCGAAGAGTGCAGTGTCTTGTCTCAAAATAGATTATGGTAAATTGCGGTACGGTCGAATTTTGTCGTATACGATAAAAAACGGTGGAATGGCGTAACTCTACAGAAGGACGACACAACGTTTTCCCTTCAGTCCACAAGTCCAATTGGGAGTGAGGAGCTAATTATGTTCGACCCAAAGCTTGAATCCAGAGTAACGAACCACGAATACGCGAAATCCTGGTATGAATTGCACTCAAATGTAATATCTGAACACTAGAAAGCACCCCGGAATGTCGTCTAATATGCTAACTACATTCGATACTGACTACAATGCAGTCTAGGTGGATAGGTGAGAGTGCTGGAATCGAAGCGCGCAGCCAGCACTCGTCTGATGGCAATAGTAATGACAATAAGGAGCTATGGAGCATGCAGATAAGGATGGCGAACGACGGCGAAGATCAGTGGCGAAAGGAGGCGAAACCCTCGTCAAGCTCTCGCATCCTAACCTGCTGCTACCCTTGCTTCTGCTAGTGTGACCTGGGGTTGGGTCTATCTGCCTTGTGTAGCTTTGATCACCTCAGAATAATTTCGATTTTTACATGATGCTGCTCCTGGTCTTGATTCCTTGCTGCTGATGAACTTGGATAAGATAATCTCGAGGAGCTGTCTTATGAGGGCGTATTTACTTCTTTTCTCATTTCCGTACAACAGAAACTACAACACACACCAGAGGTGAACTTGTCAAGTTCCGCGCAACGGGAATGCCACCAAATGCGATACAAACTGGTTCCAAAACCGGGAACTCTCTTTTTATGCGCGGATGGTGGGCAAGCACTGGTGCATCGATGGGGTGCCAACCCAGCCCATCAAACTGTACAGTACACGTACCATGTTCAGACATGTGGTGGGTAGCAGCAATGTACTGTGATACGCGTTATGAAAAAGGTCGTTCAGAATACAGATGTACATCATACGATTATGATATACGGTATATCTTCAGCAGAGCGTCCTTCACATTATGCAGCATACATGCAAGCAAGTGCCACCTACCACAATGTGGTATTGTAGCACCTAGCAAAAACGTTACTGGGTGCATGCGAGCATGCTTTAACATGCGAACCGCTATGTGTTAGGTATATACAGATAACATCAATTTTTGCCAACAGTTCATTATTGGATGATATACATCATACACTATCCTCTATATGATGCATCGAGATACCCCAGATGGAGGCGCACTTGCGCTTATACCGTACGGTGCAAAACGCTTTCCGAAATTCTACATAACACCAATTCGTTTCCCTTCAATTCAAGTCGTCAATAGAACTATTTACCTCCCCTTGCGCCTCTTGCCATCTCGGCAAGCCGCCGCAATCTCCTCTATTACCGGTAGGACGACACTCCCATGGATCTCGGCGATCGATCCTGCCGCAGGATCGTTTCTTGACGGGGTTAAAAAGGTGAAGAAATATTTAGCGGGTTTTCTGTGCGGTGGCGGATCGATTTTGCACGATCGATCGTCGAAACCTTAGCGAGTGCCCACGTCCTTAGCTGTCTCGCAATCTCCTCAAACTGCATGCTAGAATCCCCTGCCACTCGCTGTGAAAGCTCCTCAAACCGCGAGTGAGCTGAATTCCGCCATTCGCTGCGTGCTAGCATCCTCTAGCAACTCCCAAATACGTTCATCTCACTCATACAGTAGCATTTACCTCCTCTTCCGCTTCTTGTGATCGCAGCAGCAAGCTGTCGCACACTCTTCCATCAACTCTCTCGCAATCTCCTCAAACTGAGCAGAAGCATCCTCTGCCAGTTTCTGAGAAAGCTCCTCAAACCGTGAGTACGCATCATGCAGCAACTCCCGAGAGAGCTCATCAAACTGAATGCACGCGTTTCTCACAGCAGCACCCATCGCTGCAGTCAACATCTCGCCCAACCTCTCGCACCGCCTCTCTCCCCGCCTTACGCCCGAAACCCCTGCGCTCGAATCCTTTCCACCTCCTGTGAATCCCTCTGTTCCCCTCCTCGCAGATCTTCTCTCACGCAGCTCTCGCTGCTCGCTTCTACCATCCCTTTCACGCAGTGAGACACCCCCAGAAGTAAAATCATCCGCCGGTGCTACTGTGCCTTGTCTGTGGGCTGATGCCGGTTCATAACTCGCCGGGTGAAAATTTGTAGCAGGAAGGGAGGCTGTGGCAGGCAGGGAGGCTGTAGCGGGCAGGGGGAGTGTAGCTGGCAGGGGGGATGTAGCGCTGGCAGCGAACGTAACCCTGTTACCAGGCAGGTGCAACATGGTGACGCCTGATCCACCATGTCCTTGCGTCGAGTCGGTATATTTCCGCTTGATGTCAAGAATCGGATCTGTAGCGGTGGGAGCAGGAATAGGAGCGACTTTGTTACGCAGGCTCTGCAGATAGCAGTCTGAGGGTTGCCTTGAGTCAGAGGGTTGCCTTGAGTCAGAGGGCTGCCTTGAGCCAGAGGGTTGCCTCTGCCTCTCAGCAGGTGCAAAGGGAGAGACAGTGGGTGGCGCTGCTGCTGGTAAAGGGAGAAGCGCGAAGGGTGAAGAGAACGGTAGAAATGGGAACGGGAACGGTGATGGTGATGGTAATGGCCCATTGTATCCCTGCTGCTGTTGCTGCTGCTGCTGTTGTTGCTGCTGCTGTTGTTGCTGCTGCTGTTGCTGCTGCTGTTGCTGTTGCTGCCGTTGTTGCGGCTGCTGCTTCTGTTTCTCCTGCTGTTGTTGCTGCTGTTGCTGCTGATGTTGCGGCTGTTGCTGCTGCTGCTGTTGTTGCTGCTGCTGTTGTTGTTGCTGCTGCTGTTGCTGCTGCTGTTGTTGCTGCTGCTGTTGTTGCTGCTGCTGCTGTTGCTGCTGCTGCTGTTGCTGCTGCTGCTGTTGTTGCTGCTGCTGCTGTTGTTGCTGCTGCTGTTGCTGCTGCTGCCGTTGCGGCTGTTGTTGTGGCTGTTGCTGCTGTTGTTGCTGATGTTGCTGCTGCTGCTGCTGCTGCTGTTGTTGCTGCTGTTGCTGCTGCTGCTGCCCCTGCTGCTGCTGCCCCTGCTGCCCCTGCTGCCCCTGCTGCTGCTGCTGCGGCTGCTGCTGCTGTTGCTGCTGCTGCTGTTGCGGCCCCTGCAGCTGCCCCTGCTGCTGCTGCTGTGGCTGCTCCTGCTGCTGCCTAACAGACTCTCCCCACCCTGAGCCAATGCTCTCAGGGAACACATAACTCGGCATTTCAGCAGGATGCTTCCTTGCCGTAAACACCTTAGCAGCAGAAGCAGCAGCATCAGCAGCACCACCACCAGCAGCAGCAGACACTCTACCTGCTCTTCTAGCCTTTTTGGCTGCCACGTATTTCCTCGCCTGAAGCTCAGTTTCATAAAACAGTTGAATGTACTCAAACCACGCTGGTTCTGCCCCCGGTCCCCACGCTGGTTCTGTCCTAGTCCACCATCCCCCCTTGGGCCTTCCCCTCACCTTTGCCTTCGCCCCTGTGTTCCCCCCTGACTCATAATTGGGTTGCTCATCCGCGTTAGTAGATCCTCCCTGCCGCTTCTCAACTGAACCCCCCCCCGCCTGCTGCTTGGCGCCCCCCGGAGGCCTCCCCTCCGCGGAGCACCGCCCCGTCCCCCCCCGCTTCCGCCGCCGCTTCCGCCGCGGGTCGTGGGTGTCCACGTCGTATCGCGCTCTCATGCGCGTCCACTGCTTCGCCATCGCTGTCGGAATGCGCCGCCACTCGGGGTTCGCGCGCCGGATCGCGCGCCACACCTGCCGCCAGTAGACGTCCCCCCTGCCGCCGCTCCGTATCGTGATTTCCCCGCTGTGCCGGCAGAAAACGACAGCCGCTGCGAGCTCCATCAGCTCCGCATCGCTCCACTGACTCATCCTCCGCGCCGCGAGCTCCGCCAATTCCTCTCCTTCCTTCTCGCCTTCTTGAAGCTCGTACCAAGGGACCTCGAGGCTACCCGGTTGCACCATGCGACCCGGTTCCTCCACACGACCCGTTTCGGCCTCTGCATCCGTTTCTCTGTCTCGATCCGTTTCTCTGTCTCGATCCGTTTCTCTGTCTCGATCCGTTTCTCTGTCTCGATCCGTTTCTCTGTCTCGATCCGTTTCTCTGTCTCGATACGTTTCTCTGTCACGAAACAAGTCTTCCGTTGAGTCATACGGCCTTCCGAACCGCTCTCTGAGGTGGTATTCGTCGATATCGTACGAGTCGTCCGACTGGCCGTCGTTTTCGGCATCGCTTTCGCCATCGTCGCCGCCGTCGCCGAAGTCGTCGCTAAAGTCGTCGCCAAAGTCGTCGCCAAGGTCGTCGTCGTGGCTTTCGTCGTTTTCTTCGGCGTGGCAGCGGGTTAACGCGGCGGCGAGATGCTCCTTGATCCACCGAACGAACGGAGGATCGGGTGGTACAATCGTCGCCCAATCGGCTTTCGTGCCCGCCTGGCTTGCTATACCGTTACCTGAACGATTCCTAGTCGCCATGATAATTCTGGAGAGAGGCTACCGCCAACCAGCGAGCAGAAAGCTGCTCAAACAGGACGCGTTCAGAATGCGTTCAAATCTGGTCATAGACCAGGAAAGACGGGAGTTCCAGCTGGGACGCGATTGTCCCTAGGGTGTTAGCTGGACTCTAGATCTGTCCTACCCGTGACAGTAACGAAGACTGATTGGCAGAATGACCTTGGGGATACACCATGCTGGCAGGATATCGCAACTAAGCGTCAGAGAACTGATCGTTTCAGTCTGGTGTTTGAACTAACCATAACGGTTGTACAGGGTTGGGCGTTGGAACTGTCAGGTGGCCAGGAGGTATGTAGCCTGACCCGCCCCAAGTTTTTCTGGGCAGCTCTGGCTGACACGACGACTCTCGTGTCGTTCCCGTTTGTCTTGCAACGCTGAATACTGTAGCACAAAGTCAGAAGAAATACTATCAGGGTCAGAAGAAACGATCAACCAGCGTCGACGAAGGACAGACACCACACAGGTTGACGATTCGTGATTTCGTAAATCCCTTACAGTAGCTCTGGAAACACGGAAGACGATTGGCGAAAAAACGAAGACTAACTACTGAAGTGTACTCGGTTACAATGTTTTATTTTGTTTTTGTTCGGTTTTTTTGGCGCCTTCCGTTTCGCATGTCCAAAAAACAGCTTGTCGTAAATTTTGGTGTCGACCAGAGACTGGGGCTGCTCGCCGGACAGGGCCCGGCCTAGAGTTGAGGGTCTGCGCCACGTCCCTGCATCATCCAAGAATGAAGTCAGAACTGTTAATAGTACCATCCTTTTCTAAAAGTAATACATGATATAGTGTATACAGACAGAGTGTATACATCCACAGCTCGATAAGGCAGAAATCGAGGATATTCGTACGGGGTCAACTACGGACAGGAAACATGTTGGTTAGGGCGTGAAACATTTTTACGAACACGTCGAATGGTCGAATTGATGGTTGCTTCTGGCGATTGCGAAGGATTTAAGGAAACCCCATCGTGTGAGATGCCCAGTATTCACCCTCATTCGACCGAATTTCAATGGTAGTTTCCGTAGGATTTTTGTCGCCACCTACACTGTCCAGAGAAGTGGGACAACGTTTAACTTCGATTGTTCCACTGAAAGTGTTTTCCGGCCCCGCTCTACTTGCAAAACATACAATTTTCCGTCCCGACGTTCCACACCCCATTCGAATGCTTAAACTAGGATCAGATGTTTTTTCTTAGTTTGGGTAGTATTTGGTAGGTGCCCCACGTTCTGGCGAACAGATTAGCTTGAAAATCTCGCATTCTTCGCATCTCTGTTACACTTTTCGTTTTCGTTAGATCCAGCCATACGGGCGACCATTTGGCATGGTCGGAAAAATGTTCCACGCCCTTACTTTGGCCATTCCCCAACAAACTGAAGGGGGTTTTCAGTTGACAACGCACGGTTTTCGAAACTGCACGCCAAATGCGCAGTTTCATCGCTTCTGGGGCAGGGTTACTGCCCGTTTTTCGTTTACAGCGCAGAGTTTGTGCGATTTCTACGCAGCTCGACGCTCATTCGTCTAAATATCCGAAAACGACAAGCCTGCAATGTAACAGAAAATTTATTTAACTCAGTCAGGTGTTTCAAAATTTTCACGCCCATATAGAGAGTGCATCAATCCTAAACATCCAGTCGCGTGGAGTTTAGGGTTGATGCTCCCTCGACGGCAGCCATTAAAATATATATTTATATATATATATATATATAAAAATCGTGACAAAGGGAATCAGCCCTGAACACTTTCGGCCAATGTTTAGGGTTGATGCTCCCTAAACACTTCCGCCCGGTGTTTAGGGTTGATGCTCCCTAAACACCCCGCCCGGTGTTTAGGGTTGATGCTCCCTGAACAGCATGCCATCCGAGAGGGTAATATATTTTCGTCTGCCCAAAATTCAGGTGCAAACAGTTCGATGGCCGTCAATCCAACCGGAGTTGTCGGTCCGTCAACATTTTGACCAATGAAATCTTTACTGCGTAGAAATCTCACTAACTATGCGCTGTGATCGAAAACTGGGCACTAACAGTGCGCCAGAAGCGACAATGCTGCGCTTTTTTCGTATATTTTCAGTAACAGTGCGGGATTAACTAAAAACCCAACTGAAGGCGGTTCCCGCGAAGTCACTGTAGCATGTAGGCACGGGAATGGGTAACTAAAGCTTGGACACCAAGAACCGAATTTTTCCCTCAGTGACGTGTAAACACACCCGATCATTGGTCACCACACAAGTTGCGAGAAGTCTTGGAGCATGGCATCCAATCAGACGTGTTCATTGCTACCAAAGTGTCCACACTTCACTTGGTGTCCAAGCTTCAGAACTGCGATCTCATTTTGGGAAAGAAAGCCCCATTTCCCACCTGGCTAACTGAAGACGGAGCCCTTTGTATGTTGCGTAGGAAAATCATCGTTTCACATTACCTGGCCGATTCTTGCTGGGGGCAACCAGACGAAGAACGTGTCTTTCCCGCCAGACTTCGTTGACAAATCAAGGTGCTGAAATCATTTTCGAAATTATTGTTTGGACACTACCTGAGTACCTGACCAGACTACAGTAATCTTTTTCTGGCTGCTTTTCCCGTTCGCCCTGGGAATACACCTGCTTCTCCGAACCAGCTCCGTGCCAAGAATTGGGCTCGGAACCTCTCTCGAGCTTGTTCTTCGGGTTCTCTGCGCTTGGTTTGGGGACTTCGGGATTGCCTTCTGCTCCTTTCCGCTGTGCGCCATGACATATAGGCCTTGTTCGGTAGGCACCCAGCGCGAGTGGGCCCACTCTCACTGGCGAACCCTTCGTGGGGCTTCCTAGCCTCGGACCCTCAACTCGCACTGAGGGCTTGTCCGCAGTTTCGACATGTCAAAGTGCCAGTGTCAATCTTCCGTTTTGACACTTCCAACATTATTGGCAGAGTGTCAAAATTTCGCCAGTCGTACATTTTCGCTTCTGACGCAGTCTATACCAGCGAACCAACCATAGTCGTCGCATCAGCAAATCTGATCACCCCTAGTACCCAATAACAACGCACCGATCCCTGACATCTAGTTGATTCTGTCGCTTCATCGTACGTGGGCGAATCATCTGGGAACATAGGTGTTCCAACGAATAAGCTTGCATCTTTGCTGTTCGCACAAGCGCTTCGTGTTGACACTGATTGTACAGTGATTGACACGCAAAATCATGCGCGCGTCGGGTTGACACGCATGGACTTGACATGTCAAAACTACGGACACGATCTGAGGCACCTTCGCATTTGATTTCGGGTGCTTGCGCGACAACAACGAAGTAGCTTCATCCTGGGGCATTTTCCCCTGTCGCTCTTACCGTATTACAGGGGGGGGGGCTTGTAGTGAGCCGCAGCTCCACTCCGACTGGTTTTTGCCCGGGGAAGAAATTTCCCCCTCAGCTTCGTCGCGGCCAGTCTTATCACAGTCAGACTGGCGAATAGAGGCGTTCGGTACCAAACTTTAACTGGCTAGGCTCGGTGTTCTACTAACGAGTACATGGGCTTTAACCATGTACACATACGAAATGGGGAACTTGCGCTGACCCATCCGCAGTCTGACTGGGCAGCCTACCGAACAAGGCCGTAGGTTGGAAATGCCTAGGTTGGAAGGAAATAACGGATGTGAAGTTTGGAATCACATGATGGCTTCTTTGTGAGTCTCTCATGGCAAATAGGACTTGGTGACTTTGTTGGTGGCGGCATGGTAGGAATTTAACGGTTTCTTTCGATTATGTTTAGAACTCGTTTGTATACATTCACGGCAGGACTGTAGCCCGACACACATGTTCTAGCTGGCTGCTGCATGCGTTTCTAGGAACCATGTAGTCGGGCGTTTCAATCAAGGCAGGTTCGCTAGCGGTAGCTCATGACCCGGAGTTTCGTCTATACCATTCTGCCCTGTCACCTGCATTACCGGGTATGCGAGGAGCACACTGCGTATTTATAACTCTTTTCGGTTGTTTCGTAACCTATCCCTCACTGTTAGGGTTTCCTTCAACCCCGCTTCGGCTGACGTCCATTACTTAATCTCTTCCGCATTCCAAACTAGCGACGATGTCGAAACGGATGGACCCGCGCAGGCAGAGCGTCGGCAGCGGCACTGATCTCCGCCGCTCCAGATCCATCGGAGTATCCTCCCAATCAATGGACTTCAAAAACTTCAATCCCGCCGCTCCCGCCGCGCGCCAGCAACCCGCGCCCCCCCACGGCCGCTTAAACCGTTCCGTCAGTCAGAAAGCTGCCGGCGACGTGACGTTAACGGCGGAGGAGTTGGCGGAGATGGAGCAGGAAATGGTTAAGTCCAAGACGAAGGTCATGGCGTGGTTTACGAAATCGGAGTCGGAAGGTGCGCCGATTAACGCTCCCCCGCCCGCCGCCTCCCCTTTCGAGGAAGTCGGCGGACTCGAAACCCCCCCTATGGGGAAGAAAGGGCTTCCGCCGAGGCGGGGGGACGCGCCTCCGCACGGGAAGCCGCCCGCGCCGCAGGATTTGAGGAAATGCGCGACGCGGGTGTTTTCGTCGCAGCACGTGCCAGAGTGGGTCGGCAAAGGGGACAGCGGCGCGTTCAAGCGGTCGCAATCGTGCCGCGAAATGGGCCAATCAGGAAGCGTTCTTAGATCGCGTTCGGTAGAGGGCCCTGGAGTGATGTACAGACCGTCAGGGGCGGGAGGAGCAGGAGGGGCAGGAGGGGCATTAGGAACGGGTTCTCCGTACGACGGCGTAGGGAGGAGACCAGGAATGCCAGGCGGTCCGGGCGGGAATAAAGACCTAGCGAAGGTTCTATCGCGGACGGAGCAAGCGGCGGAAAAGGTTAAGATGCTGCTTAGCCGGCCACCGGACCGCCGGTTGACGCGGTCGCTAAGCGCGATGAAAAAGAACGACCGAGTAAATCTAGGCGTGGGGGGGATGGGGCCGGCCGGGGGAATGGGGGGAAACTACAGCCCCGGACACGCGGGCGCGTATGGGTACGCGGGGGAGGGCAGCAGCGGAGGTGGGGGAGGAGGCGGGCGGGGGGGCATGGGCGGAATGGCTGCTAGACCGCGCGGAGACCTGCACTTGCGCCGGGCGTTTTCGGAAGACAGGCGCGCGCTTAACTCCGCGCCTATGCCCGCTAGGGGAAGCTTTGCGCCGCCAGGCGGAGGTGTGGGCGCGCGGAGGGGGGAGGATCCGCGGCAGCGAATCCTTGCCCCCCGCGGGCTGGGGCATTCGGGGGACAACAGCCCTAGCCGCTCCCCCGCGCGCCCGCTCGGGGGGGCCGCCACGTCAGCGCCACGTCAGCAGTACAGAGACGAAGACGGGCGGGCGAGTCAGGGGTATGATGATTATAGTAGGAGCCCTTCCCCCGATTGGAGGGGAAGGGGAGGGGGGAGAGGAGGCGGAAGGGTGGGAAGCACCGGGCTGAGAAGGAATGGGTATGATGAGGTTGAGAGGGGTAGAGGAGGGTGTGATGATGACTCGAGATCTGGGTCTTCGTATGATGACTATGATGGGGGCAGGAGGAGGAGGGATGATGAGTATGAGGGGGGTGGGAGGAGGAGAGATGATGGTGATGATGGGGACAGGAGGAGGAGGGATGATGTGTATGATGGGGGTGGGAGGAGAGGTGATGAGTATGATGGGGGTGGGAGGAGGATTGATGATGATTATGACGATAGGAGGAGGGATGATGATTATGACGATAGGAGGAGGGATGATGATTATGACGATAGGAGGAGGGATGATGATTATGATGGTGGGAGGAGGAGGCGGGATGATGTCGATGGGTATGACCCGAGGGGGCCTGGGCGGGGTAGGGAGAAAGATGGGGGGAGAGTTGGGGAGAGGGAGAGGGAGAGGGAGAGGGAGAGGGAAGGGGAGAAAGAATGGGACAGGGAGAGGGGCAGATACGAGGAGGCGGATGGGGAGGAGGAACGGCGGTCGCGAGATGAGTGGGAGAGAGGGAACAGGGGACGAGGGGATGGAGGTAGGGGAAATGGGGGAAGAGGGGTTGTGGGTAGAGAGGATGGGGGAAGAGGGAATGGGGGGAGGGGGTATGGAGGGAGCGGGGTGGAGGGAAAGGGAGGAGTGGAGGGAGAATGGAGTATATGTTGAGGGAGACTATGTGGAGGGTGATTATAACGAGCGGGAAATGGGTCGAGATAGGCATGGGCATGAATATGATGATGGGTACGGGGAGGAGGAGCAGGAGGGAGTGAGGGAGATGAGGGGAGGTGGAGAGGAGATGGGGATGGAGGGAGTGAGGGAGGAGGAGGAGCAGGAGGAGGGGGACGGGGAGGAGGAGGAAGGGGAAGGGGAGGGACGGTATGATGCTGATCCACAGGGAAGGGGAGATTATGGTTACAGACGTGGCGATGGTTCTGGTTACCACAATGACGTCACTGCTGAGCTGGCACAAGATCCTCATGATCACCCTGATGACGTGGCAGGTGATTATAACGAGCAGTATGATAACGCGTATGGCAGTGGTGGTGGTGGTGAAGGTGATGCTGGTGGTGGTGATTATTGTGAGAAGCATGGGGATGCTGATGATAGTCCGTACGATGGGGATGGGTATGTAGTCGCTCAGGATGGTTACCACCAGGACGGTTACCAGCCGGATGGTTACCAGCAGCAGCATGATGGTTACCACCAAGATGGTTACCACCAAGACGGTTACCACCAGGAAGGCTATGCTGCTGTTGATGATGGTTGCGATGATGGTGGTGGTTACCACAGTAACCACAACACTCCATCAAGACATGCTACTGCAAGCCATCCTTCCCCTCAATACTCCTCCTCTCCCCACCACCGATCTGCTAGCTACTCCCCCCAACAGCCGCCCTCGGCTAATTCCCACCAAAACTCGCCAGCGGTGTTCTCCCCACAGCAATCGTCTCATCATTCCTTCCAACTCCAGTCCCAATTCTCGCCATCCCAGCAGAGACAGCAGCAGCAGCAGCAGCAGCGGAGTGGCGAGATCTCCTAACAGTAACCAGAAATTGCGATCCCCATCGCAACACGTGCAGCAGCAGCAGCAGCAGCAGCAGCAGCAGCAGCAGCAGCAGCAGCAGCAGCAGCAGCAGCAGCAGCAGCAGCAGCAGCAGCAGCAGCAGCAGCAGCAGCAGCAGCAGCAGCAGCAGCAGCAGCAGCAGCAGCAGCAGCAGCAGCAGCAGCAGCAGCAGCAGCAGCAGCAGAGTATCCTCCTCCCCCAAACATCTGTCCCAACTCTCCCCTTCCAGCAACTACCACCACCAGCAGCACCACCACCAGCAGCAGCAGCAGCAGCAGCAGCAACAGGGCAGAATTCACTCCCCTCACATGCAACACCATAGCCAGCACCACACTCACCACAATCAGCAGCCGCAGCAGCAGCATAGCAGACAGCATACCCATCCCTCTGCCCCAGGCCACACAAGAACCGCCTCCTACAGCAGTGGGAGTCCGGCTGCGGCCGGTTCTCCTGGGTTAGGAGGGGTTGTGAGCGGTGCTGGTGGTAATTCTGCTCCTGGAGGAGGGGCTATGCCAGGCAGATCCTCAACAGCTGCCACTGGGCGCTCTCCTATTGGCCACACCCGATCTAACTCCCAGAGCCTACCAGTCACCAGAGGACACGTGTCACCAGGGGGGGGAAGGGGGGATGCGGCAGGGGCAGCAGCGCCGCTGCCTGGGGCATCGCCAGCTCGGCGGTCCAGGTGGCGCAATATCATTGGCCGGCCGTTGGAGAGTTTCGCCGCCCGGTTTGAGCTGACAGGGGAGGTGCTGGGAAAGGGGTATTTTGGAGACGTGGTGGTGTGCGTGGAGAGGGACAGTGGGGAGCATTTCGCGTGTAAAGTGATCAACAAGGGGAATGTGAAGGTGAGAGCAGGGGGCATGACCATGGTGCTGGGGAAGGGGTATTTTGGAGACGTGGTGGTGTGCGTGGAGAGGGACAGTGGGGAGCATTTCGCGTGTAAAGTGATCAACAAGGGGAATGTGAAGGTGAGAGCAGGGGGCATGACCATGGTGCTGGGGAAGGGGTATTTTGGAGACGTGGTGGTGTGCGTGGAGAGGGACAGTGGGGAGCATTTCGCGTGTAAAGTGATCAACAAGGGGAATGTGAAGGTGAGAGCAGGGGGCATGACCATGGTGCTGGGGAAGGGGTATTTTGGAGACGTGGTGGTGTGCGTGGAGAGGGACAGTGGGGAGCATTTCGCGTGTAAAGTCATCAACAAGGCAAATGTGAAGGTATGTAGTGGAGGGTGGGGTGCGGCATGGTGCAGTGCGGTGCAATGTGTTGAACTGACAGGGGAGGTGCTGGGGAAGGGGTATTTTGGAGATGTGGTGGTGTGCGTGGAGAGGGACAGTGGGGAGCATTTCGCGTGTAAAGTGATCAACAAGGCGAATGTGAAGGTATGTAGTGGACGGTGGGGTGCGGCATGGTGCAGTGCGGTGCAATGTGTTGAACTGACAGGGGAGGTGCTGGGGAAGGGGTATTTTGGAGACGTGGTGGTGTGCGTGGAGAGGGACAGTGGGGAGCATTTCGCGTGTAAAGTCATCAACAAGGCGAATGTGAAGGTATGTAGTGGACGGCTGGGTGCGGCGTGGTGCAGTGCGGTGCAATGTGTTGAACTGACAGTGGAGGCGCTGGGGAAGGGTTGTTTTGGAGACGTGGTGGTGTGCGTGGAGAGAGACAGTGGGGAGCATTTCGCGTGCAAAGTGATCAACGACGGTGGGGTGCGGTGCTATAGTGTTGGGGGATGTGGTGGTGTGTGTGACGAGGGACAGCGGGAAACAGTTTGCGTGTAAAGTGATGAGTTAGGGAATGTGAAGGTGAGTTGAGTTTGGAAGTTTAATGGAAAGACTGGCAGCTGCACCGTTGTATATGAACGCTCCGCACTCCCTCTTGCTTCGCTTCCCTGGCTTTCTTCCCCCTCACACCACCAGACCACCGAGGATGCGGAGGACATGCAGTAGGAGGTGGCAGCTGCACCGTATCTACATGTGTTACAATCAATGCACCGCCCTGTGCCTCCCTTGTGTTCTTCCAACCCCGAGGGAGCCACAAGGGTGGTACATCCAGACCACCGAGGATGCAGAGGACGTGCAGAAGGAGGTGGCGGCTCTGGAGGCGCTGAGGGGAACTCTCTCCCTGGTTGGTCTTGTTTGCTCTGTTGTAGAAGCATGTATTGCCCCCTGTATGCCTTTCCTCCTTCCCACCCCCATGCCAGACTCCAGAGGATGCAGAGGACGTGCAGAAGGAGGTGGCGGCGTTGGAGGCGCTGAGGGGAACTCTCTCCCTGGCGGGATTGCTGTATGAGAGGAATTCAACACCCCCATCTCCCCCTCTCCCCCCAACACCCCCCCATGCCAGACTCCAGAGGATGCAGAGGACGTGCAGAATGAGGTGGCAGCGTTGGAGGCGCTGAGGGGCCACCGGCACATCGTGCAGCTCATAGAGACGGTGGAGGAGCCAGAGGTTAGTGCAGTGAGTCTGTTTGTAACGAGTATACGGGTGTGTGCTGGGGTGGGGAAGACTAGGCGCTAGAGGCGTTGAGGGGCCACCGGCACATCGTGCAGCTCATAGAGACGGTGAAGGAGCCAGAGGTAAACGAGTCTGCTTGTAACGAGTATAATACTGGTGCTGGGAGGGTGGGCTCTAGAGAGGCACATCGTGCAGCTTATAGAGACGATGGAGGACCCAGCTTCTTCCAGCCAGGCGGTGTATCTGGTGATGGAGCTGTGCCAAAGGGGGCACACTGCACTGCAGCAGGCAGTGAGGGAGCAAGTGCCGTTCAACGAGCCACAGGCAGCAGCAGTGGCGGCAGAAAACCATTCATGCTTTCCCTCCCTCCTCTCCCTTTCCCACTCCACCACTAACCAGACCGATTATCTGGTGATGGAGCTGAGCCAAGGGGGCACACTGCAGCAGGCAGTGTTTTTTGAGAATTCTCAAAAAACACGTGCTGCAATATATTTCCCTCCCACGAATGTTAGTGTGTTGGCGTTTACCAAAAAGGGTACGCAACCTCTTGGTGAAAGCGAGGTTTCAGAAAAGGGGGCACACTGCAGCAGGCAGTGAGGGAGCAAGGGCCGTTCAGTGAGCCTCCTCTCTTGCCCCACATCCCCCCACCCCACCAACCCAGACGGTGTGTCTGGTGATGGAGCTGTGTCAGGGAGGAACCCTGCCGTTCAACGAACCACAGGAACGAAGCACCATATGTGCTGCTTTAATGCTCCGGTTCCCCCCCCCCTTCTCTCATCCTAAACCCAGACGGTGTATCTGGTGATGGAGCTGTGTCAGGGTGAACCCTGCAGCAAGCCGTCAGAGAGCAAGGGCCGTTCACCGACCCCAGGCAGCAGGACTATTCTGTTGATTCCTTCCCTCCCTTCCCTCTCCCCTCCACCACCCTACCAGACGGTCTATCTGGTGATGGAGCTGTGTCAGGGGGGCACCCTGCAGCAGGCAGTGAGGGAGCAAGGGCCGTTCAGTAAGCCTCCTCTCTTTGCGTCCCTACTCCCCCTCCACCCCACCAACCCAGGGGGGCACCCTGCAGCAGGCGGTGAGGGAGCAAGGGCCGTTCAGTAAGCCTCCTCTCTTTGCGTCCCTACTCCCCCTCCACCCCACCAACCCAGGGGGGCACCCTGCAGCAGGCAGTGAGGGAGCAAGGGCCGTTCAGTAAGCCTCCTCTCTTTGCGTCCCTACTCCCCCTCCACCCCACCAACCCAGGGGGGCACCCTGCAGCAGGCAGTGAGGGAGCAAGGGCCGTTCAGTAAGCCTCTTCAACGAGGGCCCTTGCTCCGTTCAGTGAGGGAGCAAGGGCCGTTCAACGAACCCCAAGCAGCAGCGGTGGTGGCGGCAGCAGCAGAGGCGCTGCTGCAGTGCCACACCAACGGCATCATTCACCGCCACGTTAAGCCCGATAACATCCTGCTCTCTTGGGGGAGCATTTCGACCCAAAACCGGTTCTCCCCTCCCCTCCCCTCCCCTCCCCTCCCATCCCCCCGCCAAATCAGACGGTCTATCTGGTGATGGAGCTGTGTCAAGGAGGGACCCTGCAGCAAGCGGTCAGAGAGCAAGGCCCATTCACAGAACCCCAGGCAGCAGCGGTGGTGGCGGCAGCAGCAGAGGCGCTGCTGCAGTGCCACACCAACGGCATCATCCACCGCGACGTCAAGCCCGATAATGTCCTGCTCGGGGAGCGTTTGGACGTTTCTGGGGGAGGCGTGCCTGGGGACGTGAAGATCTGCGACTTTGGCATCTCAACGTTCTTCCAGCCAGGTGCGTTGTGGAGAGGAAGGCCTATTCAGGGGAGGTACATACACCTGGGTCAGAAACCCTGCGTACCTGGGGTGGGTGGGGATGTGAAGACCTGCGTTGGGTTGTTGAGGTGCTGACCGTTGGGGAGGCGTGCCTGGGAACGTGAAGATCTGCGACTTTGGCATCTCAACGTTCTTCCAGCCAGGTGCGTTGGGTTGTTGAGGTGCTGACCGTGTTTCGCGGATTTAAAGGCAATCATCATTTTTGAAACGTCTCAAAAGTCAGGTGGGTTGGGTTGCTGAGGTGCTGACCGTGTTTCGCGGATGTAGAGGCAATCATCATCCTCCGGGATATGAAGTGAAGCCCGATAATGTCCTCCTCGGGGAACGTTTGGACGTTTCTGGTGGAGGCGAACTTTTTCCAGCCAGGTGGGTTGGGTTGGGGGTTGTTGAGGTGCTGACTGTGCTTCGCGGATTTAGAGGCAATCACCATCCACCGGGATACGAAGTGAAGCCCGATAATGTCCTCCTCGGGATAATGTCCTCCTTCGGGTGACTTTTGAGTCGACTCAAAAGTCACCGTGTTTTGCGGATTCAGAGGCAATCATCATCCACCGGGTTACGATGCTCGATAATGTCCTCCTCGGGGAGCCTTTGGACGTTTCTGGGAGAGGCGTACCTGGGGACGTGAAGATGGCATCTCAAACTTCTTCCAGCCAGGTGCGTTTTGGAGAGACATTCGTTCCGGAGAGGAAGGCCTATTCAGGGGAGGTACACCTGGAGCAGAAACTTGGCCTAACTGGGGTGGGGTGGGTGGGGATGTGAAGATGTGCGACTTAGGGGGATGTTCATCTCAACCTTCTTTCAGCCAGGTGGGTTGGGTTGTAGAGCCTACCGTGTTGCCTCCCTCCTCTCCCCCGAAATGCTCGCCCAGACCTACTCCTGCCCCTCCGATATCTGTAGCCTCCCTTTGCACCCATGTGCACCGCTATGCACCCCTGACTGCAGGCACCAGCCCAGACCTACTCTTCTCCGACTGATATCTGGAGCCTGGGCGTGCTGCTGCACCTGCTGCTGCTCTCAGGCTGCCTCCCTTTGCACCCTTTTGCACCGCTCTGAACCCCTGACTCTCCAGGCACGAGCTGCAGTGAGATAGTGGGAACGGCCTCCTTCCTCTCCCCCGAAATGCTCGCCCAGACCTACTCTTCTCCGACTGACATCTGGAGCCTAGGCGTGCTGCTGCACCTGCTGCTCTCGGGATTACTCCCCTTCCCAACTCCCCCTCCTTGCCCTCTTTCTCGCTCTTTTTTCGCCCTTCTACACCGATTTGCACCGCATTGCACCCCTGAATCTCCAGGCACGAGCTGCAGTGAGATAGTGGGCACGGCCTCCTTCCTCTCCCCCGAAATGCTCGCCCAGACCTACTCTTCTCCGACTGACATCTGGAGCCTAGGCGTGCTGCTGCACCTGCTGCTCTCGGGATTACTCCCCTTCCCAACTCCCCCTCCTTGCCCTCTTTCTCGCTCTTTTTTCGCCCTTCTACACCGATTTGCACCGCATTGCACCCCTGACTCTCCAGGCACGAGCTGCAGTGAGATAGTGGGCACGGCCTCCTTCCTCTCCCCCGAAATGCTCGCCCAGACCTACTCTTCTCCGACTGACATCTGGAGCCTGGGCGTGCTGCTGCACCTGCTGCTGCTTTCAGCATTGCATTCAGGATGCCTCCCTTTGCAACCCTTTCCTTTGCATCCCGTTTCACCGCTCTGAATCCCTGAGTCTCCAGGAACAACGTGCAGTGAGATAGTGGGAACGGCCTCCTTCCTCTCCCCCGAAATGCTCGCCCAGACCTACTCTTCTCCAACCGACATCTGGAGCCTCGGCGTCTTACTGCACCTGCTGCTCTCGGGGTTCCTCCCCTTCCGCGCGCCGACAAAAGAGGCCGTCTTCGAGGCGATTCTGGACGGCAGAGTGGATTTCCGGGCGGCGCCGTGGCCGATTGTGTCGCTAGCTGCCAAGGACTTGGTGTCTAGGATGCTGACAGTGGATCCCGATGAGCGCATCACAGCAGAGGAAATTCTCAGTAAGTTGGGGGGGAGGGTAGGCGAGGGAAGGGTTTTGGGGGGGCATAGGCGGTGCCGTGGCCGATTGTGTCGCTAGCTGATTGTGTCGCTAGCTGATTGTGTCGCTAGCTGATTGTGTCGCTAGCTGCCAAAGATCTGGTGTCTCGGATGCTGACCGTTGATCCAGATGACCGGATCACAGCCGAGGAGGTTCTCAGTAAGTTGGGTAGGAGGGCAGGGGAGGGAAGGCTGGCGGGGGGGCATAGGCGGTGCCATGGCCGATTGTGTCGCTAGCTGATTGTGTCGCTAGCTGATTGTGTCGCTAGCTGATTGTGTCGCTAGCTGCCAAGGATCTGGTTTCGCGAATGCTGACAGTGGATCCGGATGAGAGAATCACAGCAGAGGAGATTCTCAGTGAGTGGGGGGAGGAAGGTTGGGGGATGGGCTAGGAGGAAAGTTAATTGGGGGGGGGGGGGGGGGTTGCTGCTTGCCTAGTGCTAGCTGCCAAGGATCTGGTGTCTCGGATGCTGACGGTTGACCCTGATGAGAGAATCACAGCACAGGAGATTCTCAGTGCGTGCAGGTGGGGGGTAGGGTATGCGGGAAACCAGGTGGCGGGAGTGCTGTTACTACTAGCTGCCAAGGACTTGGTGCCTAGGATGTTGGCAGTGGATCCGGATGGGCGGATCACAGCACAGGAGATTCTCAGTGAGTGGGGGCAGGGGGGAAGGTGGGTGTGATGGAAGGGGGGGGAGCACTGGGGTGCGATGGCACGGGCCTGCCTGCCAAGGACCTGGTGTCTCGGATGCTGACAGTGGATCCGGATGAGAGAATTACAGCAGGGGAGATTCTCAGTGAGTGGAGGTGGGGGGTAGGGTAGGGGTGACCCAGGTGGCGGGATTGCTGCTTGCTGCTGTTTCTAGCTGCCAAGGACCTGGTGTCTCGAATGCTGACGGTTGATCTCGATGAGCGGATCACAGCACAGGAGATTCTCAGTGAGTGGGTGGGGAAGTTGGGGGGTTGTGGTGGGGGGATGGGGGAAGACAGAAGGAGGCAGTGAGGGCAGTTGCTGCCTGCCAAGGACCTGGTGTCTCGAATGCTGACGGTTGACCCCGATGAGTGGATCACAGCACAGGAGATTCTCAGTGAGTTGGGTGGGAAAGGGGGGGTGGGGGGGTGGAGGGGGTGGGGGGGGATGCTACCTAGCTGCCAAAGATCTGGTGTCTCGAATGCTGACGGTTGACCCCGATGAGCGGATCACAGCAGAGGAAATTCTCAGTGAGTGGGGGGGTTATGGGGAATAGGAGGGGGGATTGGCTAGGAGGGAAGTTAGAGGGGGGGGGGGGTTGGTTGCTGCTTGTGAAGAGCTAGCTGCCTGCCAAGGAGCTGGTGTCTCGGATGCTCACGGTTGACCCCGATGAGCAGATCACAGCAGAGGGGGTTTTCAGCGTGTGGGTGAGAATGGGTAGGAAGGGTAAAAAGGAGGGGCTTTTCAGTGAGTGGGGGTTGGGGGGGTTGGAGGAATGGCGTGGAATGAATGAAGGCATGACGTGGCGTGAAGGCATGACGTGGCGTGAAGGCATGACGTGGCGTGAAGGCATGACGTGGCGTGAAGGCATGACGTGGCGTGAAGGCATGACGTGGCGTGAAGGCATGACGTGACGTGAAGGCATGACGTGGCATGAAGGCATGATGTGGCATGAAGGCATGGCATGGCGTGGCATGTAGGCATTGGCTGTTCTGTATCGTCCCAGTCAGCAAGATGGGCACTTCCTGCCCCCTCCCCCCCTCGTTCTTCCCCACCCCCCACTTGTGTTCCCCACCCCCCACTTGTGTTCCCCACCCCCCACTTGTGTTCCCCACCCCCCACTTGTGTTCCCCACCCCCCACTTGTGTTCCCCACCCCCCACTTGTGTTCCCCACCCCCCACTTGTGTTCCCCACCCCCCACTTGTGTTCCCCCACCCCAACCCCGCATTGCTGCAGATCACCCTTGGATACTTGACCCTTGAAGACAAAGGATCATGGAATGGCATGGAAAGGTAGAAGGGAAAACACAAATGGGAAATGAACAAAGACTACCACTCTGTATAATGTGATGAATATTGTTGTGTAAATGTAATTTGGGAGGGATACTCAATATCAATCTGCATGCAATGGTATGGAAGAGCACAGGATTGAATAAGAATACCAAGAACGTGTCATGCTCATATACAATACACTACTGCACAACTATGCTTGATTTAGTCAAGAGATTGCATTGTCTATAAATAAGCTGGACTAAATATAAGTGCTTTCTGTACAGGTTCCTACAGCAAAATATTACGGTAATGCCAAATTGCAAATCCAACTGTACAGAAACGACAAATTATAAATGAACACTACAATATGACATGGACTTCAGCTACCTTGTTGAACCTGACAAGCCGGCCAAGCGATCTGGTGCGTCCGATCGACCCCTCTTGACGGACGGTGAGGATCGACTTGGGCAGACGGCAGGAAGAAACGCCCCTCACAGGGGAAACCACAGCAGAGGCAGCGCAAGGGGAGGTAGTAGCAGGGGAGGCAGCACCAGTGGAGGTGATACCTGTTGATGTGGTAACCGGCGCTTTGGTACCAGGGGAGGTCGTACCAGGTGGGGGAAACAGGAGAGGCGGGGAGCTATAATGCTCTACTGTAGACGCTGTTGTGTTGGTAGCGAGGCTGCTTGTACGGAGGATGGAAGCTGCAGTTGCGCGAGTAGTGGAGGGGGGGTTCACAGCCAGAGAGGGGAGCGCACGGCGGGAGCGGATAGTGTCGTGGGGGGGAGAGTGGGGACGAGACTGGTGGGGGGGAGAGTGGGGACGAGACTGGTGGGGGGGAGAGTGGGGACGAGACTGGTGGGGGGGAGAGTGGGGACGAGACTGGTGGGGGGGAGAGTGGCGTGAAGTGGGCTTTGAGTGGGAATGGGGAGAGGAGTCGAGAGGTGGGGGAGGGGAGTGGGGTGAGGAGGAATTGCTGTATTGGCGGGAGAGTGGAGCAAACACATTGTTCCGACGCTGCTGCTGCTGCTGCGGCTGTGAATGATGTTGATGGTGCTGATGCTGTGAGTGATGCCGATGCTGCTGCTGATGCTGCTGCTGTGAGTGATGCTCATGCTGCTGACGCTGGGGTGGGTGATGCTGGTCAGTAGCAGGTACAGCTGCTACAACCGCTGCTGGTGCTACAGCCGTCCTTGCTACAGCTGCACCCTCATAAGGAGAGAGTGGGGCGTAGGCAGATAGCCATACAGACAAGCTGTTTGGTCTAGTCCTCCTCTGAAATGACTTGTGGGGTAAATAACCCTGCTGAAGCTCCTGTTGCACCTCCCCCACATCCACCTCCGCTTGAATGGACCGGCTGTTATTCCGACCCTGTGGAGCCACAATCCCGATGCGTGCCGAGCCTGCAGCGATGTCGCCCAGGTCTACCGAGGTGGTTCGGAGGCCGAGCCTGGATTTTTGCCTCAGAGCTCCGTGTTGCATGTAACGGTTGTAATGGATGCTGGTTACCACCACATCGAGATTGTCAGAGGGCAGCTTGTGGAGGGAGGTTCGGCAAGGGCTTGGATGTGAGGACTGGGAAGGAGGAGGTTTGGTTGAAGGAGATGTGGATGGAGATTGAGAATGAGATGGAGAGTTGGAACTTTTATGGGCTACAGTATGAGGTACTGTAGATGTAATGGAACAGTTACTGTAGAGTCGTGCTGGTGTAGACTCCATGCGAGACGAAGGTGGGGTTGGGAGGCTGCCACGTCGCATGTGCCGGTAAGAAGACACAGCAGATTGGTGGGATTTAGGCAGCTGCTCTTCAAGCGAATCTGCCTTAAACGAGTGCAGCTCGCAAGGGCTCTGCTGATCGGGTTTCAAAATTTGGTTCTCGCTAATCGCCAGATTTCGCCGAACACCACCATCCACGCTCCCATTCCTTGGAAACCCTAGCGGTCCAGCTTTCCGCGTCGCGTGGAGGTTCCTCGTTGATTGCGCGTCGGTTCTGCACTTTTCACTGAAGTCGCTCGCGGTGCGCGCAGGGACCGGACGTAAATGGTCCTCGGAAAATCGCTGCGGTGACGAATTCGCGAACGGTTCGGCGAACGGCTGCGACGAATGACGGTGTAGTGGTGCTTGTAACGGGGACCTTGCGCAATTAGATTGTAACGGGGATGGCGATGGTGACGGAGAGCGGGACCTCGACTGGGAATTGCGATGGCGGTGCAGGTGTGGCTGTAACGGAGGGAGACTAGAGCGTGACTGAAGCGAGGGAGCGTGTCTAACCGACGGCGACTGACTAGGAGAGCGGGAGCTGCTCGCCTGTTGTGCGACTGACTCGAGCGACTCGAGCGACGGACGGCGTGCGACGGGAGGAGGGAACATCGCGGGGACTCCGCGACAGTTCGATGCGCTGAGCCGGGAATCGCGGCGATTATCGTACGCGCCCAACTCGGGAGGCGCTGACGTGGAATGGAGCCCGAGAATCGCGGCTCGCTCCTCCCGGTTCGCCCGGAAACTGCTTCCCATGTGGCCCATGCACGTCGTTGTCGTATTCATCGTCGCGGTTCCCCCGACCCCCGCTGGCTCCCCCGAATCGTCGCCGTCGCCGCCGCTGCGCGCTGCTTCCGTGCCGCCGGCTGTCCTCCCCCGCCCAATCGCCACCATCGCCGCCATTTCCGTCACTTCCGGCGGCGTGGAGTTGCTCCTCGCTGGTTGTAACGGCCGTCGAACGGTGCGCGTCGCGCGCAACTGCGGCACCTCCTCTGCCGCCGTCCCCGCAGTTGTCTCCGCCACCGCATCCTCTTGCGCCACAGCCACCGCATTTGATTCCGCCGCCGTTGCCACCCGCGCGTGCGCCTGCGCCACCGCGGACGCCGCTTGATTGGCGGTTCTCTGCTTCGCGGCCTCCAACTCGCGGAGCTTTTTTATGCCGATGGCGGGACGTCGCCGCGCGCCCGCCGCTTGCACGATCATCCCACGCGCGCACGCCGCCGCGGAAACCTCCGGGGTTGGGCTGTGGGCGGCGACGCAACCGTCCCGTCGACGTGCGACAGCGTCGCCGAAGTGTGTCGTTTCCGCCGCACAATCGCGGGCGGAGGTGACGGGAACGACGCAAGAGCCACGGGGGGAGGCGCGGGAGACGCAGGAGGCGCGGGAGGGGCGGTGGGCGCGGCGGCTGGCGGAAGGTTTCTGCAGAAACGGAGCCGCGTTGAAGTTTCCGCCGCTCCACGACGCCGCGGAGGGATAGCGGTGGCGCGCGGGATCCTCGAACCCGTCGGCGACGCGCTCGGCGAAGTCGTGGCTGGCGTAACTTGGTAAAAACGAGTGCGGAGATGTGTTTTGGAATGCCTCGATGGCTAGATTTTCCGCGTCGAACGAATAATCGTCAAGGGCTGACGGAGATCCGTCAAAAGTTGACAGAGACCAATCGAACGTCGACGGAGATTGGAGGCAGTTGGCGTCGAGAGGCGGCGCGATGAAACGAGGTTGAGTCGCCGAGCCACACTGCCGAACTGCGGGATTCGCTGCAGGATGCGCGGCGGGGTAGTAATCGCCGTCAGGGTAACATGTGGAACGCTGATAGTGAATTGCCGAGGCGGAAGGGACTGTGTACCTTTCCGGAGCCTCGAAGAAACTCTCTGGTGCGCGGATAACTCTCGCGGCCATGGAGTCGCGTCAGACGAGTCGCGCTGCACGTGTTTCAGTCTCGATTGCTACTAACATCAGCTGCGGTAACTGCGACGGTGGTAAGAGTGTGACTGATTGAAGTGTGTAACAGACTGGACAGTATAGTGGAACGAAAGCGAGTGGTGTGCTGGGCTAGCTTGAGGAGAGGACTCGTTTCGGAATCCGGAATTGACTATTGGCAACTGTGTCTGCATCTCCTACAGCTTGACCATTTTAGTGGTCCTGTCAGTGGCGTGCTGCGGCCGTTCTGAGCTTAGCGGCGTCCATCGAGCATAGTCGTTCCGACTGGAGAGCCTAGTAGGAATGGCGTGGAGGCGAGGAGCGGCGTTAGGCGGGAATGTGGTCTGTCGTCGGTGGGCGAACACGTAATTGCAATTGGTGCTACTTGCGTAACAGTCGGTGCGGTACTGTACAAGTGACCTCAGCGCCAAGATCTTCATAAGTATACTCCTCCTAAGGGATGCCTGAATGTACCGTTCCCTCTTCCTGATCTTCCGCCTCTCTCTTCATTTCCTCTCTCATTTTACACGACAAGTCGATGTGCAAGAATCTATTGAAGAAGCATCGAGGCACCACACCGCAATCGCGCGAGTCACGTTGGCGTTCGAGCCACCACAGGCCGCCCCAGGTTTGGTAGCTGCGGCGCTCAACATCATAGCTGCAAGGTGTATTTCTGGCTGGCCTCGTGCTACCTGACTTGGCAAGCAAATGGTAAATGAGAGAAAATGGGCGGGAGGAGAGGACATGCGGGGAAGCAAAGGGAGGGAACTATGGGAGGAGCGAAAAGCTTGTGATTCGGGATCGCGTAGGATTTTCTTGCTGTGAGAGGGGGGAGGGCGCACTCTGGTTATGACGCGCGGGGAAACGGGTTACTGCTGCCTGCGAGTGACGATGCATCCTGCCAGCCCAAGGGGCCTATCTTCATCGCAAGAAATATGAGTTCATTCTAGTAACAGAAAACCAGGTTCGCTAGATATTCACGAGCGTCGCCACAGCAAAGATATGTTTCGTTTCGATTACGGTTACCACTTATAGTAGTGAATTTCTGGCCGAAACGAGCTCATGTTCTCGCGTTTGTGTACGGCTTCGATGACCGCGGGCTAGAATTCCGCCGTAGGTGGAAGGTTGGGAAAATATAAGTGAAGGCGCCGTGGCCAAAATTTTCGTGAGCCAATTATAGGGGGCTATCACTCGCTAACGACCTTTCGCCGACGCAGCCGCGTCTTGCGGAAGATTCACTGTACACGACCACCACAAGAGCCAGTACATAAAGCTGGCAGATGCAAGCTGGCGGGACAGCGCTAGGTTACCTCAAGCCATACTTCCTGGTGACAGGCATCAGTTATCCTGGCGAAGAGCCTCGCTGGCGACATACTGAATTCGTCATCCAATAAAATTCGCGATAAAACTCGAGACCCATTGGATCGCCTCCTCCGATTGCAACAACCATCATTTATAAAGCATGGGCATCGCACACTGGAATGTAGATAGGGGGAGGGATGGAGCCAGACACCACGATGACGAATATGTCGCCAAATCTTTGTTGACGACGAGCGGAATCCTTGTAACCCACGTCATTTCGGAATGAATCTTCGTCGTGTTGGCGCTTCCCGAGCAAGACTCTCCATTATCTCGATTTCGTTACCTTTGGGGTTGATGTAACCAAATTTAGCTCTCATAGATGAATGTTATGAATGAACTTGCAGAGTGCGCAGTAAAACGAATATCGAGAATGTGAACTACTCAATGACGATACAAGGAAAGTGACGGGAATTTATAAGGGGAATCATAGCTAGGCCAAGAGGTCGGGCTAGGATGGCTCGGAAAGCGTTGCGATTGGAGCGGTGGCGGCTCGGGTGTGGTTCGGGGCGGAGTTGTAGGCCGAACCGGGCTGACGCGTGGCCTTCGGGTTGTACTCGCTAAAATGCGAGTACAGTAAGGAATTGTAATTCCTTACACTCTCCCACCTTCCAAACATGACCGCCACATAACTAGACAAGTCCCTCAATAACGAAGCTGCTGTTGATCTCCAGTATAGCTAAATCTAACGGCTGAAATGCCTTGGCGAATTTGAACTGAAATATGAGATTTTTCGAAAGTGTGTAACACTCTCTAAAAATGCGTATTGTGAAAGCGCAGCTGCCTGTAACGAAGCAAAGCAACGGCGAATTACAATTCGCCGAGTACATAACGAGGGTTGGAGGCCATTCGGCCTCCACCCACGACTTCATTTCAGAACTTTGCAGTTTCACTCCAATTCTCGTCCAACCACCTCGACCGTTTCCTTTGTCGCTAGAAACTATATTCTAAGCTAACACTCACTTGCACGTTCAACCCAAGCGCTTGATTTTCCATGAAGGGCACACTCTTACGAGTGCGACTGTAACTGGCGGACGCTCAACTGAGATCGAAGTGCGTCGGACAAAACGCCAACAGGCGCGCCAGAGACGAAATCGCCAGTGGCGCGCGCTAGGGACGAAATCGCCAATGGCGCCAGTGGCGCGCGCCAGGGACGAATTCGCCACTGGCGCCAGTGGCGCGCGATCTGGACGAAATCGCCACTGGCGCAAGTGCCGCGCGCCAGGGACGAAATCGCCACACGCGCGCATGTGGCGAAAGTGCCACGTGCGCCAGTGGCAAAATCGCCACCAGCGCTCGAGGGACGAAATGGCCGCTGGAGCGGCAGTTACGAAATTGCTACTGCAGCGCCTAAGTCGTTTGACTGGGCGTCATTTGTTGCCTACGTGCTGCAAGTCTTTTAAGTTTTAAAAATTTCTTCCGTTATGATCTCTTCGATTATTTTCCATTAATCTCTATGCTCCTATTGTTACTTGGTGGCAGAAAAATAGGCTCAACACCACGGGTGTGGAAAGACATTTTTAAAGACTCTACTGGTCGCGTGGGAGAACTACATTTACGACAGGATCAACTCAAAGCGCACCCAAGGACGTCTCCCAATAAAAAGAAGGGACAGAGGGTCTTCGTGTGGCCTGAGAGCCGTCCCCCAGGGGGGGAAGGGGACCGAGGGTTCTTGTGTGGCCTGAGAGCCGTCCTCCAGGGGGGGAAGGGGACCGAGGGTCCCCGTGTGGCCTGAGAGCCGTCCCCCAGGGGGGGAAGGGGACCGAGGGTCCCCGTGTGGCCTGAGAGCCGTCCCCCAGGGGGGGAAGGGGACCGAGGGTCCCCGTGTGGCCTGAGAGCCGTCCCCCAGGGGGGGAAGGGGACAAAGTGTCAGAATCCCAGCCACTAACCACTGGGATAAAAGGGCTTGTTTGTGTAGCGGGTGAGTGCGCCCATAACCCCCCAGGCCAACGTGCCTGTAACCCTTCCCTAGGATCAATCAGGGATCACCAGTGGACCTCTGACACCCCCCCGCACTGGGATGCCCGAGGTGCACACACCGGGATTCGAACCCGAGATCTTCGCTCTGATACCATGTCAGAATCCCAGCCACTAACCACTGGGATAAAAGGGCTTGTTTGTGTAGTGGGTGAGTGCGCCCATAACCCCCCAGGCCAACGTGCCTGTAACCCTTCCCTAGGATCAATCGGGGATCACCAGTGGACCTCTGACACCAAGGGTCCCCGTGTGGCCTGAGAGCCGTCCCCCAGGGGGGGAAGGGGACCGAGGGTCCCCGTGTGGCCTGAGAGCCGTCCCCCAGGGGGGGAAGGGGACCGAGGGTCCCCGTGTGGCCTGAGAGCCGTCCCCCAGGGGGGGAAGGGGACCGAGGGTCCCCGTGTGGCCTGAGAGCCGTCCCCCAGGGGGGGAAGGGGACCGAGGGTCCCCGTGTGGCCTGAGAGCCGTCCCCCAGGGGGGGAAGGGGACCGAGGGTCCTAGCGTGGCCTGAGAGCCGTCCCCCAGGGGGGAAGAGACTCGAAGGTCCACACGTTGCCCTTACCGTAAAATGGGCAAAATTTTTCGAACAATGTGCTCGTTTGTATGATTGGATCATCCTTGGTTTTTTATGTACCCCATTTACTTTTTAATATGACAAAAAAAAAAAAAGGCTGGTTGGAGCCCCACTGAAATCTCGGGAAGCAACTGTTCAAGTGCACCTCCAGTTGGTTTTAAAATCTTGACTTGACTCAAGTTGGTGTTCACACACTTTTAAACCGCATTCTGTGTTTTTCCAAATAAGGGCAATGACAATGGGATCGGTTTTGGCCATCATTCTCATCCCACTTTGTTCGATAACACCCGACAGGGAAGCAAAAGCACGCGTTGAAACGACTTGCATGCTGTCACCTGAATGGGCGTTTGGGAGTAAAAGGCGGCAATTGTGTGACCATGCCTACCCAACCAACATGACGAATACCACACTCACCCGACTACCACTTCAAACCCTTACATCCACCCACGTTGTAATTATTCCGGCCGGGAACATCAAACGACTGGAATTGTAAGGTAAAGCAGAGCACATGGAAGCTAAATCCCAAGATAAAAGTTGTACCGTACATTGGGCGTGTAGAGTACGGGAACCACCAGTTTCAACCACTATCCTGGTGCAACAACAACAAGGGACATCCACATCAACAGCACGAGCAACCTTCGCGCACAGCACCTCGGACGCCATCGACATGGAGCCCACAACTCACCAACGCCGCCCCTCCCGGCATTTCGTCCATGTCATCAACCGCAACTACACTCACCATGTCCTCAACGTTCCAGCTGCACATGTCTCAGAAGACCCAATTGTAATGAAGCCAGTTGCCTTTGCAAGAACAGAAAGCAAGCTTTCTCAATATGAAATTTTTCGAAAGTGTGTAACACTTTCTAAAAATGCGTATTGTGAAAGCGCAGCTGCCTGTAACGAAGCAAAGCAACGGCGAATTACAATTCGCCGAGTACATAACGAGGGTTGGAGGCCATTCGGCCTCCACCCACGACTTCATTTCAGAACTTTGCAGTTTCACTCCCCACCCACCCACCCTAGTTGTACCAATATTTGTATGATCCATAGTTGGACGAGAATGTTGTATTAC